ATCTTAGCGCTAGATAACTAGTTAAGGATTTTACTTATTAGTAGTAGTAGTGTTTAGTCCTTTTATATAACCTTATTTAGTACACAGTAGTTAATATAAAGTTATAGCTTCCCCTTTTTCTTTAGGATAAACAGAATAAGTGCCCCTCCTAGACTTATAGACAGCCTAATCTAGCCCTAAGCCTTAGCCTTCTTAAGGTATTTATAAAGTATCTTAAGCTTCTTTTCTAATAATATATAGATAGGTCTTTATAGTACCTTAGCACCTTCTTTAAAGTTAATATAGTGCTTATATATAGAGTGTTCTAGTAGGCTAAGTGCTTTATTTTTTAAGAATAGTTCCTTAAAGTCTATATACTTAGCTATCTATTTATACTACTTTAACTTATTGCTCTCTTTCTACGTAGGCGCTATAGGTGTAATATATAGCGTTAGTATTATTACTATAGCTTATAGTATATAGAATTCTTTCTTTAATTTAATAAGGCTAATATTTTGTTTATAGTAGAGGTATTACTAGTGCTTTATCTACTAGTTAACTACTAGATTTACCTCCTATAACTACTTAATACTTAAGATAAGTGTTAAGTACTATAGGTCTACTATAATAAAGTAGTATAATTAATACTTTACTACTCCTATACTATTAGTAGCCTTAATATAAAGGTAGTATACTTCTATTATTAAGAAAGGCTTATTATCTATATTAACTAGGGGAGTAAACAGGTATATCTATAGTAGGTAGTTAGTATTAAGTATACTTAGGCTTACTATATTAGCTTTTAATCCTAAGTTAATAAGCGCCTTTATTACTACCTATATAGTACTTTTCTATAATATAAGTAGGATCTTAATATAGTGTCCTTATTACTGCCCCCCCTTTGTTACTACTACTAGTATACTGTTTATATTATCTACTTCCTTGTAGTAATTATACTATATATACCTCTTTCTTTTATATCTCTTATACTCTATCTCTAGGCACCTGTTTATATAATAGCCCTATGCTCTATAGGTATAGTAGGTGCCTTATAGTTTCTTTACTTATAGGTAGTTCTTTATAATATACTTTAACTTATTATAGTTATAGTATACTTTACTATTTATTTACTTACTTATATTATTAAAGCTAGGTATAATAGTAAAGTTAGTTTTCTTATACTACTTAGGTACTACTTAAGTATAGTAAACGTTATACTAGCTATATTATAGTTAATAGTAAAGGTTAATAGCCTACTTTATATACCTTGCTAATAAAACTAACTCTATATATATCCTTAGGAGTACTAGCTGTAAGCTAATAGCTTATTAAGTGCTTAGTTATAGCTTAGTTAAAAAAGAAGAAATATATTACTCCTCTAGAATAGTATAAGGTAGCTTTATCTTTAGTGCTTTATATTCTATAAAGAACTAGTTAAGGCTTTAGTTAGGCCCTTAGTAGAGGTAGTCTAGTTATAAGGTTACTATAACTATATAGCTACCTAGGTCTAAAAGCTTATTATATAGGAAATCTTTAAAATCTCCCTATACCTTAATTACTTACTCTATAAAGCTATATTCTTCCTTAGTTAAATACTTTATTTATCTTTTTTTTATATAGCCTTTAAGGTAGCTTATTATATATACTATTTTATTATAGTTATTATAAAACTACTTTATATATAGTATAAAGTATATATAGTAGTTAAATAAAAAGACCTAGAGGTCTTTATATAATTCCTTATTATATAATAGTATAAAGAGGAATAAAGGTTAATATAGGTGTAAACTATTATCTAGTTTAGTGCTTAGGAGGATTACTAGGCTATCTTAAGCCCTACTTTAGTCTTAGGGTAATAGCTTATTATTTATACTTATTATATAGTTAGCTCTAGTGTTAAGAGTATAACTACTGCTTTAGAGCTATAAGAGCTTTTTATGCTAATAATAAATTTAAGTCTCCCTATAGGTAACCTTAAGCTTCTCCTTTAGTTATTACTTTTCCTTTACTAATATAGTAAGTCTATAGGATAAGCTATAGCTTCTTAAGGTACTCTCTTCTATAAGTAAAGAAGGTAAAAAATAACTAGTTAAGTTAGTTATAGCTTAGGCGCTACTACTACTATACTTAGGTATAGCTACCTCTTAGGTTATATAATAGGTATTTATAGGTATATTACTTATTAGGCTAGTTATCTAGGTAAAGCTTTTAGATTATTAAATAATAATAGGTAACTAGGGTAATAAGTAAACATGCTATAAGTGTAAAGGTAGGTATATAGTATTACTAAAGCTAAAAGCTACTTCTTTTTTTCTTTTTTCTTTTGCCCCTTAGGTATTCCTAGTGTGTGTACGCTTACTTTACTTCTGTGCGCCCTCTAAGTATATAATCCTCTTGTGTGCCTTATGTACTTGCGTTATACACCCTGCTTATTTAGTGTTATATAATGCTTAACCTACGCTTAGTTTGTCTTGCCTATTTATCTTTAACACTTTTGTCCTATATTATTTATTTAGCTCTTTGTTATTACTTGCCTTGTTTTACTGCTTTACTATTACACTTTACCTTTGTACTACGTTACTTTATATTACCTATTATAGCCTTACTCCTCCTATTAGATCTATAATAGCTAGTAGAAAGGCTATATTAAATAGCTAAAGGATAATAGAGAAGTATAATAGTAAATATAATAAATATATATTATTTTAGAAGTATTCTTATATAAAGTCTATTAATATATAGCTATAATACTTATCTAGAACTAGTAGTCTAACTACTTTTAGCTTACTAAGTATAATACTTAAGATAAAGACCTTCTTTAGTTACTTAAAAGTAGTTTTCTTAGTTATCTAGCTATTATTTATATATATAAAGTACTATCTTTTATATTTAGATAAGTTAAATAAGAACTACTAGGCCTAGACTAATTTACTTTTATATATAACTAGTAGGTATAAGGACCTCTTATTAGTAGTTATATACTTAATAATAAAGATCTATACCTAGGATCCTAGCTACTTTTTTTAAATATACTATAATACTATAAAGCCTAGTATTAGCCTATTAGATCCTTTACTCTCTATAATACTAGTCTTATCTATATTTTATTAGTTAAATAAATAGATTCTTTAGATAGTAAAGATACTAGTTAAAAGCTAAAAAAACCTCTAGATAACCTTAGAAGAATAGGCCTTTTATTACTAAGTATTAATTACTCTAGATTAATAAGTCTTAATTAATAGGTTTTACTATAGGAATTACTATATTTATTTTTTACCTAAAGGTTAATAAGTATTATAGGTATTACCTAGTATATACTCTACTAGGCCCTTTAGTTATTAATAAGTAGGTCTATTACCTAGGGTATACTAGGTTTATACTTATCTAGCTAGATAATCCTTTTAGGCTTAGGATAATTACTATATATAGTTATAAGTAGTATTTTTACTTTACTACCTATAGAATTAGTATTAAAGTGTTTAGTATAGTATAGCCTATTTCTAAGTAGTATAGTAAATAAAGTAACTATCTACTATATTATTAAAGGCCTATTAGAGCTTATCTTTAGTATATTACTTTATTATAGGTTAAAGAAGGTATCCTAAAAAAATTATATTGTTTAGATGTAAATAGATAATGTTATAATAGTTTAAAAAAGGTAGTAGTGTTAATAAAGGAGGGGATTTTCAGATGTCTAAAGGTAGGGGATATCTAGTTATAGGGTAGTTGAGTTATGGATAAGGGTTGATAAGCAATTGACAAATAACTTTGATGAGCTTATCTTGGTATACATGGCATGCTTAGTTAACAAATGATGATATACTTATTAGTCAGCATTATCGTTCAAGAAGGAAAAGACGAACTTAAGGCAAATGGTTGAGCTTTCTGAGTTGCTTTGGAGCAAAGGGGCTTCAAATGGATGCATTTGTTTTCAAGACGTAGAACTTGGCTCTGTATCCAAGGGAAAATCGAACGCAGACACAAATGACTGAACACCAGACATAGCAGCAGTTCAAACGATGACTGAATATGCGCTCGCTACTGGCCGGCTCAAGGAAGAGCAGCAGACAACCTGAACAACACGTGAATCGAGTAATAGGAACGACACGACCCTCAAATATCCGCTCCAGCACCAACTGATCTAGAGGTTTTGAACAAATTCTTGAGATTAGAGATATGTCACCACTAGAGGGTCCACTCTTCTATCCGCCAGGCCAGCTTCGATGGATTTAGCTCGCAAGGACGTCTCAAAGTTCAACAGTCACCGAATACTCGGTGAACATACCCAGCGGGTTACGTTTACCCACGACCTCGGCCTTCTCGACTTTGTCCCTGATCTCCTGGACCTCCACCTTGGAGAGATGCACCTTGAGGGCCCCGACGTTCTCCACCATATACTTGAGCTTCTTCGTGCCGGGGATCGGCATGATGTCCTCGCCCTGCGCCGACAACCACGCTAGCGCCAGCTGGCCCGGCGTGCAGCCCTTCTTATCTGCGAGGGCCTTAAAACGGTTAACAAGCACTGGATTCTTAGCAAAGTTTGCAGGGCTGAAGCGAATCGTCGGGCGCAAAGTCGTCGGTGCTCTTGATCTGACCCGTCAAAAAGCCGCGACCCAGCGGCGCGTAGGCAAAGACTGTGATGCCAAATTCACGGCAGGCGGATAACAGGTTCGTGCCTGTCTCATTCTCGATGTCCAGTTGGAAGGGGTTGTACTCGACCTGGACGGCGTCGACGGGCGCGACGGTATAGGCCCTTCGGATGCTGCTGGAAGCTCATTTGGAAATGCCGATGGCTTTGATTTTTCCATCCCTAATATAGAGGTATCAGTACCTATCTTCAATAGGACGTTAGAGCCCCTAGCTTACTTCTTTGCCCCGGTCATTAGCTCCATAGTCTTCTCGACAGGCATCTTGGGGTCGAGACGGTGGACGTAGTAGAGATCGACGTAATCGACGCCCATCTTCTGCAGACTGCCCTCAAGGCATTCATTGAAGAACTCGGGGCTGTTGTCGGCTAATATATTCCACTCGCCCTTGTCTTTGACTGTGAATTATACTCCGCACTTGAACAAGTACATGACACAACCCCATTTTACTGCATTTGTTTTGTCAGATTCACGGGTGTGATAGTGAGGCCAATTGTGTGTATATTGAATGTATTACGTGTCTAACTAGGCATCCAAGTGCCTGTCAGCCGCGCCTAGCTATCCAACTAGGCCCTTAGGATCCCATGTCCTACGCGCCCGAGGCCTCTATAAGACCTATTGCTTGGGCTAAAGCCTGCAGCAGTCTTCTTGATGCTGTCAAGCAGCCGGCTCAGCCAGGCTGATAGGTTCTATCTCCAACGGTCGCTACATTGCCCCTCATAAGCGTACCTTTCAAGTTCAATATTACCCTACTCTTGCGGAAAATGAGGTCCAATGGCACCTGAGATACTTAGGCCAACGGCCAACGCTGAACGCCAACTTATCAAGGCCCGGTTGGCTCGCCAATCAGGTCGCCTCTGGTTATCATTAGACTGAGAGACGGCTGTATTCCTGATCGTGTCTGGCGAGTCGATGGGGCAAAATGCAGTTGGGCTGGGTGTTATTGATTCTCACAAAGCCATATGGCTTTGCCAGGCCTCGATACTGCCGCACAACACTGCCTTCCCGAACGACCCTGCTCCGGGGTACCCACTTCACTCCGCGACCCCCCACAAGAGGCGGTATTTAGAAGTAACAAGCCACTTTCAACTCTGTGACTTGCCCCCTAGGCAGCACTGCTTCATGACAGTTATAACGTGTTTAGAGTAGAATTAATGTCTGCATTAGTCTCCTTGCAACAGTTCCCTACGCTTGGGTTGTCCCCGGAATGCCAGTTGTTATTCTCTAGCGCCGTTGTGAGAACGCGTTGTTATCAGTTAGCTGTTATCATGCGATACGCCATCTGATACAAATGGCTCGGCCTGTTTATGTTCCCTTTACGAATCTCATTCGCCGGACTGATGATCAAGTTTCGTTTGCCGGGGATCAGCCTTGGCCTGGTCATCATGTGCCAAGTTTTCGGGTCGCTGACTAGTGGTACCATTGAGATGGCTAGGCAGACTGCCGTCATGGCTTTTGTTCCATGCCATGAGGTAACTTTTGGCCTTGCCCTGCTTTCCATTGTTACCGGTGTTGGTGCCGCCATTAAATCATCCAATAGTGATGCCACCAGGACCAACTTGATGCCGTCGAAGCTGGCAGCTTATCCCCCAGAAGATCTCAAGCGCGAGGCTTTACTTATACATGATGACCTTACAAGACAGCTGAGTTTTGAATGGGGAAGCTCTGACAGGGATGGGATCGTACTCGTCTAGGGCGAGACACTCAAAATAAAGCTCATCGAGTAGCTGGCGACGCTGGCTGGACCGGTTGTTTGGGTAGGGAGGAGTCATGGATGGCAATGACCGCCAGATTCGGCCCGGAGTTGTGGGCCCCGGAATCATCGAACGCGTAGATGAGAAGTGTTGCATAACAGGGGCATGCCTTGCTGACTGGGTGAAAAACCTAGTGTTCAACTCTGGCAAAAAGAACAAAGAAAAAGAAAAGAAAAGAAAAGAAAAACCTACCGCATCAGCCTAATGCTCTAAACGACCGCATCCTGCCTGGTATTGCACGTGCTGGCATACCTATTCGACACGGACCAGGCCTATTTGGGAGGCAAGATTTGCTTCATTCTCTTTGGCTCGTCGTCGCCCAGCTGCGACTGGCTGTACTTATATTTCCCCGAAATGAAGGGCCGCCACTTTGCTGAGATTCAGTAAATTTTCAAATTATATGCCTATGAGATTAGAGCCGGGGGCATGATGAAAAGAAGCTACGAAAGGAGGAGCAAGAATGAAGGGTCAAATTGTGGATATCGAGGGGTCCAATCGAGGGTGACAGGTTAGCCCAAAGCCTGATATCATAGGGCCTATTCAAGAAACTGAGATAGCACGGTTTTTTTTTTTTTGGTTTTGTTTTTTCACCTTTCGGTCCGCTGTCAAAACCTGACCGAAATGACAGGGACCAATGCATGGGGGAATGGTTAGCGACGTTTGGGATACAGCAAAAGACCCTGTGAGCCCGACTCATAATCGGAAATTAGGCTTGATCCTGACGGGCCCCATGCCAAATTTCACAGAGTGCATCCACATTGCCATGTCTTTTAAAGATCCCGCTCTCCACACGATGTCCTCTGGATCCCGGTGTTTTGGGGGCAGAAACGAAACCACATTACATTCTTTTGCACAGCCTTAGTTGATTGCTGATCCCGCCGATCGAGAACACCTTCAACGTTACAATCTTTCACAAACACGGCATCAACCATGCTATCTGACCGCATCTACCTCCTTGGGGCCAGTCTGCTGGCTACATGCCTCCAACTTGCGAACGCCCAGTTACCTGCAGACGCCATAGAGCTTGATCTTGTCTTCCCTCGTAAAGATGGAAAGTACGGCGAAACCAGCAACGGCTACCCTGTCCTTCTGAATGTTCAGAACCCCAACGTCGCCTACAAGTATGGCTACAACTTCGTTTGGGATATTTACTCCAGGAACAAGAACTCGTACCTACGTACCGCAGCCCACGGCGTGATGGGCGCCTCCATCGGCAACGAAAGCACATTTGGCAATGGCCCGCATCTAGAGGTTGGAAAGACCGGCCATCTCGCTGCTGGCGACTACACCTTTGCCTGGGTCTTTGGCATGGGTGCTCAATGCGAATTCACCGAGCAGCCCGATTACAGCGAGTACAACCTCAACCCTCGCATCGCCAACGGCAGCTTCGATTTCGTTGTCGAGAGCAGCGGAAAGGAGCCGACTTTCACCAAAACCTGCCCGACAGCTATCGGCAGCATGAGCTATGCCTCCACAACCACCTACAACTCTGAGGCCACCAGCGTTTGCGGGGTGACCGCATCCGTCACGCACGATGCCCAGCCCTGCTCAGCAACCGTCAGCGATGACCAGGCGGCTAGCGTTTACAGCGCGCTGGGATACGCTGCCGCCACCGGATCGTCGAATGGAGCGGCATCCTACAGCTGCCGACAGCCTGCTTTTCACACCGCTCTCATTACCGGTGTTGTTGCAGCGGTGGCAATTTTTGCTTAAGGGTACGGGATAATCGTATCGTCGATGCAAAGGGAAAGAAAGGAGGGGGACGCTCCAATGACTTGACGAAGAGTGGCCAGCTGAATACAACGGGCATCACAACCTGCCCGATTCGCAGCCCTATGAGCTTTTTCTTCTTCTTCTTCTTCTTCTTCTTCTTCTTCGGCTTCGGAGAAGGCAGCGGGCTAAAACCTGCGCATGAAGGCTCCAGAGACGATTTCTGATCGCACGGCTGTGCCGCTTCGCTTTATGGGAATGCCGTGTATTGGTCGCGTCTTGCAGTTGCCGGGCGTGGTTTCTTTCTCGGTGTCACATATTGCAGCACAAGGCGAGCCTAAAATAAGCTTGCGATCTACATCGAGTGCAAACCGCTACGGATCTGGGTCTTCGTAAAAGCAAGCCAGTGAGTAGGGTACCGTAAAGGAACGGACAATGACGGATGGATAACATTGCCACTTGCCAACACCCACAGCGAGGATAGGATGCCCAATCATGGCTAATCTTGTGTAAGGATTGACCTTTTGATCTGAGACCCCGCTATCTCGCGCCTTCAGACATGGTCGAGAGCCAATTGAGAGCATTGTCGGCTCATGTTAGCACCAACCGAGCCCAATAATACAACATTTTGTCTCGCAGTTCTCCAGAACTCCATGGGTGGTATGCACCATGCACTTAAATGTAAGCACTATGTACTAGCTCCAGAAGCATGATGGATGGATGCCCGGGCAGGCTCCAAGACCTGTCATGCTTCCTCAGCATGTCGCTACTATTTGAGGCTCCGGCCTCAACCCGGCTGTCGCCATGTCACTCTCCTGTTGCTGACTTTCTTTATCGCTTCATTTTCGATTCTTCATGCACTGAGCCTGGCAAAGCTGCGACTTGAATCCGAAATTGGCAACATGTCGTACAGGCAACACACGCACAATGCAAGCACAGGCTCGGACGACACTATATACGTCAGACAACCCACCAGCCCGTTCATCCAAGAGCCCGAAACAGGACAGAATTTAGGATCTTACAAGGCATACCAGCCCACTTTTGTCTCCGTTGATGATGTTCCACTAAGTGAGCCTGCTTTGAGCAGTAACGGCGAGTCAAGGCGCTCTGTTCTCTCCCGTTGGAGTAGAATGTCGGAGAAAACACACGTCAAAGTAAAGCACATCTCTCCATCAGGGTCCTGGATGTTCGAGGTTGTTAGTCTGGTTGTTGCTATTCTAGCCACAACTGCAATCATTGGTGTTCTCGGGGCATATGACGGCAAGCCATTGGCGTCATGGCATTTCCAAATCACTATCAACGCTGTCATTGCTTTGTTGGCTACCGTAGCTACTGCAACCATGGCCGTTGTTCTTTCCAGTGGCATCAGCCAGTTGAAGTGGATACACTTCATTCGCCGTAGGCCTCTATCCGACATGGAGATATTTGATGATGCCAGTCGAGGTACATGGGGAGCTTTAATGATGCTTATCAAACTCAGGGGGGGGTGAGTTAATAGAACATCCAAAAATTTCCAAATTCTGTATCTAACCTCGAATTGTCCATAGTCTTCTCGGCTCTTTCGGTGCCTTCGTTGTCATTCTAACGCTGGCCTTCAATCCATTCGCCCAGCAAATCGCAACTTTCCACGCCCGCACTACCAACTCCACCGAAGGAGCTACGAATATTCGCTCTTCGCAATATTTGGTCGCCTTGAGTAGTCAAAGTGCATCAGAAGGCTTCATCCCAATTCTCCCCTTCAAAGCTGCCGTATATAACGGGCTCTTTGCTGAGAATGGCAAGCCTTGGTTAAGTCTCCCCGTCAATTGTCAAACGGGAAACTGCACATGGGAACCCTTCGAGACTCTTGGTGTTTGCAATTCTTGTGTCGACATTACTGAGTTCATGACTCGAACTTGCGAAGATGGTTCTATGCCCGAAGGCAACTTGACAGAATGCGGCTGGTCTGTACCTCTTGGTGCCAAGCTCAAAACACACGCCGAGGTTTTCAGCATGACCCCCATTTTTCCTCGGGGCCTCGGCGACATGTCCTACTCAACGATCATGAAGCTTGTATTCATGGGAACCGAGAATCAAGAAGGAGTTGCTGGCGATCTCGCACCATGGGCTCGACAGTGTACCCTCCAAGCTTGCGTCCAAACCGTCAGCTCCTCGATCGTTAACGGAGAACTCAAGGAAACAATACTCCACATAAGAACGAACGATACAGTAGCTACAGCAACCCAGGAATCCCTCGAACCTATCTATATTCTAGGAGACAGCAGCGAATATCTTTACCCAATTCATATAAAGGTTATGATGGGCATGAGGTCGTGGTTTTCAGACCTGTTCCGTACGGGGTCGGCTTCAAGGAATCAAGAAGTGATCAGCAAAACCATCTCCACGCCAGACAATGTCATTGCGAATCTCACTGTCGGTATATCCAGCGGTGAAACATTTTTTGACACAGACATCGTGCAAGCTTTCTATTGGAACTACTACGAATACCCCGCCGGTATCGATATGCTGATGAACGATCTTGCGACTAGCGTAACAATCAGTTTTCGAAGCTTCAACGGCACCAATGTCACTGGCATAGCACACACCGTCGAGAGCTACATTCACGTCGAATGGGGCTTCCTCACGGTCCCTCTTCTCACCATTTTACTTACGATTATCTTTTTAAGCGGGGCAATCTACCAGACATACAGTCACAAGGCAAAGCTATGGAAAAGCAGCATGTTAGCAACCCTGGTCCATGGTCTGGACAGAAGTGCACGGGAAAGATTAGAAGACTTGGGAGGGTTGAGGGAGCAGCAAAACGCCGCGAAGTCTTTCAATGTGCAATTGAACGAAGGCGACGAAGGGCTCTTAGTCCTTTCCAAATATGATGATATTTAGCATAGAATTCGGAGTCAACATCCATATGTTCACTCCACACGAATGAATTGGCCATTTCAGTTTCGACGCGCTCTTTCCCACTCTCATAAATGCCAGAAAGAACTCTCAAGCATACTTGTGAATTAAGCTTAGTTGTCAATGCTATGGGATTCTTTCCCAACATTGTTATTCTCCCGGTAACTGTCCCCTTGAGACACGTGGCTTATACCGAGATAGGTATGGCGGAACGTTGTCCTCTTGCCCTACATGATGATTCAAGAACCAGAGGATTTCTTTCCAAGATTCGTAACCTAATAGTACAGTAGCCGATTGTGATTGTTTAGGTGTTATTGTGATTGTTTAGGTGTTATTGACTTTGTCTTCAAAAAGTTTATAGTATCTTGGCAACAAGCACATGGTGTCCCGATGCTGAGCTGGTAGAACATTGCATAACAGATCCATTAATCGAGAAATTAGCGAGTGTGTCGTATTGGACTTGATGTGGCATAAAAAGCCTGCAGTACAGGGAAGCCGGCGAATCTTGTTGTTTCTAACACCTCTCAATTGGGCAGTGAATAGACTTCTTGACTACAAGCTGTCCAACCACCTCCTTGACTTTGCCGCATTTGACCCTAGCCTTGGACGTCACTCCACCCTTTAATGAGAACGATTATTCTGTTCTGTTTCTGTCGTGCCAGTTATCGAATTCGCTCTGGAAAGAAAAATACAAGGGTATGATACCGCGGTGTTGAAGACCCATAAGTTCCTAGGCAACAAACATGTTGTAAAAGACGAACTATACAATAGTATGTATGGTTCACAAGCTTTCAAAACTCGAAGAACTGACGCTGGGTATGAACTACGAAGGACAAAGGAGGCGGAGACAATCCAGGACGTATATAGGTGTCCTGTGTCCGGCCCGGGTAAGTGTAACCTTTTTCGGTAACATTCGTCCAAGAAGAAATGCAATTCAAAAACGCGGTTGTTAGAGATTTCAGCTATCAAAAGAAGGACAGTTCGTTGGAAGCTATTACTCGAGCAACTCGGGGCGTCCGACCGAGGAGGGCCTGGATCGAAGTTGGTATTCAAAGCCGCTTGAGAGCTTGGAGGGTCAGGTAAGTCCGCTCACATCGCATATTCGACTCGATGAAACGGTGAGGGGAGAACTAGCGGTGACTGTAGACATGGTTTATGGGCCCATAGATCTGTAAAAAGCTTCGTTCATTCTTGGAGAAAGAGAGCATACCAATTCCAGCCATGACCCAGAACTAGAGCTATGCATACTCAACGTTGATCATATGCTCAAGTCTGCCGAAATACGAGTTCAAGCAACACACCGCCCTTCTACCAGAGATTTACAGCCGTAAGAAATAGCGAAAGGCGTTTGAATTCGGACGCTGCACCTTTCCAGATGCCTGGCGACTCTGAGGGCGGCAATCGAGTTATATATCAACTCGGCGGAGGTGGAAGAGACTCAAATGGTAATTCCGAGCCAGATTTATCCACGTCTTGACATAAAGAAATTCTAGTCCACTTCTGTCGATAGCTGGCCATTCGGATCATACTTACTTTGTTTCTGGTTAGTTCCCTCGTTATGGAAATATTGGTTTATGCTTTCATGAGTAAAGATGCGGCCATCTGAGCAAGGTTCATCCATGCATCCTAGTTTAACATCAAGGTGGCGGTATGGATAGAATGACACATGGCGCCTGAGACAAGTAGGCCCAATTATATCGCTAGCAGAAGTCCTTTTTGATAGCCGAGTTAGCCAAAAGAGCTTTGAGAGCTCTACAAGCATCAAAAGCCCCATCTACTCCTGTTCTTCACAGCGAAACCTGGTTCGTTCTGAGCAATCGATGGGTAGTCGAGTAGTATTTGTGCAGCAAGCCAATGCAGCTTTTTGTCAGCCTATCAGATTTAACTTTCAGAGACATTCCCCCCTTTTGAGTTAGAGCTCTTAGTGATGTTAGTAAAATCATCAGACGAAACACCCCTCCTCGTTACGCCGATCAATGTTTCGGGGTGTTTCACTCGCCTGCACATTCCAAGCTCTCAAATCAAGGGTGGAGAGTGATTTGGATTTCGACGTTGGCGTGGAGTTCCATATAAAGTAGTTAATCGATCTTGCCACTACCTGCGTCAAAACAAGCCACTGCACACAGTTCGAGAAAACTGTGTTACTTATATAGATGCACGACTTGGGCTTCAGATCGTGCTAGGCGGGGTTTTTAAAGCTACTTCAGATAAGCGAATCTGTTGCGATGTTGACCATCGCGGATAAATATCGGAGTTATCGGGTTAACCCCGATAGCTCATTGCCGGCGAATTCTCGGATAATTGGCCACGGATCCACCGAGGATTTGCGGCATTAAGTTGGTTATTCAACTAACCAACCCACGATAGTTATCCTTCTTTTCTTCACGCATAATAGAGACCACAGTTACCCCGATTATTCGTCAATTGCCACCGATACGTACGGTTAACCATATCACCATATCCCTGGTGTGACCAACAGAATCAGAATGTTTCTCGTGAGTGAGCTACTATTAAGTCAAAGAAGCTATTGTCTAACGGACGAAAGCCCATAATTCTTGGTTACTGTGCACTTGTTGGTGCTTGTGGACTATCCGGCCGGCATATGACCAGCCATAGCGAGACTCTTGTTGGGTATGTAACAACATAAATCCCATTAAACTACTCGAGAATTGTGTTGACATGAATTAGTGTTGTTCGCAGAGCCAGAGGCGGAAATCCGTTGCAAAGTTTTCGAATCTTTAACCCCTACCCAGGCATATTTGCCTACTATGATGGCCGTACTGGAGAGAGGTTTCACTCAGATCAACCCAACTGGCTTGACGATGGGGCTTTCACTCTTGGAGTATCGACATACTCCATAATTGATGGAAACGAGGCAATAATCTTTGACTCCCACATCACATCAGACCACGCTGAGGCTGTGATGCGTCATGTCCAGAGCCAAGGAGTTGCAAAAATGTCTGTCGTGATTAGCCACTTCCACAAAGATCACATTGCTGGGACAGAAGTATTCGCGAAGGGCGGCGCAACTATCGTGGGCAACGACGTGACAGCGCAGGTAGTGGAGAGTAGGGCGCAGAGTCTTGCTGCGGACGACCCTCCTATTCATGCAGTACCTCCAGCCGATATCTACACTGGCATGAAGGCTATGCAGGTTGGAAACTTGAGCGTTGAGATCCACAATTTTCAGATTCATACTCCTGATGGAACAGTGTTGTGGATTCCATCAAAGCAGCTGTTGTTCGCTGGCGATACTCTTGAAGATACAGCAACCTTTATCTCTGATGCCAAGAGTCTATCCACACATCAAAAAGAGCTCCAGCGCATGGCGAGCTTTCCAATCTCGAAGATACTACCGGCTCATGGTGAACCTAACCGAATTGCTACCGGTGGTTACAACGCAACATTTATTAACGCCACGTTAAGATATATCGACGCTATGACAGAAGACGTGCCCCAACCAGCCGCTTGGACGCAGCCTCTTTCTCAAGTTGTTGCTGCTGATGTGGCCAGTGGCGACTTGATTTACTTCAGTCAGTATGAGGAGGTGCATAAGAGCAACGCGGATTCTATTCAGAGAGCCCGTGGAAGAGTCGACCAGTGAGCGATTATGTTTGCACAGTTGTTCATCGTCTAATGTTTTGTGGTTGATACAAATTGAAGCAAGAATTATACATCGAACATTGTAATGACTATGTGTAGCTTTGTAATGGGCATAACAGATGCAGACTTTGGGAACATAGCTACCTGGTTCTCGTTTGTAGTCCTCGAATTTAGCGTAACGGCATCGCTGGCTTAAATACCCATCCACCCTACGAGTTTTCGGGCGTAATCTGGACTAAGACAGTCTCGTCAGTAAGACCTATTCAGTTGTTTAGAGACGTAAAGATAGGTCTCTTGCTCAAACTGAATTGCCATTTCTTTTCACACTACAGTGACTTCTACCACTTTGAATTGACTTAGCCAGCTGACCTATCGACTTTCCAGTGATCTCCACCAATAGACCAAGTCAGCTGGTATACTCAACTCGTGCCCTTCTGTGTCTGCACCCAGATGAATGGACTTTTGCATTCCTCGATGATGTAAATTCACCCGAGCTGCGGTAAGCGACAGAGAATGCGATCCATGGATCAGCGGGTAGTGGAACTCTTTCACACACAGAAACTCACATAACTGCAATACTTGCAAACCGGCTTACTACTTATCTCTCCCCATTCCTGTGTCAGCGTATCAATGAGTTTTACAAGCTATCTAGTATTGTTTGCATGCGCGCTTTATCTCCAGGTGTCGTGATTGACAAGTTGGAGCTTGCGATAACACCCACTTATGCAGCCTCACAACAAAACATGGTGCGCAACCAGTAAGAACCGAGTTGAGCGCGATAACCATGGTCTCACTGCGTCAGGGGGGCATAAGACCGTAACCCCAGTGTCTCATATTCCTTTCAAGTTTTGTGACCTGCAGACGACTCATCACGGAACGCTATTTCCGGGTGGAACGTGCCACCTGCGGTACCTCAACCAAAAAGGTGTGACGTCGACGGCGTTTACTGGTGGAGAAAACGGCGGTAAGGGAGTGGACGCATCCCCTCAGCTCCAACGGAGGAGTTCGTCGGAGCATTACAAAAAGACAGTAGTAAGCTGGACTTCTCCTGTAGATGTTTGCAACTTCAAGTTGGTTTCGCACCCTTGAAGCGAACGGTCCAAGACTCTTGGGGTGGAAAGTTTGAATTTTTTTTTTGTCAAATCCACTGCCTGACTTCAATAAGCCACGTAAACCTGAAAACGAGGTCGCCGGACATCTCGTAACTATCCCCTTTTCATCATGCCTTCAGCCCGCGACGCCGCGTCCGAGGTCCCGGACATGAACCTCTATAAACTGAGTCGAGTTCACAGCACACTTGAAGGTTTGAAAAACAAGCCAGAATGGACAGCGGATGACACAAAATCTTTTGACTGCATGCACTACCTGGGCGATGCAGCAATTGATAACGCTGCCAAAGAGCTGGGACTCAAAGCCGGCGAGAGGGTCCTCGATATCGGGTCCGGCTTCGGTGGAACAGGCAGATATCTTTATCGACATTACGGTGTTGCAACTACCGGGATTGAATTGCAAAAGGACATTCACGAGATTGCGCAAACTATCAACAAGAGATCCGGAGCCGGTGACAGGGCAATATCATTCAACGGCAACTTCCTTGAGCTTGACCCCAGCCTCATGGGTGCACCAGTAAACCATATCGTCTCTTTCCTCTGCGTCCTGCACATTCCAGAGCGAGTGGTCCTTTTCAAGAAAGCTTACGATGTCCTGGAGCCGGGCGGGAAGTTATACATTGAAGATTTCTTTGCGCGGGCGCCTCTCGATCGCAACAATCTTGAGACTCTCAGAGGTTCGGTCTCATGTCCCTATTTGCCGGACAAGAGCCACTATATGCAAGAGCTTGAGGCAGCCGGCTTTGAGATTACCAACTGGGTGGACATGTCAACCACCTGGACCGAGTTTGTTCATCGTCGTGCTGGAGAATACAAAAAGGATCCTTCTCTAGATGCTGATCTGACAGCATTCTACGATGCTGTAGATGCAGTCTTTGCAGGAGGCCAGGTCGGCGGAGCTAGGGTCACCTGTCAAAAGAAATGAGTGTACATTGAGTCATGTTTTTCAATCAAGCTATTGCTTTTAGAGGATTATGGGCCCAGGGTCTACTCTAGTAGGATAACTTCATTGTTCATAGATGTTATCTAACGACGGTGTTTCATGCCAAAAGCTAAAGTTAAAAGCTACCACAAGTTTAATACTGCATCTGAGATATTGAACTCAGACTAGCCCATCCACATAAGCAAACGAAGTTGCCGAAGATTTGTAACCGAAGATGTTAGGTGACATTGTTTCGCTTCATTTCGTGCGTTGTTCAGGGCTAGTTTAAGATGAGCGTCTACTAGGTCTAGGATGATAAACATGACCTCGCGAGTAGCCTTCCCTGAAACGAAGTTTTGTACTGATTTAGCCTGAGGTTATAGTTGTGCTTTTTGCGAGAAGTGAATAAACCTAGCTGCTGATATGTTTGTTCTTTACCTTCAAGCGGGTAAAAGAAATCTTTAACATGGTGTCTGCTATACCACAAAGTAACGGCGCCATCCCAAAATTAAATCAAAATTTGCCAAAGGTACTCGCTACTATTACTATTCTATCTGTACTCCTTGACCAAACTATTCATACACTAGGATCCGAGAAGGAAAAACTTGGGATGACTGGAGGAGAAGAAAGATTTGTTCTCAATTCCCCTAGTCCCATGGCATTCCCGAGACGATTTCATAGGCTGAGTGGATATGGTGCACTTTTCGAAAAGTAAAGACATCCTGGGCGCAAAGTTTCGTAGTCTCGAAACGAACGAATCAGGAAAGTTTTCCCAATGAGCAATGTCCAAGTACGACAAGCTCATACAGCTTGAAGCTAGAGCGCAGTCCTTTATGTTATGCAATGCCTCTTCCTTGGAAACCGAAACCGAGTAATACTAGACAGGGTTGGGGCTCAAGCAAAGAGGGTAGGGGCTACGTTTGACGTTGGAGAATTAACACACTGACACAAGTTAAAAGATACTAGAAAGCGGGAGAAAGACAAAATTAAAGGAAATGGAGATTTATTGCTGTACGCACCACAGCAAAGCTTATACAGAGAAAAGGCAAAGTCAGCGTATACACGTACCCGGTGTTCAAGGAAGTATTTGGTAGCAGTCAAAGTTATTCGTACGAATACAGCGCTTACGAAAATGTGGGCTTGTCCACAAGAAGCACAAGTCAGTATCCAGTATGCTGATGATTGTCTGAGTCAGCCTTTAGACTTGGTTGCCTAGTTGAGCTTGGCCTTGTACCCGCTTGTCGGTTGGACCATGCGAAATGGGTATTGGTGATCTGCGGCTAGTGAGACAGGGAGCGAAGGATTGATTGGTAAGCTCCGCTGTGCCCAGAGATACGCGGCTTTCGAAGACATTCAGAAATGATGCTCTAGGAAGCTCACGTACGTCGTGTATCTCCAGTTAGCTTCCCTTTTAGCGAAAAACTGTCGCAACTTCTGCTAAAGGGTTCATGAAGAACTCAAGGAGGACTTGATATTCACTGGAGTTATGGGCAAGCATGCCAGAAGCAATATGTTCCAAAACTTCTCAATCTAAATCCGGGTTCGCGCGTCGATATTCCGTTCCAACATCAGATGCCACACAAAAATCTTCAAACACTCTATCCGTCTCAGATGTGAAGTTGCATATGTATGACATCGCAAATCTTGATAGCACGAGGTTTACTGACCCATCCATGGTCAGAATTGTCATGAAAGCGTTGCAACTTGATAGGTCAACATTGTGGTGGTGGCTGCTGGTGTAATGAATGCAAGCGCGGCGAGTCGGATAGCCTATCGTTTCGAGCAAACAATAGTACCGGTAGGTGTCTGTACAGACTGAGCTAGGCGGTTGGCACGGCCCAAAGGTTACATTATAGAAAAGGTGGGCACATGAGTAGACACAAATGCGAGTGTGTGGCGGGCTATACCTGTCACATGCGTGGCGGTCGGGGACTGGGCGCAAATGGAGGATAGTGCTCGTGAGGCTTGGTCTATGGTTGGACTACCGCAGGGCCAAGAAGGAAGGATTGGGTGACAATGCGGTGAGGACGCACTCAATGAGGATAAGTTTGTTAGAGGAAAATGATGCTGCCACCATCAAGACACGCATCCTTAGCAAGAAACCAAGCATGAGTAAGAGCTACGGACGACGAGGTGCACAAGAAGACCTAAGCAGTGGAAATTACAGGGTGTTAGAGAAGAATGCCAATGCACAGAAAGCATACTTGTCTTTCTACGGATACAACGAAAAGGCCCTGTCTCAGTGGCAGGGTACGGGAAATATTCGGTCTCGTCATGATTCGTCTCAGACAGCTGTGCCCCGTTTTATTATGTTAAGCCGATATTGAAGGGGCTGATTTCTTTACGAGGGTCTCGGTTAACTTAGTCCTCAGGTGGGAGACGCCGGCTGTGCCGGACCCCACTCTCGAATAGGTAAAGAGTACACAATACGGAGTACGGAGTAGATAATAGCCATATCATCCGACCGTTTTAGGGTATTATCGTGTACCTGTTTGACTTTGAGATTGGCCATCTTGGGTACGTACCTCAGTAGCCATACCTAATCAAGTATTTGCATGGGTGTGTTCTGGTAAGACCTTCCATTCCGCGCTCTGACATAGGGGAATGCAGGGTGATATGGCCTTGCATCGTGACTATGCCACCAAGCCTAACGTCGGGTAAAAATGCATCCTGTTTCCAAGTTTTATGACACGGACACCCGGTTTCTGAAGAATCAGCGGCGCCCGTTAGGTAGTCGGTTGATACAGAGCAATACCGTCGTTGATTCCACGAGTAATGAAATGAAACGGGAACATGAATTCATCGGCCTACCCGCCAGTAGAGCGTATTCGGGTTGGAAGAACATAACGTAGTTATTAATACACAATCATTATAACAAACGCATCCGTGATGATTCGGGGGTGGAGAGACTCTGCACAGAACTTGCTGCTATTTCAGTTTAATATGACTAGGTTAGGCATAGAGCCGCGGGGAAATCAACAGGGTACACAGTGTGAAGGGGCGCCAAAGGATATGGGGAGGCAACGTAAATTTATTGGTGACACAACCTGTCAATCTAGAGTTTTAGTCATTGGGCGTAGGAGAGATTGGATGGTGCCATATCGTAATGGAAAGGGGGGGGGGGGGGGGGGGGGGGAGGACATGGATGTCGGTGCGCTAAAGACAGAGTACAGTTTGACAGTACTCCGTATAATGGCAGGAATAAGGTGACTGCACAGGCACACAGACCAGCATAGGATAGGATTGGAGGGCGGACATTGGAAGCACTTTGCTTTTCCGACTGGCTGTCACTAGTGTACCAGCGTTGCAGACATTGCGTGGCGGTCTGTTTCTTTCTTTCTTTCTGTTGGTTGAGCCTTTGCGTTGGTGTAGGTATTTGTATGCGTGCGACGCCAAGAGACGCAGTATGTATCAGTTGATACACCCGGTTCCGTGTGTAGTATCCGTACAGACTGAGTTAATAACCAAACAGGCACGAGCATATAAGAGCTCGCTAGTAAGTAGAGGGTACCCATGCCCATAAAGACCGGCCTTACTCATATGAGTGGAGGCATGGCTGGCAATGATGGACCAATTTTTTTGCTTTGGTATGAGTGCTTATACATTGACTACAAATTGTGGTGCGTGCATGCGCGTGTGCACGCGGGGAGGATGAGATCCCCCCCCACACACACATACTACCTAGGTACGAACAGGCAGGTGTGAAAAATCTTTAGACTGATTTGGTTGAGCCGGCGGAACCATGACAATCCCCGTCTTGGACGTGGCAGCGAATCATCGACGATTCCAGCTTACGAAACTCTTACGACATGGATAGAGGGCGCGACTAGGTAGTTTGTGTACGGCCAGCTGCCGAGCATCCATGTGTACGCTGTACATGGATATGTGGAGCAAATCAGCAGAAGTGTACGAATATGGTACTAAGTCGCAGGCGAGGAACTAGATCTAGACGAAAAGGTGGAGGCTGATCTTTGCCAGACAATAACAGAATGCCAATCTGCCAATTATGGCACCCTGGCTGCTAGGTATTCCATGGCACCCCAGTGCCAATGCTTTGCACCAGTAAGGTAAGAGTGTGACAAAGAGGGTCCGTGATGAGTCGCGTGGGAACGACGGGCGAATATTACCTAAATAGACGGCGGAAGCAGCCAATAAACGAAGCGACTAGAGGCTGTATAAGGGATCAATTATACCTGTGCCGCTACGAAGCGAGGTGCTCTATGCGGTGGCATGCCAAGCCACAGATAAATAGTAGGGTAAGAAGCATGAATCTTACGATGGATACGTTGCTGTGCAGGTTGAGTGAGAGTGAGTAAGAGGGGTGTGACAGCCATAGATTTGCCACGGATCGCTTGCCCAGCGTGGCTTCTTATGTTTTATGACGAGGGCGAATCCAGGTAGCGTGTTTCCGGCGACGGTTGTCGTAAAGGTAAGGTGAGGGAGGTGAGGTCAAGCCGGGCGGTGATGAGGTATGATGAGTGAGATGAGATAAGGAGGTAAGCGACCAGGGGTTTCTAGTGGCAGGGTTAGCCATGGCGCACCTTAGATCGGTGGGGCGAAGGGCGCAGGGTGATACGAAGCATTTGCGCAAATCAACGCCGCACGCAATGTTGTACTCCCGCCCACATCGCTTTTCTGCGTTAACATCCTTCCTTAAGGCGAGGTTTAGTAGGGGGTGGGGAGGGATCGTGACATGAGAGCCAGGAGGAAAGCTGTTTTTGGCTCCTTCGACCCGGGGCTGAGCCGGCCAGATGAGGAGGTGCTTTGAGAGAGTCGAATCAGATGCGAGTTTGTTCAAATCCAGTTTGTCAAGGAGCAGAGCAGCGAACAAGCAGTGCCAATGAAGCTCCTTGGTCGATAAAGGCTAATGACAACAACGGTTGGAGCCAGTCGGACGTAAAGTCCACTCATTGGATGGGAGGGGAGAAACAACTCAAAACAGCGTAGGGTTCTTCTGTCCAGGGTTGGAATTAGGCTATGAATATCTCTGGCGTTGAGCTATCTGGGACAAATCTACCGCGTCAGATGTGTCAAGAAAACACTGTGCTCATAGCTTTGTGTGAGGGAAGACCTAGCGTCGGTGTGTATGCACTACGTACAGGTATGTCCTGTATGTATATGTAGGCCATTTGAGCGAGAGGGGGCAGTACGGGGCCGTGTACGTACATTTTTGAAGATGATGTGTCCACAGACTATAATCCGACTTTGCGTAGGGCCCCAACGAGTGGTGGGTGGTGTCCAGGAGTAAAATGTAGGTGAGATCTATGGCGCCAATTAAAAACAGGGCGCGCAGTTTGCATTTACAGGCAGAGTGTCAGCACGAGAAGGAAAAGCAAAAAGAAAGAAAGAAAAAAGGATAAAAAAGTACCTACCTAACTTAGAGAGAGAGAGAGAGAGAGAGAGAAAGAGAGAGATACGTACCGTGTCGCCCACCAGTCTCTCCATTCAATCCCAGCAGGGCCGTCCTGTCCGAGGGGAACGTATCTTTCTAAGTTTGGTCTGCATCCTCACCTTAGGTACAGATGCACCCAGCAACTGAGATACGTATCCACAGGCGCCGAGATAAACCCAACCCAATCTGTCCCAAATATCCGTACAGCCTAGATAGCCCCTGCCTACCGTTTTTACCTACCTACCTACCTAGGTAGGGTAGTCTACCTGACTGACTGCAGGTTATATCCGTAGCCTGAGTATTATTGTACATGTAGCCACCAAATGAGCCTTTTCCATCCCCCCCTCATACCCTACGGGCACAAATTCACTACTCACTGTATCTAGCTATCCGCTTGTCTTGTCTACTTTACTTTTCCCTTTTTCAAAACCAGTATTCATCATTTCTTCTCCCCATTTTTCATCATTCTAAATCGCCACCTTCCCCCTTGAGGCGTAGCACCTTGTCTCGCGCAGATAGACACCCACCCTATTATCCATTGTAGTGTACGGCAACCCCGTTATATTCTTTATCTACTCGTCCGTCTTTCTACCACTCCTCTTGTCATCTCTACTCTACACACCTACGCCCCCAGCTACTGTTCCAGTCAGAGTCAATCACAGCCATTGACGTGACCGCTCTATAGAGTCAGGTCAACACGCCGGGTAAGTACTTGCGTGGAGTGTTCTGTTGTTCACCGTTCTTCCGTCTACACGAGCAACAAGAGAGAGGGGCCGAGAGGTGTGCTGCTCGCCCAGGACAATGTAATGCAATGCCATCCATCCATCCATTTAATGGTTTGAGCCAGGCATACATACAATGACACAATGACAAGATGTCGTTTGTGCCCATGCTATCTATGATTGCTTACCTGCCTACTTACCTACCTACCTAAAACAATGGGTTGTCCATCCTTCTTTCCTCCTTCCCACCCCTCCTTCGCTCCTTCCATCCGTTTGTCCGTACGCTGGCTGGAGAGGTAATATTCGTTCCTCGTATGCTCATGCTCATGCTCCTGCCCTTTTGCTTTTGCTTCCACACTTACTCACCCCTTCTTTCCTGTCGCCGCTTCACTCACTTCGCTTCTGCTGTCGCCAACTGCCACTTCCATCCCATACCCTTTCCTCTTCATCCTACGCCTTGCCCTCTCTTTTCCTTGCTCTCCTCGCTCACCCTATCCATCCCTTGATAAACTCCATTTTCAATTCGGGATCCGCATCCCTCTCTCCGTATCTTTCCTCCTCCTTTTTGTTTTCTTTTCCTCTTCCATGTTCTTCCTCTTCCGACTCCTGCCTAGGACCTAATCCTAACCTGGACTACCTACCCACGCAGAGAAACCCAAAACGATCAGATTAGATCCACAGCCAGGCAGACAGACGTTGAACCCACCACGCACCGTGCCCGCTCGCCTTGTCGACCTCCAAACGCTATTTTGGGTCATCACTTCATCATCATCGTCGTCGTCGTCGCCGACGGTGACCGCCAATTTCTTACCGACACTTACAATTTCCCACATTCACGTCCTCTTCCCATTCATCTTCTTTGAGCTCCCCTGGCTAGAGGCACTGCCCGTTGCCATTGTCGGCCCTGCTGCAGAAGAGATTCTTAATTACTTTTCGGACTGAGGTTGTGCAAACACTCCAATCGACCCTATCAAATCCACCAACGGCAGCGCTTATTTCATCATCCGTCTTCCCATCTTCACGTCAAACTCTCACAGGAAGCCATTCATCAGCGATATCTGTTCGACGCCGCTCAAGGCCGACTACTGACTGCTCTTCGTTCTCTGGGCCGATTGACTAGCTGGTAGGTTGGCTTGATCCTGCCTGTTTCCAAGATTAGGTCGTGAACTGAAAAGATATCTGCCTAACACTGCGCCAGGCAACGGAACGTGGCCCTCTTGGATTTTGGGCATGGGCCGATGACCTTTTGGCCAGCCACTCAACGCCGGAGGAGAAATCGACGGATGCACCCTTGCTTGATCAGTTATCGTTTTTAAGTTACGGCGCCACCTTACACAGTCATGGCGACTTCTAGTGCCCCCATCACAAACGGGTCACGCAGCGGACAGCTGGACATAGACCAGGAACGCCGACGTTGGTTCGCCGACTTTGAGGCAATAAAAGCCCGGTTCGCGGCAGAAAAGGAAACCCTCAGATCGAGATTCCTCCAACAACAGCGTGACGCATGTACTGACCTGGATGGAGAGGGCCGCTACGCCGACCTGCCAGGTCTGCCTCAAAAGGCCCGCGACCTCATCCAGAAGTACCAAAACGAGCTTCGATCTCACCGCTGGGCCGCCTGCCAGCAAAGGTTCGATAACGAGGAGAAGGATCGGGCAAGCCGCGAAAATGACGCTCTTCGAGAACATTACCTGGTCTTCCCTGTCCCTGGCTTCTCCGGACAGAATGTACGCAATGCGGGTTACAACAATTCGGCCGCAGGACCATTGAGGCGATCCTCGACGATGGTGCCAAGCCAGACACCGCCGACTGGACGCATCGGACTAACAACAGATATCTCGGCTCGCGGTCCTGCGTCGAGTTCGATTACAAACCCGATCCCGCAATCACGTCAACCACTGCCCCAAGGTGCCATGGTACCCTCGCAATCCTTACAGTCAAACCAAAATGGTCTTTCGAGACCAGCAAATGCTGCCTCCGATGATATGAGTTCCGCGCCAATGCCCCATCAGCAGCTTCACAACCAAGGCCGTCAGCCGCAGCAGCACGCAAATCAACATCAACTCGATCAGAGCTGGCCTCATCAAGGCCAACCCGCCCCGCAGCAGAGATCACCCCACCTGACCTCCGTCTATCAGCAGCAGCGGCCAGTCAACGGTAGCCCAGGAGTGAATGGTCCTGCTCGCGTGCTTCCTTCGCAGGTTCCCGTCCTTGCAAGCAACCACTTTGGCCCCATGCGAACCAAACCCGCAGTTGCCAGGGCTTCGAGCGGTGGCCATCTCGGGATGTCTGACTCTACTACGCACAGCAATCGAGTTCCCCTCCCATCAATCAACGCGCCACCGATGAGTTCCCGCGATGAAAGGTTTCAAGCGCACAATGCTAGAAACATGTCGCAACTGCCTACGCCGCGACCCGAAGACATGGCGAGACAGGCTATGGATATTCAGCGTTTAGCGAAGCGAAAGTCCGATGCAAGTGAGGTGTCGGTCAGAGACACGGATCTCAAGCGAGCCAGAATCGATGCTCCCCACTCGATTGCGCCTCGGACAATCACCTTCAAGGAGGTCTATCAGGATGGCAAGGCGGAATATAAGCACAACATTGTCAAGTATGACGACGTGTTCTACATCTTGCGCTGTGATGAGCACGGTGTGCACTTCAAGCAGAATGCTCTCGCTGCCGCAGCAAAGCATCTCCACGGCGCCTCGCACGGTCACCAGAGAAAAGAACATAAGCTAGCTGTGGAGACGCTTGGGTTCCACGTGGTGGACTGTACGGAAGAGCTTGCCGCACTGAACAACGAATGTGTGCGAAGGGCGTTCCAGAATGGCTACAAGCCCCTGAATCAGCTACACGGGCCGAAATCTGGAGGCAAACGACTCTCGGTCGGCGCGTCGGTCGGCGCCGCGGCCGAAGTGGATGTGGCTGGCGAACGGGTCGTATCAGCATCGCAGTCGCCTATCCAGACTGCGGCGCAAGTTGTCGAGCTACAAGACGCCAATGGACAGGATGAAAAGGAGGAGGAGGCCAGGCAACAAGCCAGGCAGGAGACAAAACAGCAAGTCTCGGCGTTGACAAAGAATATTCTCAACCCCAAGGCAGGAGAGTTATATCATGCCAAATGGCCAAGGAGCAACAACCTCTACACTGTCATGGTTCTCGGTTGGACAGACCTCAAAATGTGTGGTTGGGAGGAGAAGCTGAGCCAAACGCAGCTCTGCGACAGGAAGATTAGGCCAGCTTGCTACGTGTATAACGACGATGGCATTGCTGGATGGGCACCTGGCTTTGAGGATGGCGAGGATCGTGTCTTGGAAAGAGATATTCCCGTATTGTGGTTCGAGTCCAAGGGGAAAACTCGCCTTGGCTGGTTGGGCATTAAGTGGCTTTTGGGGCCCATGGTCCTCGATGATCCGAACCGACCAGCTGATCCCGACCATCCATCAAACCAGGCACGAAAATGGTATGCAGACATTCGTGGGTACGACTCCTTCGAGGCCATGCTCGTGTCATCGGGCGCGGAGGGAGCGGTGCCTACGAAGGTACCATCTTCCGCCTCGGCGTCTGATTCGGATTCGATTCCGGATGTAGACATGTACGACTTTGGCGACAATCCCCCACCCGTCGATGATTCGGATGACGAAGACTACGTGGAAAGAACAAGCCACAAGGACAAGGAGTTGGAGGAAGAAATGGTGGACGCAGAACCCCAGCCCCTCAGGCGGAGCACTCAAGAGGTGCGCCCTACTTTGCGGTTGGGCGAAAGCAGTTGGCTATCGGGCAGACTGGAAGCTGCTGCCGGAACACGCCTATCTGCTCAGAAGGACATGCCGGCAACAGTCGGCAGCGATGATGTGACGATGGAAGATGCCAGTCAAGCAACTTCGTCAAAGAGTTATGTCACTGGCGACGAAACACCCAATACGACGGGTGTTAACGGTGGTTTGCTCAGCTTGGCACTCGGGACCCCTGCTAGCCCAATCAGCGAGAGTGCTGTCATGGTAGGTCTTTCCCAATCGGCTACAAGAACCAATGACGGCGCTTCTAAGAGTGTGGCGTCTCCGGATTCAATGCGGGACCCGGGTGGGCGTGCTGCGATTTCGGAACCTTCAACAAGGGTCAACTCGTCTCAGAGACTCAACGAACAGGAGAGCGCAAGAATGGACAGCCGAAAGGATTTGCAGCATGGGGAGACCGAGTCTCGGTTGGGTCATGCAGCTATGGCCAACCTCGCCCAGAGCGCCGTGAAGGCTGCGTCCAAGTCGCCAAGCTTGAGCATGGAAGCCCCTCAGATAAGCCCTGCCTTAAATGTTGCCGACCTACTCAATGACGCTACGACTCCTGAGAAAGTCGTTGGGCAGCCGTTAGTATTCACTCAGGATAAGCCCGCCGGGGCTCGCCGACCTCTGCCGTCGGGATCCGTGCCAAATTCTCGCTCGTCTGGCGTGGCAGTAATCCAGCCAACGGCTCGGAAGCATCCTGTGCCACATAAACCAACCCTTGGGCCAATCAGCAGTCAGAGGGAAGGTGTAAGTCAGCAGCCGTCGCCGGCTCTGTCTGTGCAAAGCAACGGCAATAAGGAGGAGACGCCGGGAATGCAACCCCCAAGATGCGGTAGTGCCGGTAGCGCCGAGAGCATGCCGCGGCGACCCGATCCTCGCATGAGCATTAGCAACGCGGTGGAGGATGACGGTGGTGATAGGATACGGCGGACGGAACTTAGCGTCCCCGAGAAAGACCACGGACCCGGCAGCGGCATCTCATCAGGCAACAACACGCCCAGAGTACTGACACACATCAGCCTGGCCAACGATGCACGGTGGAGGGCTGTTCGCGCGTCTGAATCGCCGTGCATGTCACCGGTCATGATGCCATCGCCCGGTGTCGACCGAAGCGCGGCGGCATCCCCTGCATTGGACGGCAACAGAGAAATGGACAAGACGATCGACGTGGCCGAATTCTACGAAGGTGACAAACACTGGGCGCGAGAGGGCGAGTTCCTGCAGTTCATACTGGAGGGCGAGTCCGGCAGTGTTGCGAAGACTAAGAAGGAGGACGGCATTGAGGTGACGGTGGACCCCTGTCTAGTCAAGGCAGCGCATATGACGGGGTCAGAAGTAAGGTTGATACTCAAGACGGGTGGCGACCAGCGATTCGTGTTTAGCGGGAATACGCTTACGGGCAGCCACCGCGGAGCCAAGCTGCAGATGACCAAGTTCTATCGATGGGTGACGGCCAACAATGCAGACATTGAGCACATTGGCTAGGGAAGGGAGTGAGAAGGTGGTAGCCTGGCTTGGGGCTTTCTTTGCCACAACACTACGGGTCTTCGCAAGGCCGAGAACGTGGTCTAGGGGCTGGAATTGACCGGAGCGCAAGATGGTGTTCCCCTCCACTTTCCACTTTCCATTTTCTTTTCTTTTCTTCTTTTTTTTTTTTTTTTTTTTTTTTGTTTTTGCCCCCCTTCTGTGTTCACCTTGACGGTTTTCTTCCTCTCCTTTGTCAAAATCGGGTTGTAGAATTAAGATGGCTCTTGCTTGGCACGGAATAGGCGATGTGTTGGGCGCCCGGATGAGTGGGCTTAGCAGGCGTTTTGAAAGGGGGGAAGGTTCTCATCAGAAGCATTTTGTTCTGGAGGGGAGTTTGAGTTCTTTCTAGCTTGCTTGGAAGTGTTCCTAAGCAGATGGGTCTACTAGGTAGTTAATACGGATGAGCAGCACACAGCGGTCTCTGATAGCATGATTGAACTGCGTGATGATTGAAGGGGGTGAGGTGATTGAAGAGACATAGTTGCAGTTGCAGTTGCGGCTAGGGTAACGGCAAGACTTTTTGATGGTAAAGAGGCTGGTCATGGCGGTGTTGTTGAAACATATTGTGGAGGTCAAATGGATTTGCATGTGATTGCCGGGGTTGAAGTGAAGCGCAGTCAGTGCATGCAGTGATGCGAGGGCTGAATCATTGATTGACGGTCAATTATGTACACACACGTGGATACTCACTTATGTACCTCCTACCTACCTCCTTAGGTACCTGGTAGGTAGGTCGGTCCGTAGAGGCAGAGGCTAGTGTAGTACCTAGATAGGTAGGTAGGAAGAAGTCGTTCTGTGTGCTGGTAGACGAAGAGCGGCACTGGCAGGTACCTTGGGTACCTACCTACCTACCTAGGTAGGCAAGCAAACAAGGCTCACGTGGACACCCCCCCCCCCCAACTCATGTTCCTGCGGAAGCAACGGCCACCTACCTACAGTATCTAGGTACCTTCCCTGGCCTGATACAGTCGGTACAGCAGCCATCTTCTACCTCGTCTTCACACGACGGTCGCTTCCCACTTCTTTCCCTCGTGTCGTGTCGTGTCGCATCCTACTCGCCTGCATTATACTCCAAAGACAACCAGGAAGACAGAGACACGCCTCGCAGAATATCTACTGGATAAGAGACACACAAGCCCAGGCAGACCGATGCTGAGACGGCCACTCTAAAGTGTGACAAGCGGGCGATCGTGTCAGCGACGACGACAACGACGACGACGACGACGACGAATAAGACAACCAGGAACACGACGACGGCTACGACAACAGCAATAGCGACAACGACGGCAAGACCAAGTCTAACAGGACCCGATATTAGCTCCCCCACCAACTGACCGACACCGATGACATTGCGATCCACCGACTCGAATCCGGCCCTTCAATGCGCATGCGGTTGCTGAGCTGAGAAGAACCTCGCTGCTTTTCGCAAAACCCTTCGAAGCCCTTTGGCCCTTTGGCCCTCGCCTGGACTCTTCTTCCACGACTCCCGGTAAACCCATCTCTTGCGTGTTGTTTGACGAGACCTTTCGCGAGAAACGAACTCTGTGCAGTACCCTACCGGCAGTTACTCAACATCAGCGGACGCAGTAGAGGACACCCCGGACATTGATGGCTGCCTTTGTGAGTCTCCTCTGCTCCCGAATCGCGCAACATGCCCCATCCTTATCTCTAAGATCCTTGCCTCCCTTCCTATCTGTCCGTGTCGGCCGTCTGCCTAGCATTGCCTCTCTCTTTCTTCCGTCATCGTGGACCAGGTCTGCATGGCTGCCCTCCCAGCACCTCAGATCCGCATCGTTCCGTCATGGCCGAGATCAATATCAGACCGGACCAGGGCAAACCAACTCAGGGTTGAGCTGAGCTGAGCTCGGGACAGCACAGTTGCAGCCAAGCAACCAACAAAAAAAAGAAAGAAAAAAAAAAAAAAGACACCGAAGCTGCCTTTTCCCCAGTTGTTTGTTACTTTGCGCTTAGGCGTGCTTCAATACATCAGCCACCACGTCATAATTGTCATCTCCCAGGCTCTCATCTCTATTCTCTCCCTCCTCTTTTCCAATCCTTCTCTCTTTCTCGCTTTCCCCATTCGCACAATCGCATACCACCACCAAATGGCATACTGCCTGCACCCTGCATATTCTCGTCGGCCTCAATGACGGCTTGCGACTGTCGCTTGTCATAACTACCAGTCAACTGTTCCCAGGCTAACCGTCTCCCGCCACCCGCCGCAGGAAACACCCTGGCTAGTCCACATGTCAACCCCGAAAGCCCACCGAGGCGCCGATGCCGACTCCGGTAGCGACCCCTCCCAGACCCCCGGCGTCGACGGCACTCCCTCAGGCGCGCCGCCCACGTATGCGACCTTCTCTCCCGTGACCCTCGCTGCGACGACGCCGAGCCGCTCCTCCCGCCGGTCCACCATCATCGTCCATCAGAAATCGCCCCTCTTGTTAGCCACCCCGCCTCAAATCACCCGCGCCTTAGCATACTCGCACCCCTTCCTGCTACCCCTCAACAAACTCGCCGGCCTGCTGACATGGACGACCGATGATCCGTGGGAGAGCTTCCTGTTGCTCGCCTCCTTCTGGGCGGTGGTCCTCTACGGTGACATGGTCGTGCGTGTGGCCGGGCCCATCGTTCTCGTCCTGACCCTGATACTCGGCATGTACGGCCGCCGCTTTAGTCCGTTGAGTAGCAGTGGGTGGACCGAGCCAGCTTCCAAGGACGGGATTGCGTCGCAGAACACGGGGGGTGCGAACATGGGCAAGGGCGCACCCAAGAATAGTGCCAATGCCACCACCGCCAAGGGACATCATCGAGGCGAGTCCGAGGCGACGAATACCAGACACCAAAAAACGCTCGACGAGATTGTCGAGACATTGAAAGAGTTCACCGGGCGGTGTAATGTCCTGCTTGAGCCGCTCCTCGAACTGACCGACTTCCTGAGCACTCAACGCACGCCGACGTCGGCCACGACACGACCGGCCTTGACGACGCTGTTCGTGCGGATATTGTTCTGCACCCCCTTCTGGGTGGCTTTGACACTGCCGCCGCTACGCATCATCACTACTCGGAGGGTGGCTCTGCTCTCCGGGACGCTGATGCTGACATGGCATGCCAGGGTCATGCGGGTTGCCCGGACCCTCTTATGGCGCAGTGCAACGGTCCGGAGGACGGCGGCCCTGGTCACCGGCCTCACCTTTGAGAAGCCCGTCAAGGCCGTACCCGTACAGATCGCGGCCGAGGGAAACGGCGGCATGGTCCACGCTAAACGCCCGGCTGTATCCGAGCTCACCAAGGCGCTGCGGAGGCAATCGCACAAGCATGGTAACAACGCCACGAGCAAGGACGCGGGAGTCAAGTTCACTTTCATTATTTATGAGAACCAGCGGCGCTGGGTCGGGCTGGGCTGGACGCAAAGTATGTTCGCCTACGAACGCTCGGCCTGGACGGACGAGCACAACAACCCTGTGCCGTCGCGTGACACGTTTGAGCTGCCCGAGGTAGAGGACGGGAGTAACATGCGCTGGCGGTGGGCCGACGGAAGTAAGTGGAGGGTCGACGGTGTTCCCGATGACGGGACTGAACCGGTCGACTACGACGGGGAGGCTGGGAAGAATGGCTGGATTTACTACGACAACAAGGTGAGTCGTGTAGCGTGAGGCAATGACTCACAGCGGCGATTAACATGGCACTAGTGGCAAAACGGCCGTCGCGGCGCCGACGGCTGGGGCCGATGGACCCGGCGCAGGAAGTGGTACCGCGACGCGGAGTTGGTGGAGGTCTCGGAAGACGAGATGGCACACGAGCTGGATGCATCACAACCGGCGAACCCTCCGCAGTCCGGATCACCGACGATGAAACCCCCGGGGCCCGCCCTGACGACGCAGAGGTACAGCACGCTCGAAGAAAAGATGGTGTCACCAACGCAATCAGCACAAGACCTAACGCTGCCAGATAAGGACCTAGAGAGAGAGAAGGAAGATACGGCGTCGACTCTGTCGACCAGCTCGGGTGGGCGGTCGTTCTTCAAGGCGCCGTCGCTGAGGAGAAAGGTAACAGACAAGAGCGTCGCCAGCAAAGCCGACAAGGAGCAGGACCGCAGCCGCAGGGCAAGCGAGGCCAAAAGTGAGGAGGAGGCGGCAGCGCTGGGGCTGAAGCTCAACCTTGCGTTGCAGGGCAAGGACGGTGGTCAGTGGGGGATTGGCGACGAGGCGAGGATGAACCTGGAGTGAGAGGCCGGGGAGGGCACAGCCAACCCGCTCGCCCGCCCGCCCTAGACTTTCTTTTTCCTTTTCCTGTTTCCGTCTCCTCTCTTTGGTGGCCGGTTTCTGATAACTCGGCGTCGTTGATGGCATTGGAACGGCACGGTTGAGCATGTACGGCGTTGACGGCTGTAGAATATTTTACATGATTGGTGGAGTGTACGATTTAGGGAAATATCGGGGTGTAGGTACAGGCACAGGTGCGGGTAAATGCGAGACCAAGGGGGTGTATTTGTTACGTGTACAAGGCACAGTGGCCCGCCGCTTCTATCACTTTTTTCCTGTGAATGAATGAAGCCATGCCCCCAAAAAATTGTGACCAAAAAAAAAGGTGCGTGACCAGGTATACACGGCATGAGTGGTGCGCAGCTGGGCTGGGCACTGGGGACAACGAAAGCATTGGGAAAAGACGGGGCACGCGGGGTATAGAGTTCGGGGTATCGGGCCTGCTGAGCAGGGCAGAGTGAATGAAAACTGACGACGGGAGGGTGAGCTGAGGAGAACATGATGGATGAGTGAGTGAGTGAGTGGGCTGGGGGGGGGGGGCGGATGGGATGATGGATGTGTTGGGAGTGATGTGAGATGGATCGAGGGATGGGCTCAGCTGCGACGAAATGGTGACGGGGTCAGCTGGTCCGTCGCCTGTCGGGAGGGAGTCGGTATCTTTTTTATTTTTATTTTACTTGTTCGACTTGCCGACAGGCGTGCGCGTGTGATTGTTAGTCAGTCTGTCTCGTCAGTGGTGACACGGCCCAATGTCGGTGGTGGTGCCTGATGTTGGTGTACTTGCTAGGTATTCAGGAACACACTCACACACACACCTACGTCTCTTTTCCACGTCGTCTTCGTTCCTCGACCTGTTTCTGGTTCCCCCTTTTCTTTTCTTCTTCTTCTTTCCCTGTTTTTCCCGGTACCCTTCCCTTTACCCCTTTGTCTCCCACATTCAATTACCTTTTCTCCTCTCTCTCCTCCTCTTCCTCCTCCTCCTCATTCATTCCCCCTCCACGTTTTTGGAGTACTCTCAGCAATCCATGTCTACGCAGCGAGGCCGTCGCATCGCCACCGAGCAGCACGTTTCGATTGATGCCCGTCCCCCATAACCTTAGCGCATAACGCCCATATTACGTCCCTTGCCTTACCAAAGCACACGCACCGCCTCGCGCCGAGCCGAGGCCCCACCCAGAGCCGATGGAAGCCGCGTCCCGCCTCGCCCTGCTGGCGCGCGCGGGCAGTAGGAGCCCCGTACAACAGCAGAAAGACGAGAAGGCCACCTGGAGCCCGCCGTCCAAGAAGTACTTGCCCGTCGTCACGGTCGACGAGTACGACATCGAAGCCGCTGACGCCGGCCGCAACGGTCACGGAGAGAGGAAGTGGCTGCTGGATCACCAGCACAGGATGCCCCGCGGCCGCGGCGACGCAGCAGGAGCGGCAATGGCTGGCCAGGGGCTGGAGGGCGTCGCGTGGTTCATCCTGCTAGCCCTCGAGTGTCTTCTTGTCGGCACCGTCGAGGGGTGGATCATCTACATGGTGTACGACAACGGCGAATACGCCGTTTGGAACTGGTGAGTTCTATCTTCACATGTGTTTCTTTTGCCATGGTCTGGCCTTGGCCTGGCCATCATGCAAGTCGGCCCATGACTGCATGTTGACGACACACCATTGCGATTACGGGACGGAGGGGCTTATCGGGGTTTTTTTTTTCCCTCCCTGCTTTTTACCCCTCACACCATGCCCCTCCTTCCTTATCCTGTTTTACTCTCGGAGACATGGGTGCTGACTGGTGACGCAGGCTCTCCGACTTCGCATCCCCCGCGCTGATGATGCTTTTCAGCCTGTCCTTCTCCGCCGCCCTGCTCCGCGGTGTCGGGTGTTCTGGGCGCGTGGGGGACCTGGCGTTCCAGGCCGCCGGGCTGGTGCTGGCAACCTTCTGCGCCGTGGTGGTGTGTGCCGGTATCAGCCGGGGGAAGAGGAGGAGTGGCGAAGGGGAGGAGGATGGGAAGGGCGTGAGGGTTGTCGTTGGGTTGTCTGTCAAGATGTGGTGAGTTGCCGTCTTTTTTCTTCTTCTCCCTCTCCCCCTCACCCTCCTCCTCTCTCTCCCTCTCTCTCTCTCTCTTTCCCTTTCCTTCTTGTCTTTTCTGTTCTTTGATGATTGGAAGCGAAGCTCATGACTAACGACATGCAGGTTCCTCTTCTTTATTGGCTTCTGGTGTGCTGTGTTCCAGTGGTACAGCGGCGACAAGCCGGGGATGTACCAGCAGACGGCGCGGAAGAAGGGGAAGAAGAGAGGATACGGCACGACGTTAAGCGGGCTCGCGACAGTGGACGAGAGCTATGAGGGGGTCGTGGGCGACCTCTGATGGCTTTGTGCCGAATTCATGACGACGACGACGACGACGACAACGATGGTTCTTATGATGGCATTTCTTTTGAGCGTATGGTCTGAATTCGATACCCTTGTTTCCTAGTGCGCAGCTGTATGGTTCAGTTTTATCCCACTCCCGTACATGTAAAATATTTTTAACGTCCTCCTAACCTCCTCCGGCTAGTGAAATACTCGCTCCGCCGCGGTGCGCTCTCTTTCCATTGTCTTCCGGGCCCCCGTTATCTTAAACTTTATCTCCACGTTGTGGTACTTGGGTCTCCAAATAGCAGACGAAACGTAACGTTGGATTTTAACCAACCCCCCAAAATGTGTTATCCCGCCAACTGCCCGCCGCGCAGTTCTTCGTGAGCGTTCCTGCGTTGTGCTTGACACGCAGCTGGACGAGTCTCGAGACTAACCGGTTGAGGCCATGGCCTTGTTGGTTTTCGCGGGGGAACCCACGTCACAGAGGCCTGTTCCCTTCTGCCCACCACACACATCACCCCAGTATGAGGACGAGATGTCTGCAACATGTGGCACGCCGGACATAACTAAAAAAAAAAAAAAAGTTATTGTCAGTTTGCGTAGCGTAAGCTATTCTTGGCGCGGGCGGCCATGGAGCAGAACCCAACATGCGGAATCTTGCCGATTTGCTTCTTGTCGCTCCTCACTCCTTAGGTTCCACCATCCGATCTGACGTCTATCAAAATCAAAAGTCAAAAGTGACATGACAGTCATCAATGGCCAACCTACCAACACAAGAATAGTGCTCCTTACTGTTATAAACAAATGGCTACCCGCTCTCTCAGCCGCCTTTGATACCAGATTATCCAAGGCGGCGTTCCTCTGTGTTAGACACTATTCCGACTCCGAGACCTGACTTGGCTTACATCATGCATCTTCCTCTACGTGCTGCGTTCCCGCTGACCTTCTTGTTCACAGTGGTGAGTACCCTTCACCCTGCGCTTGATACGCGTCCCGGACGGCGGGCCGAGACCTAACACGACATCCAGGCCCAGGCCCGGGCCCTCGGTCACGACGCCACAAGCCCCAGCGCCCCAGGCCCCGGCGCCCCGATCCCGGGCCACGGCATCTTCATCCCGCGCTGGGAAATGGCGTCCCCGGACGGTAGCGGCAGCATGATCAACCTCCGAGGCACAGTCCAGGAAGTCTTCGAGGCGATGCGAGGCATGAGGCCTGGCTTCGATATTGACGCGCAGCTCGGCAAGATCGCCACACCGGCCGTCGGGAGGCGCAACGCCTACAGTAACGCCTTTGACAACATCAACACGTTGTGCCACCTCTTCCCGGCGGGGAATCGCTCGGCGGCGCATGAGGGCATTGAGGACCTCAAAAAGGTGCAGGGGCGGCCGAAGAATGGGGCCGGGCCAGGCAATTGTGGACGGGTGAGCTGTCGGAAGAATACAGGTATCTGGTGGTGCAACGACGTGAGTGCTACCGATCTTCTTTCTCTCTTTTTTTTTCGCCTCCATAGTTTCACGGCGAATCAGAAAGTACAGATGCTGACCTGCTTCGGGGGGGCTGTGTAGGCCCAGAGCAGTAGGGAGCTCGCGTCCTTCGGGGACATCGTCGACGGGGCCCAGCGCGTGTTGAAAAAGTGCCAAGACAAGCCGAGCACCGACCAGGGCGACGGGATGACGGTGAGCGGGCAGGCTTTCCACATGGATAATTGGAACGTCATCGTCCGCGGGGGGGACAACTGCGATGATGCGGGCGTCAATCTCAGCGGCGGACTGCTGAAGAGGTTTGTCAGGATCACGGGTGATTGAGACGAGTGGCATACAGCACAGTTTTTCTATGTTCTCAGTTGCTTTTGATGGCATGCCCGCATAATCAGAATCCCTAGCTGCTCATCTACACAGCATCCTGCTTGCCAACACCCTAGTAAGTGGGTTGTACCTGTGGTGTGAATTTGTGGTGGTCTGCAATTACTCGATTATCTACGACATCCTCGGAAAGCGAAAGATTGTGAAAGAATGCCTTAGCTCTCAACTTATTGTGATGCTATTTGCCCTTGAACATACGTGCAATTTGCTAATCGACCCCAGAGTTGAGAATTGTAAAAAGTATGTATCACAGAATTACATTGATATTTTAAGAATTGGACACTGTTAGGACGGATTCTATAAGTCCTTACAGGGTGAAAGTCCGGCGAGCTTTCCTCATTAGGGCTGGGCTGAAGAAAAGCTCATCTCGACGGTTTGTCTCCGTAGGCTCATACCTCTACGTCAATCTGGGTAAAAGGTCTTTCAGCTTTGAAATAGGTCTGCTGGGAAATTAGAGCCAAAGACCAAATTGCATAAGATGTCTTACTTTCCAGGTCTAGCAAGATCAGATGGGACAACATTAGGGCAGATAGATGACCAGCTTGTTTTGTTTGTCTTATGTACCAACTGCATGCGGCATCACTACCTCTTCAAGTCATGGAGGATCCACTTGTCCCCATTCCTCTGTAGCCCACCGGCAATACCAAAAGCTCGAAGGTGTGGTGGCTCAGACTTTGCCCTTTCTGTTTCTTCGGAATTCTCTCTTAGAAGCACGTCCTTCTCCGCCGGATCCATAGCCAACAGAGCAGGTAAAGACGAGCCCTTGACGATATCGATATCAAGCCCGGCCGAGTCTATTATAATAATGACAAGCGTCACGATAGAAAGACCTACTTGTGCCGCAAGTAGTGTCAACCAAGGCCAGCGAATGGACACAAAACGTTCCTCCCGCAAAGCACTCCCGCTGACATTGGTGGTTAAGAGCCTACATGGTGTCAGATATGAAAATGAAGTCATGTGTAGAAAGACTTGAGCTCACGCGTTTGTGAGACCACTAGCGATGTTTTCCGTTAGATTACGCAGTGTCGTGAACTGTGCGTCGTCAAGCTTCTGGGATTCGTTCGCAGTATTGATCCCAATTTGGGCTCTTGAAAGTGCTGTGACGTAAATCTCACAACCGTTCCCATATCGGTATTGTCCTAAATCACTGGAGGTCCCTACCAATGTTGATTCAAGCACCGAGGCGATTTCATCGGGGCCATCTCCACCCACATAGTACCTCTCGTTGGGACTATCAGGGGACGTAAAATAGGTTTGATTCATTGTCTGGTTGTAGTTCTTTATGAAGACCTCCCCAGACGAGCGAGTTGTGTGAGACGCGACTCTTTCCGTGACAGGGACGTTTTCCTGGACGTTGACACGGTACGTGTTGACGCACCAGTGCATTATAATCTCGGTGGCGCGTAGTCGGGGCCCGTACAGTACGAAGAAGTGGAAGAGCTTGGCAGTCATGATGTCGGTGTCGTTGAAGGTCAAACTTGGACCAGTGGAGATATTCATAGTCGCATACCCACTGGTGTGCTGAAGAAACACGCCGTTGGGAAGTGTGGTATTGATTGGTTGTCCATATGGACCCCCGGCAGATGTCAGAAGATCAGTCACGTCTGGTTCAACAGGTTAGTTCGTCATTATGGTCATATCGCGGGTACGAACTTGGGGAGTTCTCCTTCCAGCGTACTCTTCATGTCCACGCAGACGGCAAGTGATGTGAACGGTGGCCATGTGCAATTGTTCGTTCGACAGCTGGCCTGGTGATAAGGCATTGCCTCTTCTGGTGGGGTGTTAAGGCTTCGTGGGATGATCTGGTTGATTGGAAACATCAAATCCCCTGCACAGGAGTGTTAATGTCAAGACCTCCGTGGTTTTCTAGGAGCCTTACTTCTAGCATTGCTGTTAGCAGTTACCCAGAAGTACCCTTCGTTTCTCAGGGTCAGAGCACTATCGTTCCCCGGAAGCTGGACGCTGTGAGTAGGGTATGTAACAACAGACTGCGTTAGAGTTGAGGTAGCGATTGCCGAGACGAGAATTGCTGCCGACAGAATCCCAACAGGTCTAATTCACAATTAGTATACTTGCCATCAAGGGCCGTTCATTCCGTGGTTTGACAGTGTTCACTTACCTGCCTTTGGTTGTAAGCAATAGCTTTAAGCTGCCCCATGGCCCACGGCTTGCTTCGTCGAAAGCCCCGAAATCTCTCAGGGGCCTCGGCGATTTGTACCAATTCCACTTATACTGCGACAGACTTTCGACCACTGGGAGAACAAACGACGTTCTACAGAACGTAGCAATGAACGCGACTACGGTATTGAGAGTGAGACCTAGCGGCCAATTCGGAAGCGGCTCGTTATCGTAAGACTTCAATACCATTACGAGTACGACGATGCAAATGATGCTGATTATGCACCATACAATTTCTTGCCACCACCCTTGAAGTAAGTACCACCCTCGCCGGGAGAGACGTCTTGGGGTTCTTCTTTTCGTCTCTTTGTAGCTGGAAGTCTTCAGTAGTTTGTAACCTGTCTCACTCGTCGCGGAAGTCAGTTGTGTCTGGCTGCCTCTACCAGGGTCGATGTTCCGTAGTTCGTGAGACTGGCCCCTGGCTTCACGTTCGGGATCCCAGTTGAAGACGTGGTTTTGGGCCGATGAGAGAAGGAGTGCTTCGTCATAAGCCAGCGGCTGTACATACGAAGGCACTTGTTTGCGCCGAATGTGTCTCGTGTTGTTGTCCTGCTCTCTGCGATCCATTATGGTAGTGTTTCGCTCATGTATCGTCGTGGCTTAACGATAGCCGGTGGCTGCCACGAGGTTGTGTGTCTATGGAAATTTGAGATGTTGATGCTACAGGGCGCCGTTTTGCTTTTGTGCATTTGGGATCTACCTCAAGCCCTCGTAGTACCAGTCCAGTATGGACGGTTGTGTAACTGCGCCTAGTAAGCACTAAGTTTGAATTTTAGGGTGCATCAACCAACCATTTGATATTGATGTTGAGAAAAGTTGTGTTCACGGCTGCCTAGGTCTCACTCAGCTTTTGCTCGTCCAAAAGGGGTTCGCTACTAACGCTGATATAACAGCGGTTATTGTGTGGATCATGATCCTGAACTCCGTGTTCAAAGTGACCACATGTGACCTCATTGGCTGCAGTCACAATAACCGCTACTTGTATAGTGGCCCTTTGCAACAGCCTGCCCCGTCCAACTGGCCAAGACTATGGTTTTGTGGTTGGTTATTAGCTCTGATATACGCCAATCATTATCGAAACGAGAAACCATAGGCCAAGTCAGTGGTGGTGATTTGGCGGGCCACGGACTAAAAAGGCACTTGGGATGACCAAAGATAGAAGCCAGAATCAAATGAGAAGCGGAGTGAACCACTACCTTGATCTCTTTATTGTCAGTTGTGATTGAAGGACATCCAGATCCTATACGAAAGCTACCCTTCACCTCCAAGCAATTCCAACCCTCGTTCTGGGAGCACCGAGAGTCTTCGGATGAGATGAGAATATTGCCAATGACATAGACACCTAACCCGTAAATTTCCTTTATACTCTATGTCGGATTCCTAGTACTGATTGTCAGGCACATCAAAAACAAACCTCTCTGGTGTTGATCGAGTCGGCATGTCGATTTCTGTAGCCATCCGCTGTCTTCAGACCGACGGAGGTAGCTTTAGTAAGTTGCAAGGTTTCGCTAAAGTCTAACACAGTCGGATAAACACAGCATAATCCAGCAGCTATTGCGTGGTATACTCGCGTCGCTGGCTCTCATCCAGTACGAACCCGCCACTGTCACATCGATATTGTTTCCTGTAATGTAGGATAAGAGCCCCTCTTTTTCGTTACTGAGGCGATTTCGCTTGTGGCTGATGTCCTCAATCTAGTCATCAACTAGTAGTGTTGCATTCCGAGCTTCCCCATGCGTGTGACTCCACAAGAACTCAGCTTATCATTGATTATCGACGTCACAAGAGCACCTCTTGAGCGTCGTCAATCCAGCTCTTGGCGCACGTTTTCCGGGAGGGTAAGCCAGCGTCATGACATGGCATGTCGTATCATGGCAGGAATGAGAGGCAGGAATGAGGCAGTCCTTGTCTGGTTTTCAGTCAATATTGCCCGAAAAATTCGTCCAGAAGCAAATCCAGCCGAAGATGGTTCCGAGGCTCTAAAAATCACCTTAAATCAGCCACGAACACATTGCCGCCAATCGCCAGGAACGAGTGCAGGGACTTTTGTGAGATAAGAACGGGGCCGTACGGGACCCCTTGAATGCACCATTTTTCAACATGGATGAGGTCGTAGCAGTCCAGGGTATCCTTGCCTTCTGGTCGTCACAAAGTTCTCCCTTCCGCTTTGTTTATCTACTTTGGGAATTGAAGTCGCTCTCGACCGTTGATGACAGCACGGGTTGGTCAACGCGGAGCGGTCCTGGGCGGAGCAGCCGATCCAACGATTCATACTACATTATTATCTACATATCAGTCACTGCTTAGGGAAAATCGGAAATGTTCCCGACCAGGGTATTCTTGGCGACGATTAAGGCTCTGTATAAAAGGTAGCCACGCTCGGGTTCTTGTGATGAGGTACGAGAGGCAATCTTCCGATCGCCTCGACTTTGTCCGTCTCCAGAAAGACACATTCTTTCTCCCCACGCTCTTTGCCAAACACACTCGTTAGTTGTAAGCGCACAGATCAACTCGAGTGCCCAAGATGACTAGGTCGAACCAACTCTTCGCTATCTTCCTTGCCCTCACCACCGGCGCCTTTGCGGCTCCTCGGGCAGGCTTCAAATCCCCCTTTAAGATCGTCGCGCGCGACGAGCCCGCCGAATTTGAGCCGCAGACCAATGCCGGCCCCGGAGGCAATGATTTCCAGGACTCAGCGCGCTTCCGCGTCTATAACGGCGGTGATGCCGCCGCCGACTCCCTCGCCATGCTCGAAGGTGCCTACGATTGCTTCGTTAGCACCCTTGGCTGGCGCTCATCCGGACTCTCCTTCAACCCGGGCTCCGACGACGGCCCCTACTACAAGACCAACGTCTACTCCGTGTCCGACCTCGGCGGCGCCGCCGCCGGCGTGATGCACTCGGAGGCCGAGAGCGGCGCCGGCTGGCTCGAGGTCGTCGACACCTACCTCGCCGACCCCACAGTCACTGTCCACGAGTACGGCCATGCGTTGCACTACCACCAGCGTACCTGGGTGAACCAGCAGCGCACCGGCGCCTGGTGGGAGACGGTCGCCAACTGGGTCGCCGACACGTACACCACTTCCCCCATCTGTGCCGATGCCCGCACGAAGCACAACTCCCCCGAGGGCCGCACCCTGTTCGAAGTGAACAAGGTCATCGGGGACTCCTTCCAGGTCATCGTCGACGGTACCGTGGACTCCGAAAACTACTACCAGGCGTGGCCCTTCCTCACCTACCTCACCAACAACCCAGACAACATCGAGGGTCTCGGCGTGGACACGCTGCACCAGATGATGGTCCAGTATGAGCAGGATAGCAACGAGACGCCCCTCCACACCCTCGACCGCGTTCTCGGGGGCAACGCCACCGCCGGCGAAGTCGTCGGCCGCTATTGGGCCCGCATGGCCTACGTCGACATCGCCCACCCACAGGCGCAGGAGGTTTTCAATCAGGCCAGAGACACGATCAATTTTGCCAACGTCGACGAGTCCGGCAGCGGATACACTGTCAAGTCCGACCGCGCCCCCCGCTACATGGGTGCCAACATCATACCGCTGACGACGTCGGGTGGCCAGATCGACGTCAAGGTCACCTCGAGCGGCGAATTCACCGCGACACTGGCGATCAAGGGGTCTAGCGAGGTCCGCTACGTCGTCCTCGCCAACGGCGCCGGCTCCGCGGAGGTTGCCAGCGAGGAGGAGGCCAGCTTGGTGATTGCGAATACCCCCAAGACCCTCATCCTCTACGACGGCTTCCAGCTCGCCGACAGCGAGGCTAACAAGGGGTTGGACTACTCTTTCACGCTGACCGGTGCTACCGTCGCCTGAGCGGCGAAGGGGGCTCGGATCAGGTGTGGTTTCGTATTATCTCATACTCTTCATCTGTACGGTCCGCCAGCTGCCGGGTGATGTAAGTATACATATTTCTCAAAATGCCAAGATTTCAACGCCAATTGCATTGCAATTCTCCTTGGTATGTGATTATTGTTGTCTGAGTACATTTTTCGTAGTGCTGCCGAGAATGCCCGAGGCACCTCAGGCACCGTTCCAGCCTGGAGTGATGTCGGATCTCGCCTGTAAAGGCTTTAATTAAAGAGTTCGACTTCATGTAATGATAAAGATGTGATGACGACTGCAACACAGAAAACCAGGGTTATAGGGCGGCGAACCAAGCTTGAAGTCAGCGACAATAAGCGGGATGCTGGCTTTGATTTTCTGGCGTCTTTGTCCGAATGCGCTGCCGTGCCCACTTTCATGTTATGGTGTCCTAGGGCCCCTAGTTGAAGAAAGGTTAACCGAGCGAGATAGAGGCAATAGAAGGCTACCCCCCCGGCGTAGAATGCCCTCGTTTCCGGCATGGTCGCGGCGTGGACGATGGCCGGTATGATTCTCAGAGAGACCATTGAGAGGATATTCGCGAGCATGACTCTGCGAAGAGTTGGGGAGTTTTCCGGATTGCGACCGTGAAAACGCATCAACGCAACTGCATCGGAGAAGAGCTCCGTTACGAGGCCCGCGTAGATGAGGTAGATGGGTCGTCGCGGGCTCTTGCCGACCAAAACGAGTGCCAGGGAACCCAGGGAGAGCAGGTGATGGGTGACGTATTCTGACGAGTAGCTGAGAAGCGGTATCTCGGAGACCCATAGGACGGCCCGGGAGCCAAGGCAGATCTTGCCGTTGGTGGTGAAGGATCGGTCAGTGCCGAAGGTGTCGGCCGCGGAAGGCGTTTCACCATAGGCGGCGAGGCAGGTTGGCGTTGTGAACAGAGTCAGGAGGATGCCGAGCGGGAAGACGAAGTAAGGGCGCAGTTTACGATGCCTATCAAGTTCCAGCTTCGCGTAGAAGTCTGGGTTGAAACGCTTGGCTGCCTTGTGCAGACACCTGTTCAAGAGCTGGTAGGTCACCAGGCCCGTAAGAATGGGAGCGAAGTCCACGGCAACCATTCTGATTGGGGTGACCTAGTGGATGAAGTACCAATAGGCAAGGCAAACAAGGTGCATAGGGCAAAGAGTGTGTGGGCGCACAGATAACGTGTGATATCTTAAAGATTGCGCAGCATCAGGCAGAGCAACATGTTCGGCGAGGTTTGGGGGTATATTGTGCCGCCAGCTTTTGTGAGGGTCTGCGGTCAAGCTACTTTGCATCTTGCTGCATGTTGGAATAAGAAGAGCTGATGGATATTATCAAAAGAAGAACTGTACTGAGGGCATCTCACGTAAGACTGGGAGCGGCTGATTTGCCTCAATGATGGACAAATATACATGGCCGAGCTCATAGCACCGGGGCACGGCACGGGTTGCGGACCAGCTGGGGACCGGGACGTTTATAGGGTCTGTCTACCTGGAGTGTCGCCAAGTGTCCCTGCGGAATGGATGCGTCGTGAAAGATGGTGTCCGTCGTGGATTACCTATTTCATCTGGGTCCAAGACGAAGCCGGTCACAGTAACATTTGGGTGTCTGTCTCAGGGCGGCAACCATCCGTTCCGAAGGGTGGGTGGCAGAACAACAGTCCGGTCCATCGTTGGCCGGCAGGTCGGAGAATGAAGAGCTAGCGTATTGCCGTAGGGCTTCCACGGCTTCTCAGTAGGGTCCCGCTCCGCCTAAGAGGGGGCTTCTCTGTCAGCTGGGCAAGGATGGACAGTATGTAAAAGTGATGTGTGATGACAAGGGGTTCTGGCGCCGGGTGTCCTGATATTTGTTGGGCAATGCTTACTGTAGGTATGTAGGTAGTACAATTTCCATCTGAGGGGATATACGCTGTAGAATGTTCAGGAGCGCGCTGGGGTACGTGCCTAGTTTCCAGGGACAGGGGCCGATGGATGGGTACACAGAAGGCGCCTTCCCTCCAGTTATTGCTAATTTGGCGGGTCTTGGCGGCTCAAGCTGCCATTCAGTCGTTCGTTGTGTGATTGGACATAAGAGATCTATGCTACAGTGTCAAAGAAGGTATTACCCATACTGTAAGACCGGCCCTTCCGGTGTGGTAGGAAATTGTGAGTCTCATCCAAATTCCCGGCGGTCTTGGCAGTCGACAGTGACTGGCTCTGCTTGAAGGCATTGTGGGGACGAAGAGGGGACGGGCACAGTGTGGATGGAGACTAAGGTTAATTACGGTCGAGACGGAAGGAAGGAGAAGCCCGCATCTCCAGTTCCAGTCTCCAGGTGCTCCTTCTTGCTTTCTTCAGCTGCAAAGTACGTATCCACACCACCCACTGGTAAGTTGGTAGGCAGGTATTACTACCTACCATGGGTAGGTTGGTATTCAGCAGGAGCTGTTAGTCAGTTGCGCCTTCCTCCTCCCAACACTCCCAGCACCTTGACTCTCCGCCATCCCACCTTGGCTTCCATTCCGCTTCATGCCCCTCATCCTTCATCTCGTTCTTCATAGTCACTCACTCCCCAGAGACCGTCCACCAAGCCCTTTCAGCGTTTAGGAGTGGCGATCCCGGGTTTGACCAAGAGCTGGACCCAAACACGCGAGAGGTGGCAGCCCAAGCTGGTTGGCAGGCGGCGCCTTTGCCAACCGCCCGTCAGTCCTCTGCCGTGCTCTGTGTGATCCACCTTGGCCGTACCGATCGGAACCTGGCGCCTGCACGAGGAACAGAGTGCCCGATCCTGCTTAAGCATGCATTCGAGCTTCACCATGAAGGAAATGAGTGGGGAGGGAGAGCGGCTGCCATGGTTTTCTTGCATTTTCCCATCCCGCGTGTCCGTCCCTATGACCGTCCGATATGTCGTATCCCACGCGCCTGTCAATCCATCATCCCAAGAGAGAGGGGGAGGGGGCTGACTCAGCTTTTCCTCTTTCGGTTCAATGCATGAGGTCAAAAAATCCCAGGGGGAAGGAAAACTCTCTGTCAAAGAAACCCTTTTCCAGACTATCAATTGCTAGCCAGCTTTCCTCCTGTTTTGCTTGCTTGGCATTCCCGGCACTCCCCCCCCCCCCCCCCCTCTCTGTCACCTTTGTTGCCCTTCTATTGTCGATCAGGGCCCCCGGCCGGCCCTTTGCTGTTCAGCTCTCACTTTGGCTTTTGCGCCTTGACGACAACAGCCTTCCTTGCTTGCCTTATTATTAACGGTTCTTACATGTCGCCATGCATTGGGCAGACGATCTCTTCATTCTCCAAACCGCGAGTCAAACGATCGACAACGCCCTGTTTATCCAACCAAGTAGCCTATCGTCGACCCTCGGATTCACCTTGGCCAAGCTGCTCACTCTCCCTCTCCCGTCTGAGATTCCATCGCCATTGCCAAGACGTTACCGAGTCTTAGCTCTGGACGAACCCCTGAATCCATCGTCTCCCCCTCCCCTTTCTGCGCGCTCTCTGCATTTACAATGGAGCGCTTTGGACCTCTCTGAGCTACTCCAGAGCAGGATGGCTTCGGTCCCGATCTGTCCCTTGCTTGCGTGATCTCTTCGGATGCGTGGCCCCCAAGAGTATCCGTACACGAGAGAGAGAGAGAGAGGAAGCTCCCCGTCACGGGTATGCATTTGCGCTGGCAAACGGTGGGTAGGGGTGGCTGCTTCCTTCGCGGTTTTCGTGCCTGCTCGACTTCTGGTTCCTGTTCACCTTCCACGCCCGCCGAGCCTGCTGTGCGGAGAGTGGCGGGTGGACGTTTCTTATTTGTGACAGGGTGATCCATGAGGCTGGATCGAGAGATGGGATGTAGTTGGCCACCACTCCTCCGCAGGAAGACAAACACGGTAGAGCCTGTCAAATCATGCCGACCTGGTGAACCCCTTCTCCTTTGGAGTCTACCGCTGTATGCTGTTCAACAAAATCACTCCACGGCTGCCCGCTTAGCCCTTGCAGATTGTCCCCGTAACCGCTGCCCTCTCGTCCATCGCCCTGGCTCAGTCTCGAACCCAGAATGGATAGAAGTGCGTGCGCAAGGCCGGAGGGGCGCCTTCTCATTTGCTGCACAGCCCCGATGCCCAGAAGGCCAAGACCGTACCAAGAATACCAAGACTTTTGGCGGCCACCAGGACATATTCTACCGCGTCATCTTGTGCCCGATGATTCCCTTTTCTTGTCTTCCCGTACCGAGAAAGTGGTCTGGAAGCCTCGTTCCTGTTTCTCTTCCACCCTTTCCCGCATCTGAAGAGCCGTTGGATTTACCTCTGGCCTGCTCTTTCCACCTCGACTCATCCACTGACAAACCTAGACCTCGACACCACCAAAACTTGACACTTCTTGACTCTGACCACCATTTCTCACCTTAGCACCGGGAAACCCGCCCCAGAAATAAAAAATAAAATAAAATAAAAATCCACAACATCAACAACGCCGTTTACGTCTGAATACGAACCCACTCGCTACCTCTGCGGCAACACGACACGATTTACCATATCTAGCGGCGCCGGTCATGAACACTCGCTTTCCATAAACGAATCCCATTTTATTTTGACCTCTTCGACTCTTTTCCCCACACTCGTTCACGACTCCTTCACTCGTTTGACCTGACCTGTCTCATCTCCATCGACAAGCAGACCCAATCACGAACTTCCATGCCATTCCTGCAATAAGCTCTGATCGCACCATCATAAATCAGCCCGACTCCTAACTCAAGCGACTTGTTTTCCTCAACCGGCGCCCATCGCCATGGTCACAACCCTTGCCTCGGCCGCCTCGGTGGCCCTGATGCTGGCAGGAACCCTCCCGGCTGTCAGCGCGCAGTATTATTCAATTGACACGCCTGGTAAGTGACGACTTCCCCAGCTATGGAAATGCTGTGTTCAATCGAGCAACGTGTGCCGCCACCATCTCCGCCTGAATTCCTTGAACCAAGATAAAACATCACCCCACTAACACCGTCTCTTTCACCCGATCCAGCCAACATCAAGTCGTCGGCAAAGACCCTTGCATACGATCTGATAAAGCAATACAAAGGAAACCAGTCGGGCGAGATCCCCGGTATCCTGCCCGGCCCCCCCACCGAGCACAAGGGCGACTACTACTGGTGGCAGGGAGGCGCCATGATGGGCACCTACATCGACTACTGGAAGCTGACGGGCGATTCGACCTACAACGACCTCGTCATGGAGGGCATGCTGCACCAGACCGGCCCCAACGCCGACTACATGCCCCCCAACCACACCGCATCCCTTGGAAACGATGACCAAGGCTTCTGGGGAATGTCCGCCATGCTCGCCGCTGAGAACAAGTTCCCGAACCCCCCGGAGAACAAGCCCCAGTGGCTCGCCCTCGCCCAGGCCGTCTGGACCACCCAGGCGAGTCCTGACCGCCACGACGCAACCTGTAACGGAGGTCTGAGATGGCAGGTCCCGTTCTCCAACGCCGGTTACAACTACAAGAATAGTACGCGCATCATCTGATCAGCCGATGAGGGGGGGGCGGATTGCAGAGTGCTAACAGGTCGCAGCCATTGCCAATGGATGTTTCTTCAACATCGGCGCCCGCCTCGCCAGGTACACCAACAATGATACGTATGCAAAGCACGCCGAGAAGACCTGGGACTGGCTTTGGGGTGTCAACTACATCGACCACGAGAACTGGAATGTATACGATGGCGGCCACGTCGAGCACAACTGCACCGACGTCAACAAACAGCAGTTCTCCTACAACGCCGCCATTCTGGCTCAGGGTGCTGCCTTCATGTACAACTATGTAAGTGACTTGATACGCCCCTGTTGGAAATTCGTGACTAATTCCAATGCAGACCAACGGGTCTGAGGTTTGGAAGGGCCGCATCGAGAAGCTGACCGAGTCCCTCTTCCTTAACTTCTTCCCCAACAACACTGGATACGAGATCGCCTGCGAGGGCAAGAAAGGCCAATGCACCGCCGACATGTTGTCTTTCAAGGGCTACGTCCACCGCTGGCTCTCCGTCGTCACCCAGATCGCCCCCTTCATGAAGGACAGGATATTGCCTGTGCTCAGGGACTCAACCCAGGCCGCCGTCAAACAGTGCACCGGTGGCGCGACGGGCCGCGTCTGCGGCTTCTACTGGAGTGAAGGAGTGTTTGTGGACCCCGCCACCGACAAGACCTCGGGCGCCGGCGAGCAGATGAACGTGCTGGCTGCCGTGTCGAGTCTGCTGATTGAAAGCGTCGAGCCGCCCGCGACGAATACAACGGGTGGTATCTCCAAGGGCGACCCCGAAGCGGGAAGCAAGAGCAGGGACAATATCGAGCCGGATCCCATAACGACGGCGGATCGCGCCGGTGCGGGTATCCTGACGGCCATTGTGTTGGCTGGGGGTCTGGGCACCTGGGGTTGGATGAGTCTCGGCGATTAGTCGGAGTTGGGGAAATGATAAGCGACGCGAGAGTGATTCCCTCTGATGGGATGTTTGATTTATTGTACAGGCTACATATCTGGACATGCATGGCATGGCGTTCTGGGTAAACACTTCATGGGACTTTTTCTACCTATTACCACCGCGATTAGGATTTTATTTTTCTTTCCCAACCTCTCCTCTGTAGTAATGTCTTGATCTCTCCGTGTCCCCTCCAGTTTATCAGTGACCTCCCGCTTGGAAGTTATTCCTGGTGCTCATGTGGAGGACCTGTTCCCGTGAGACGACGTGCGTACAACCATGTGCGAACACTTGGCTGTGAGAAAGCTGTGTCGGGATCCCCGGATCCCCGGGTCCGGCCCTTATACATTTGTGTGATCAGCGTAGAGATAGCCAATTTTTTTCGGTTTACAAGCTGGAAAGGAAGAAAAATCAAGGGTCCTAGAACTTTGGAGATGTCCATTAAACTGCGGATATGTCCGTTCATAGTTCAGCCGCCTGTCTGGCGTCATCTGATGTTGAAAGCTGTCCTTAGCGTTATTGCAAGGGTGTCCCCTCATGTGTCGGGTGCGTGAGCTCGGATTGTTGCGTGTTTGTCGTCCCTCTCTCAAGTTGGCCAGTCGTCTGTCAGTCCCCGTCTGTGCCGCATCGTGTGCGTTGAATTGTGTCAGCCGTTGGGAGAGAGTTGCTCTCTCTGAGCGTAGATCCAATTACTCTCTTCAACTGCTGTCACAGGTGATACAAGGCGTTGATTGATGCCCGCACTTAACGGCGTCGCCTTTGCGGCAGCTGCCTGAAGCGTGATATTGCAGTCGGGCATCCAACGCAATCTGAGCCATAGGAGAGAAAGCAGCAAAACAAAACGTACGCAAACCTGCTGGCCGTGGATCAATATGTCATTTTGAAGCACACTTGGCTGTATTGAGAGTATTTGGTAGTTGGACTTAGCACAAAGGCCGACCCAACTCCACCAATGACCCTCAAAACCGCTCGTCCAAGGTCGGCTCAGGCGCTAAATCGGCGTCAGAATGCATCCTTGACATGCCGTGCCATCCACGCCAGCCAGTGTGGGGTTAGCCGCACAAACGAGACGGTACAACTTTACGATCACTAACACGTGGGACAATGGTGATGGTCATGGGCGACCTGTTTTTTCCATCAATGGCAAAACTCCCGGTCCACTTATTGAGGCAGATGAGGGTGACGAGATCGAGGTGTTCCTGGACAATCAGCTGTCTTTCGACACAACCATGCACTGGTACGTGGTATCAATTTAATTGACCGTCTATCTACTTGCAAACGTATTTGTTGGTTTTACCAAGGGATTAGTAATACAGGCAACTGTACGTATTAGTGGTAATTGACGAATATTAAGGGCAACTGTTAATCTCTATTATACATAAAGAAAAGAAGGATAACTACTGCAAGTTAGCTAGTTAAACAGCTTGTTAATTACTACTAATTCTTAGTGGATCCATGGTCTGATTAGCTAAGAATTAGCCAGCAATTAGTCATCAGATTCGAGGCGATAACTCCAATAGTTACCCGCAATAGTCAACATCGCAACAGTATTAACTATTTAACAATTAGGCATGGTATTTTGCAAATTGATAGACCTTAGAACGACGGCGTCCTCGGTGTCACACAATAGTCGATCCAACCTCGCGATTTCTACACCTACCGGTTCACCGTCCAGCAACAGTACGGGAGCTACTTCTACCACGGCCATTTCGGTCCTGCTCTTACAGACGGAATGCGTGGTCCGATATGGATAGCCCCAGCTTCTTAGAGACCTAGACCATACGAACTCTTTTCATCCTCCTCGGCAGATATCGAGGGCATGAAGCGTGCCGAGAAGAACGCGAAGCATGTTGTTATAAGCGACTGGAATGCTGAACCTATGGGTATATTGTTGATCATGTCTCGCGATACAGGTGTTGTTCCATAGTGCAGCAACTCGATTGTATTGAATGGGAAAGGGAGAACCTTTTGTCATTCGGATAAGCAGATTGAGCTCGCGGGTGGCCCCGGGAGAAAATCCCTGGGATGTCTGATACAGCAGGGCCAGAAAGAGTTTGCCAACGAATAGCTTTGTAGAGAGACATTTGCCGACCTTAAAGTCATCGAGGCTGAGGGCGGAGAGGAATAAATTTGGATCAATTTCATCCACTCCAGGGCTCATCATGAACTGCAGATAAGCGTGGATGAGCACGAACTCTACGTTGTGGCCGCTGACGGAGAGTTTGTACATCCGCAGAGGGTTCATGCTGCTAACTGCAACCTTGGGGAGCGCATCAGGTAAGAAGGCCCTACATTCCTCGATTCTCACGATGCTGAGGCAATTAGTTACTCGTTGATAGTATCCTGGTCCATCTGAACAAAAAGCCCAAGAATACGCCATCAGAGTAACATCTCTTCGCAAAGAGCAAATCATTCAGGGCATTGGCATCCTTTGTTATCCGGGGCAAGAAAATGGTTCAAAAAAGGAGGTTCCCGATACCAAACCTTGCATTTAGCTTAACTGAACTCTAATTTCTTTATCATCCATAGCTATGGATGAGTTGAAGCTCGCCCCTTACCCCTCTCGGCCGCCTCCCTCCAAGGCAGATAACACAATCAAGTTCTTCGTCAACATGACTGGACCGGGTAGTTGGGCTTTGAACATCGACCCTCACCAATCGTTTCGTCAACAGATACCCCCAATGTAATGGGATGTAGAGTCACGCGGCGAAACAACCTATGGAAGCAACACCCAGGGCGGATCACTCCGGAACGGTGCCGTCGTAGACATAATCTTCGAAAACGGCACCAACGTTACCACACCCCTTTCACAAACATAACAGCAAGGCTTTCATCATCGGTACTGGGTCCGGTGGCTTCCCTTGGCTGACAGTAGATGACGTGATCAGAGAAGGAAACATGGCGCGCCATTTCAACTTCCTCAACCCGCCCAACCGGAGCGGCTGCAGATTGGGTAACAGCACCGGAAACTGGACGGTCATTCGATATGAGATTTTCTTTCCCGCAGCTAGCATGCTTCACTGTCATATGATCCATCACTTCGCTGTAAGACCGACCATATGGAACCCAAATCCATTCCTAATAACAATATGGCTGACCCTACGATAGGCCGGACAGCGAGTTGTGCATCTAGAAGGTGTGGAATCTATTCAAAAGATTCCAGCTAAAATGAAGGATAGAGTACACTCCGATTTCAGCCCCCCTCTTCGATATGGCCCACTGGATTAGGTAGAATATCACGGCTACTGAACCCCAATCCACCTTGAGTTGGACATTGCGTGCAGAAGGCTTTGCATTCCAGGCAATTGAACAGCACCGGTGCTATTAGCACAAGAGCGTTCCGTAACACCCTTGCTGTAAACACGACTTGAATCTAGGCAATTATTTGATTATGTGGATACAGTTGTTAAACCATGCTTAACAACCTTGAGATTTCAATCCCCAGGACGAAGTAGCTTCAGATGTTAATTTACCCTCCTCCTCTATGAATAACACGCATCATTCGCTGGCCTAAAGCGATACAGGTCCTTGCACTATCCTGTGCTATTTTATAGAGACGTAAAAACTCCTTTTCCTCCAACCTTCGTATTAGCGTTGGGTCTACGTCTAGAGTGTCGTTTGCCGAGCCCATGAGTGGTACGTTCCTCTGGGCAGTCGATGAATTTGTCTTTCTGTATCGCATGGATCTTGCGCGTCTGATCGAACCCTTGGCGTTTTTGAAAGCGTCATCTCTTGTGCTCTGCACGCTCCAGCATGCCGAAGGGTGGCCTGATGGAGCTGCAGCCGTGCTGTGGGCCTTTGGAGTGCCTAAGAGTGATACAACCTTTGTTGGAGAGCCGATGCTGCTTGTCCTAGTAAGTTCAGGACTTTCCATCTGTCCTGCACAGGCTTTGTTTTTATGTCGTAAAGGCGGTTTTTTGAGAGCACCAAGAACTGGCTTCATGTTGTCTTGGCAGGGACTGCGATGCGAGGCAGGGCGAGACTGGCGATCTGGAACGGGATGGTCGTCTGCCCTGCTCTGGTCTTCGTTATTGTAGGTGTACACGGTGCCTTCTTCGTGAGTGACGGAACCTATCTCGGAGCCGCTGCCAAACCGGAATTGGTTGTGTAGTTTATCAACGGAGCATTTGTACGCTTCAGCCGCGGGATGCTGTTTATAATTCTCTTCATGACGGCTTTGTTGAAGTGGCTCGGAGTTGACGCAGGAAGCGCAACAACAGGAAGCCAAATGCAAGCTGCTGAAAGGCCTGGCGACAGGACTGCTACCAGTGGCAGGCACTATCGAGGTCTCTATAGTGGTAAGACGGTTGTTTATTTGATTGAACGCCGTCTCTAAGCGATGAAGCTTTGTAAGAATGACCTTTAAAACTTCTTCGTTGGCTCGCGGCGTTGCCATGTTAATGGTGGAACAAGTAGAAGCGAAGCGTTCGCAACAATTTCATTCATAACTCACTCGTTCTTACGTTTTGGACACCAGGAAACCTCTGTTTATAGATAAAACAGAGGAGGAAAATGGCATGGTGCCTGGAAATACTGGCAAATGTATCGATAATTGTGCCTCTATGATCGATCGACCGACAGCAAAGACATACTCTAGCCCCAAGCAAGCGACTTCATGTCATAAGGCTATCCTCTGTCTCTTTTCGGAGAGAGAGGGTGGAGGATTATTTCATCCACAGGTCGTGTCAATGACGGATTTGCTGTCTTGTATCCGTTTTTGATCTGCCCCAAACCCCCTCTTCGATCGGCAGAAAGCTTTACCAGAGCCATTTACATGTAGTATATGCCGTGATTCATGAATGCACTCATCAGAGACGCAACCGGAAGTCATGATCCGCACGACTAGTCTGAGTCAACCTCCAGTTTCGGACCCCACCTCCGGACACGGTCTCCTGGGAGTAGCCGGAGTGCACTTCCTTGCATTTGCCACAACTTCGCACGTAAAGTTGTACCCAAAATATATATATATATATATATCGGTCAAACAGTTACTAGGTGCCAAGAAATTTCAACAAACTCGATATGTAGAGCATTCTTTTTGGCGACTGTAGTACGTACTATGGACGTTCAAGTCCACTGAACAACTTGAATACAAGGTCTGTTTATATCTACAGTGATTCGGAGTATTAGAACCTGGAATACACAAACAGAGTTTGAGTTTAAATTTAGGCCATTCATATAAGACACATCAAGTTGCGACATGTGTCAAGTGCTAGATTTGCGGGTGTAGTCGAGAATCCGAGGCAACGGCAGCCTCGTAGTTGTAGACACTTTCCAAGCTATTGACCACTCAGTCCGTTTGCAGACATCATTTATCGTCAGAAATCAATGATATGCTATTCCCACCTTGCGCCCAACTATCCATCAAAGCAACCCACGAGACATTAAGATAGATCTTAACTCTTCGAGTTTGACCGGCTTGTTCAAAAGCAAATCTATCCCACTCCCAAATGTCTCGCTCTGTGACTCATCCAATAACAGTCCCGTCAATTCAATGATCGTCGCCGCCTTCAGTTCGAACGACCCTTCGTGCGATCTGATTTACCTTGTGACCTCAAATCCATCTCATAACATGCATTGAGACGCCAGTAAGAATGCACCTGCATTATGTAGTCTTCATTTGTACGCTTCGACAGCTTAAATCCACTGGCAGCCGTTTAGAACTTCTTCCCGAGTTTGCTAATGTAGGTGAAGAAGATTCTCAGGTTGGTCGGGTGGTCCTCCAGTGGAAGGGTCACTGTGACTGAAGTGCAAGAAGTCATTCGTTTAACTAAACTTAGCCCAAGACCTGTACCGGGTGCAAGTGGGTCTTCCTGAGAGAACGACCTATACAATTGGTACCGTGGGAAACCCTCGCCTATTCCACCTCCCGCGTCGGTGACAGTAACGGTATGTGAGTTGTCGCTCGCGGCTGGCGCCTCCGGTTTTAGGCCTCTTGCTTGATATGCACTTTAATCACCCACTTTTCATATACTTTAATGCATTTCCGAAGAAATTCACTATAATACGACGGATAGCACCTGATTGACTATCGAAGACCCCTGAGCAGCCAGGGTCAAGAATCGAAGATGACCATGACATTACTAAAGGCGGTTCGGGTTGTATGGTTGTCATCCCACAGACTTAGTTCTCCTTGATCCCTTAAGACTGCCAAGGTACGTGTGAGCGGCAACATCGGGATCTCTTACTTTCACTGTCTTCTTGAGCTGCACAATAGGCATATGCTAGAAATTGAAACCGGCAAAGACGCCGTCCATGACCTCTTCAGCAAGTACGTCGATTTTTACATGAGAGTTTATGGCCGTCATGCCTGCCTCGATCGGTTGATGAGGTTTGCTGAGCCGCAGGCCTCTGGAAAGCGGACGCCGAAAGGGCGGCGATGTTGTTGACTGGATTCTGGGCATTGGGGAACTCGGGAGGACGGACACGGATGTGTCGCCATTTAGTACTGTGTCCACCGGCGGGAAGGAAAAGGTATCGTCGGACTTTGAGAGCGGCCTCGGTTGAGTGTCGGTTGTATCTGAGCTCCTCGACCAGGACGGGGGCTCTGGAGAATTGGGACTGCCTCTATGTCTGCGGTGTCGAGTGGCAGTATCGGAATCATGGGTCTTCATACCTATTTGTGCTAGATCAACAGCTTGGTGCCCCGGATGGTTCCCTGACAAATTGGAGTTCACTTCCATGAAAACAGAGATTCCCTTGTTCATACTTTCGCTCCAAGAGTGGGCAGTCGTCCTGTTACCGCCAAGGTTGGTCATGAGGGTACCGGAAATATTTCTCGAAGCCTGACTTTCGGCTTTAGGTCAAGTTGTAATTAGCTCTGGGTGCATTATAGAGATCGCACCTACATTTACCCCTCTCGAAGTCCGAAGAGGAACCGAGGCATAAAATCGCAGAGATCGCTTAGAGTCTCCGATGCCGCAGGCTTTCGACGTGAAGCGCGCATTTGCCGCAAGGACAGGGACCACTGCTGGAATCGCAGATTTTTCCGGCTTCAAAGAGGGTGAATTCACAAAAACAATGTTACTAGGAAAGGCGTGGATGCAGGTCCATAAGTCTTCGTGCGAGATTCTGGGCTCGAGCGGGAGACCCGGAGTCGCTCCGGCAACGACATATTGGCACTTTCATCGAATAGAGAGATGGAGCGTCGAGATGTATCTGTCTGGTGGGCACACGACTGGGCAAATCCTATGATCGCAGTGCTGCTGGAAGCAATTAGTGAATCAGTTTCTTGGGGGATTCGCTCTTCGTGAACGTCGATGCTTGACAAGATGGACGCAGCGCATCTAGGTAAACGGCGAAATAAGTACACAAGGTTTGAGCAGAGCAAGAGAGCTTTGGATGGACTAAATTCGTGAACAGAATGGCTTAATTGAAACCTTTCCTCAGATGAATGAGCTCTGACTTCGATCGGACATGGCCAGGCATGCCTTTAGGCACTAGCCATTGTACGGGCTTCGGCAGACCACTGTGAAGCTTTCATTCACCTTCAGATAGACTAGAACATCGCAATGAAAAATTGGTCAAGTTTCTTGCCTAGACAGTTGAATGAGATGTGAACACATCTATTGTCATCGGGGAGGCGGTGCTTACATATGAGAACTAATGTGGAACCGCGATAGCTCGTCACCCAGAAGATGTCGGATTCGATGGAAGAACCCCTCAATATATCAGATTGGCAAAATCAGTCTCATTGAGCGATTGATCGAAATATGATGGCTAATCAGGGAAAAGTGAAAGGGTGGGAAATTGAGGTCGTGGCAGAAACACCAGGACATCTGCACGACACAGAGCTTGTGAGCACGGCATGGTTGCGAATTCAGGGCCTTCCGAGACTGGCCTGAACTGGCAGCTGATTCAATTGCGTGCGAACCCTAGTCATGCATGATAACTTTCGAATGGATTGAAAACCTTCATGTTGACGGTTCAGTTTGGATCACTCGTCAGCTAGATATGCAGCGAAATGACCGTCGTCGTTGGTAGTTAGCGGTCTTGACCCTGATAGGCCATTCGACGCCGGCTCCGTACTTTGGGGAGTATTCCCGACCAATCATTACTCACGAAAATAAAGGGATGCTAAAGACAGGGGCTGTACCAGGTTTCGACTCCGCTCCGCATACAAAGCCTAGAGAGCGTCAACAGCCAAAAGCAATATCGTCTTGCAGTGACGAAACCCTGTATTCGGGAGGCTTTTGAGGTAAGAGAAACCACCTCTTGTAGAATACAAGTAATAGATAGATCTATTAAAACCCGACCGGTAGAGCCCTCGCCTCGGGAGACCGAAATACAGCATTGTGAGGGGCAACTTGCAAGGACGGCCAAATCGTGCGCTCATAGTGTGATTTGGAAGTGGATGTCAAGTAAGCTGCAGTTACCGTAGCATAATACATGTCACGATATATAAGTGTTCGTTACTGCCCACGTAACTAACGGTATCGTTCTGTTACGTGACAATATACGAGTTGGCCAAATTTGAGGCAGGAACACATGGAGAAATAACAGTCAAGTAGGCCTCGGTGGCTGGCATCTCCACAACGTGACCTGACCATCAGAGACCTGGCAACCAGGCCAAATTGCACGAAACAAAGAGGACTGGCACGCGAGGTAGTGTAATATCTTGGCTCCATCCATTGCCTTGCCATCTCCACCTCCACCCTTTTGCCCCTTTCACGCAGAAATCCGGCGTGGCCATACTCACGCAGTTACCGGTGGTCAAAGTTGATATCGGGTGCCATCTTCCGTTATTTTCTCTTGACATCTCCATACTCTCAGTCTTCTTGTCCGAAACCAAGTGCTGACCTCGAGTGATCGAGGGTGTTGCTCCCTATTGTCTCCCTCGCCTGCCCGGACTGCAGCAACCTTGACACCTGGGAAAAAGATGCAAGAATGATATTCTAGTATACCATTGTGCTCAAATCCATGGAAGAAATATTATACCTTGTTGCTGTGTGCTACATTCTACACCCGCAGCTGACACGTCCCAGCAACGGTCTGGGCGACGAAGATGTCAGCGACCTCAGAGATGATTACAAAGTTCCATGGTGGTTCCGGAGAAGATTACCATGTATATTCCAGGAACCAGGAGCGAGGAGCCTTTTGTTCGGAACGTAATGCTTCTGTTCAAGGTTGTCTCCGTGTCGCTCCGGCTTTTCAACCTCTTCTGCTCGGGAGCCTCCTTCACAAAACCCATCCGAAGCCCCGGTGGCGGTGATTCTCACATCTTGTGGTGCTACGGGTGCTATTACTTCATCTCGATCGAGTGGATGAAGTTCTATCTTGCGAGCGCCACGATCATTGAGATTATGAGAATGGCCACGCTCAAGGTCTTCTATTACTCCAACTCAAGCCCCACACGATGCTCCAGTCTCTGGGTCCTAGAGATTCATTACTTTGACGAAGAGTGATACCTCTAATCACTACACCGCTGGCAACGGCCGGAATCTCGACGGCAACAGGATGTATATCTTTTCAGTGATTCTTAGCTTGTGTACCCAAAGGCAATAAACGCGAGCTTGTACTAATGCTAACGGCGATAACACCAGGAGGCACCTCACATGGGATGACTGCTTATATACCTGGCGCGTGATGAACGACTCGTCCCCCGATGGGACCGTCATCCGCTTCAACGACCGGTCCGCCTACTTTGACTACTTGTGCGTTACGGGCGTCCCCCACCAGTTCACTTGCGTCTCCAAGCTCGGCGATGACTACATCTCGAGCTCGCCTAACATTACATGTACCATGATCTCCCGGCCCGAAGAGCCGTGGAAGAAGAGCGAGGTACATATGCAGGACGGCCAATACTGCCTCTACTCTGGTGGCAAAACGTACATCGGGTAGTCAGCCAGCTACTTCTAGGCGCCTGACTACTGCGTCGCGTTGCTCGAGTGGGACGGCGTGCTAGACCAAGAGTGACGGCTGCAAGCTGATGGCAGCCAATGGAAACCGAGACGGAAACGTCCATCACGTCCCACGCCACGGACAACGCCAACGGCATGTGCGACGACAGCCGCTACGTCATGGTGCAGCCCGTCACGGGCGATGCCGACGGCAGGCCCAACTTTGGCGTGCCTTTTGAACTTTGGCTTGCAGTGGACGGAGCCTAGCCCGTGAAACATGCATGCATGGCGGTGGTAAAGTGAGGTTTGGCGGCTCAGGGGAGGAGGGAGGCAGGCATGATGGAATTTTTCGTTTCCGCTGTACATATAACACCCCTTCCCCCCAGGGTCAGTAATCGACCGGGAAGAGATCCACGGGCGAATGAGTAAGCCACCCAATCAAATAAATTAAGCTATGACTTGCGACGAGAGTCATATGTCTACAACTTTGATCTTCAGTGCGCTATGCTCACCCGGACTTGGGTTCTGGTCTGTGGACGGAACGCAGACAGAGCTCCAGGAAGGCCAAAACAAGTGCGCGTCATCGTCTGATCTTTCGGCCCGTGACCTATGCAATGGAAGATCAGCTTTGTGATATTGGGGGCAGTACTATTTCCGCGAGGGTGTCATAGGGGAGATGACTCTCTAGGACAGAAGGCAAAGACACGTGAGAAAGAGAGACAGAGGGAGAGAGGAGGGGCAGAGGGGAAGCATGGCCAGGGGCGCCTTTTACAGTCATTCATTCATCTCATTGGGCGCAAGCACAAGATAACGGAAGGGATCTTAAGCTTTGGATTGAGACTTCTGCCGAACGCGCATATGCGCTTCTAAGCCGGAAACCCGAACGACGAAGGCAAATTGAAAAATAAAAAATAAAAAAAGGAAGAAAGAAGAGAGAGGTTAGCGGGCGAACAACGGCAGCAGCAACGGAACCAGTACGGAGATATATTTCCCTCATTCTCTTCCCGTCTTCCCGTCTTCTCATATTTCCTTTTGCACGGTTTCGTGCCAGTTTCAAACGGCGGGGCGGCCCCTCGCGGCCAACGGGGAGCTGAACCGCGTTCGTCACGATTGCTGCGGGCTGGGCACGTTTTTGTTGCGCTTTGCCTCTTCTCAACAACGCTGCGCGCGCCGGGAACTCTAACCTTGTCCTGCTACACCTCGCGTAAGCCGTTTCTATGGCGTCGAAGAATGGACGGACGGTCCAAAAAGGTCGAGCGGGCTTCCCTGCGGACGTGGGTGTGGGATTTCACCCATCACCAGCGGGAGGGGAAAATTGATTTGTTTCATGGCCAGCTCCCCATGCTTGTGACATCTCCAACTGGGGGAGGACGAGACCAAACGACCCGCGCAATAAGCTCACGCCAACCATAATCTAGCCGTCACTCCGTCTTCCGCTGGCTGCTTTTGGTTTATTTTGTTCCGTTGAGCGACGTTCCGGCATCTCCCAATACCGCGGCCCAGGACCTTGACACACAGGCCTTTCTGGAAGAGGAGATAATGCATCTGAAAGTCCAATCTTGGTTCCCTTTCCCTTCAGCTCTGCCGTCCTGCTTTGTTTCTCCTTCCCGTTTTCCTGGTCATGTGTTTGTGTATAAACGAATGTATGAGCGTGGGGGAAAAAAAGAGATTTCCTACTCACACGGCACTTAGACCCGGAATCCTTTCCCTGAGCCCGGTCTGCAGCGCGCCAAACACGGCAGCGAACGAACCATGGGCCGCCACATCACCCTCTGGTCGGCCGCCTTCCTCGCGACGGGGGGCTTCCTCTTCGGCTTCGACTCGGGCATCATCACGTCCACCATCGCCCTCGAGACCTTCAAGACCTACTTCCACGACCCGGCGGACGGCGTGGCCGCTGCCATCGTATCCTCCTTCCAGGGCGGCGCCATCGTCGGCACCATCCTCAACATGATCTGCTCCGACCGCCTTGGCCGCCGCAACACCGTCTTCCTCGGCGCTCTCGTCTCCATCGTCGGGTCCGCACTGCAGGCCGGGGCCGGGGACCTCGCTGCTCTGATCACCGGCCGCTTCGTCGGCGGCGTCGCCGTCGGCGTACTGACTTCCACGATACCCATGTACGCGTCCGAACTGGCTGAGGCCGGGCAGAGGGGCAAGCTGTCCGGGCTGCTACAGTGGATGCTGAGCTGGGGGTTCCTGGTGGCGCAGTGGCTAGGCTACGGGTGCTCCTTTGTTGAGAATGACTTTTCATGTGAGTGAGATATGGATTTCTCCTCCATGTAACGATACCGGAAACTTGGACACGTACAGAGAGAAAACATGCAAGGAAGGACATGAACGCTGACGGAATTAAACACAAGGGCGGTTCCCGCTGGCGTTCCAGTGCGTCCCCGGCGTCGTCATCGCGACGGGCATCTACTTCCTCGAGGAGTCGCCGCGGTGGCTCGTCGAGAAGGGCCGGTATGCCGAGGCGCGGCGGAGCCTGGACACGCTCCGCACGGGCGTCGATGAGAAGCTCGTCGAGGCCGAGTACGCCGAGATCCGGCACGCCGTGCGGGCGCAGTCGGCGCTGCGCGAGGCGGAGGGCGGCAGCCTCTGGCGGGCCCTCGTCACGAGGCCGTCGTGGCGCCGCCGCCTGCTGCTGGGCTGCGGCGTGCAGGCCTTCTCGCCCCTCTCGGGTGTCAACGTCATCAGCTACTTCGGCCCACGCATCTACGACCTCCTGGGCATCGGCACGCAGACGTCCCTCATGATCATTGGCATCAACGGCGCGCTCAGCATCGCTTACAACACCTTCGGCCTCTGGATGCTGGACCGCGTCGGCCGCGTGCGGCCCCTCATCGCCTCGGCCGTCGGCCTTGCGGCGGCCCTCCTCGTCAACGCCGTCCAGTTCCAGTTTCTCGATCGGTCCAACCCCGACCAGCTCCGGAGCATGGTCGCCATGAATTTCGTCTTCGGTTTCTTCTTCACGCCCCTCGGCATCATCAGCTGGGTCTACCCGGCCGAGATCTTCCCCCTCGAGATCCGCGCCCTCGGCAACGCGCTGACGACCTTCACCAACTGGACCATCAACCTCATCCTCGTCTCCTTCTCGCCCCAGGCGCTCACGGCCATCGGCTTCCGCTTCTTCTACGTCTTCGTCGCCTTCAATCTCACCGCCGCGCTCTGCTACTACTTTTTCTACCCAGAGACCTCGGGGCGCACGCTGGAGCAGATGGACGAGCTCTTCGGCGACTACGTGCCCATGTCGGAGCACAGCGCCCTCGGGACCGTCATCACCGGGTCTGACAGTCAGAGGGGGAAAGTGGTAGGCATATACGGCTCCTTCGCGGTCCACGAGCGGGTTTCGTCAACCTCAGTGTGAACTGGGCGAGCGCAAAAGAAAGTAGATTAACAGCGTCGTGATGGCCATGGGTTGTGCCCTTGGTTACATCTGGAGATGATCTTGGGCCCGTACACGGATGGATTCATAGACTTGTGGTCTGTAATTAGCCTGTCGTTCGTTATGATTAAAACATTTACAAAACATGTGCTCGTCACCGCTCGTACAACATGAACTGTAGGGTACAAAAAGCCACACCAGCCGTCATGAAAGGTTCAACTCCTGCAAGTCTAACGGGAGAAAACAAAGCGTCGCCAGAGTAGGTCATCCATCATCGGATGCTAAGACGGGGCCACCGGCGCTGTCGTTCTCTTACGTGCTCTCGGCCGCCGCGCTCTAGTCGGTCTTGTTGTTGTTCTCCTCCTCGACGTCCTCGTCGATGCTCCAGTCCTTGAAACCCTCACCTCGTACCCAGCTGATGCCCTTCCTCCAGCTACCCTCTTTGACCGCCCTCGCATCTCTCTCGTAGACAACGCCGGTGAGCATGAGTGCCATGACAAACACCCACACGTCGCCGCCCTTCATGGCCTTCCACCATCTCCTCTTAACGCCTACCTTCCACAGTGAGTCGACGCTTACGCGCGCAGAGTAAAGGAACACGCCGCGGCCGTTCTTCCGCTCAACCCAGGCCCAGAGGCCGGCGAGAAATCCGCCAAAGAAGAACCTCTGGGTTGGCAAGAAGGTGCGGGGGAACCACTGTTGGAAGAAGCAGATGCTTGCCCAGGCGGTGGAGATGGCGCCGGTGAGGAAGGTGCTCATTCTCAACGCCTTGGTCAATATGCGCTGCAGAGTCGTGAGGGGCGAGTGATACAATGACCGGAAACGCGGAACAATCGTCATGACCGAGTAGATGACGAGGAAGAAGCGCGTGAAGCCGGGGAAGGACCCAAGCCAGAAGTTGAGGTAGGTGCGGAGACATGAAGGGTCTGAAGGGTGAAGGGTTGCGCACGACAGTGAGGTAATGATGGGATGGGCGGATGAGGTGAGGGGGGCAACGGCGGTGAGGGTTGGCGGGAGTGTCTCCTTGTTGGGGAAGAGAGTTGGAGAGATGTAGGGTCTGTAGCTGGCGTTAAAAAAACTGCCCACCAAGACGGAAGGGGAGCTCGGGACTTACGGCCAGTTCAGCCTCGCCATCTGGGCAAGGTTTTGGACAATCTCCAAGGCCTTGGGCCACTTGAGATGGGACGGGTAGTCTGCTGGTCTGGGGTGGAGGTAGGCCGAGGAGTTCTTGAAGATGAAGTCGCCATAAGACTGGTCTCGGGTCAGTCGTGCAACGTAAAGCAAATCCTCCGGATGGCGTCCACTCACCTCGGGGAAGCAATCCCTATCAAAGACGACGGCATGCAACAGTTGCCCAAAAGCGAAAGGCTGAATGAGCCAGCTGCCCCACCACCAAGGCCTCTCTCTCTTGATCTTGCTCCCGCTCTTGAAGCCCCAAATCATGCCTTCTTCTTCGCACAGATTCCAGCCAAACTCGAGCGCCCTGAACAGGGTGTATATGGCGATTGTCACACGCAGCTGCTGGGCGGGGTAGACGCCGAGGAATAAGCCGGCCATCGAGGCACCTACGGCCGGGGCATAAGGGGACGTCAGGGTTGCGGTCGTGCGCGGATTTCTCTGGCGGAAAGGCGCTGCCGAGGGATCGAGCAGGTGGGCGCGCAGGCGGTTGAGGAAGCGGAAGAGAATGCGGTAAAGGAGGAGGATGGCAGACAGGGATAGGGAGAGGCGTAGGGTCGGGGACTTGTGGAGGGGTTGCTTCTTGGCATTGAGACTGCACCGTCGTAGTGTAAGCAAGCAAGCAAGCAAGCATTATGCATCTCGTGTCCATCGGACCATTTCGCAGAGGGGCGCACTTACTCTTGCTTCCCGCCCAGAAATTTGGTCGAGACGAGAGCCCAACCCTTCATGGCCATGGCGGTGCCGAGAAAGACGCGCAGCGAATGACGGACTGCGCGGGCATTGTAATCATCGACGGCCCTACCAGCAGCAGCACCGGGTGGGGGGTTGCTGGCGGCTTGCCTGGCGACGGCAGGCTTATCGCCGTCGACGATGCGCTCAACGGCAGTGACGCTCGGGGCTGCCCTCTTCAACAGGCGCGAGCGTGACAGCACGTACTTATGGAGGGTAGCGTACTCCTTGGCGGAGATTGTGTAGCGCAGGGTATTGCGGAGGATGGGATCGGTGACGGTGTTGCGCGACGAAGCAGGCGATTGTGAGGGGCCGGCGCCGGGAGGACGGGGACTCGAGGTCTGGGAGGCACGAGGGGCGCCGGACGGGCCTGGCCGCGACGACGAGGCCGCGGCGGAGGCCATGGCAGAGGCGGGAGGACCGCGGGGGTCGGGGATGGGGGAAGGTCAGGTCGAGGGGTAGTGGGCGGTCGACCGTATGTCGTTTGAGTGACGGGACCGTATTGGCTTGGGTTGGGAGGCGTTGGGTTGAAAAGAGGGCGGCTTCGTGGGACTGAGGAAGCTTCCGTTAGCACGTGCCAAAGTCGACAATCCGCATGTGCATCAACGACCTGCCTCAACAGCACAGAGAGGGACAGCTTGAGAGACTCACACAAGGGTATATTGCTGAAGGTGCCAGTAGCAATGAAAGCAGCGGTCGGAGTCGGAGGCAGAGGTGAGGAAAAGGAAAAGAGTTCGACCTTGAAAAAAAATAAAAAAGACCTGTGATTGTGTTGTAACACAGGATGTGGAATGTAGATAGATGGTGGTGAGAGAGTGAGTTAGAGAGAGAGAGAGAGAGAGAGAGAGGGACGGAGGCCGACGGGACAGCGACGAACCAGCAGCTCGGGCGCGCCAGAGAGTCACGCAGTATCGGTAGTATACATCCTAGTAGTGCCTGTATGGATACTATTACCATGTACTCCTAGGTCTCCCGTGCTACCTTGGTAGGCCAGGTCGCCAGGTCCTGCCCGGTACGACCTTGGGGAAAGCACATGCCTCGGCTCTCTTTCTCTCTCTTCTTCCGGGGCACAGAAACAAAACGGAAATCCTCGTCGTCCATTGGCCCAAGCGGCCCCGCCATAACCCAATCCACGGATGCATACTCCGTACCACCACAAACACCGACCTCATTAGGTAAGTGCCTATGTAATAGTACATAATAGGAGACTATGCGTACCTACCTTACCGAGTCACATACCACATACCCAGGCATACATACGCGCAGTAGTGTCTGTTACCCCCCCGCGCAACAGGGGACTCCCCCACACTCGTCATCCCATCCACAGAAGGAATCCCACTACAAGTTTAATGACTCCTTAATGCACAACACACAAACAATCCTCGTCAAGCTTTTCACGACGCGCCTCTGCCATCCATCCCTTGTTTTTTATAACGACCTACCTACCTATATGCTATATCCCTGTCCTGTCCCTCTATCCGGCCCATCTCGGCCCGGCTTCTAAACATGCTCTATTGAGCTTCGGGCACTTCTGCCCCATCAGGAATCGCCCTCCGTGCTTTATGCCAAGCCCCATCAACATCCCATAGCATCCAGACAGCTTCCCTCTCTTACACACCCACACAAGACTCGCATCGGACATGACCGCCCGACCCCTGGAGCAAGCAAGCTGGTTGAGTCTGTCCTCCTTTCACTCGCCAACCACTTGATATCCCGACACACCCGGGGGAGGAGCCAGACTACAGACGCTTACTTATTCTTCATGTCACTCGGCCACAGTCCACAATCATTTTCAAATATGGACAATGTTCTCTTGTTCGCACGATACGCGCAGTCATCACCCAGCAACCTATTCTGTTTCTGTTGCTGACGACAAAAACCATTGCTGCCGCCCACCAACCACTCCGTCGCTTCCAATTCCAATTCCCCCATCGCGACGCAGCTGTGCTTGTCCTTCTTCTGGGTATCCTTTTCCTCCCCTGTCTCGCCCTCTTAGCCCTCCCCGCCTCCCGCTTGTGTCTTCTTGCGTCCTCTGCAGAAGAAACATAGCTAGCTAGCTAGTTGCCAACCGCCATCGAGAAAGCCCTTCTCCCCGAACCAAGACGCCCCTGTCAGTAGTGATGGCTTCCGACCACCTACCTACCCGTTGCGCCAGCCATTCCGCAGAATCGACCAGGTCCAGCAAGCTACACCGCCTGGCCACGTCACCGACTCATTCTCCCAAAGTTTTGCATTCTCCTTGGCCCGTTTGCCACGATAGATACTGCGAACATCTTGCGCAATGCTCAATCCCTCGCCCCGGACCTGAGAGGAAAGAAAAATGCAAATTGCTGCTTTTGTACCTCATGATGCAAATGTGAATCCAGCCCGCCCCTGAGCCGTCCAGCTTTTGCCCCCTTTTTTTTCTTTTAGTTCCCCGTGTCGTAACATCGTAATCCTCCTGCCCAACCAGTTTTTGGCCGCCTTCAAGGGTACGCCGGCCGCCCCATGTCCTCGAAGTGGCCAGCGCCTTTCGCCTGCGCCACCAGCGGCACCCATTGCCGGCCGAGAGATGGCGCGTCGCCGTTGACGTACGACACCACTTCCTCGCGCCAGCCGACGCCATGCCACTCCTCGCTCTGGCCAGGCTCGACGCTCTGTAGGCCCTTGATGATCGACTCTGCACCCGGCACCACTCCCGCCAGGATTGCGTCAACGGCCCTGCATCGTCTGGCTTCACGCTCGTTAACGACGGCTCTCATGATATGGTGGCGCGCCTCGATGCTGGCCCATCCGTTGACATTGCCGTAGCCACTCGATTCAAGAGTCGGCTTCAGGTAAGCAAAGGGGAGGTTGATGAGAATCTTCGAAAGTGTAGATCGAATGCATTGCTGCTGAGAAGTCTGAGGCGCCGACTTTGAGCCCTCGGACGGGGAGTCTGAGCCCACAGCCAAATCACCGAATTGAATGTGCGTGGGCCGCGATCGGCGGTCTTGGTTGACAGTTCCACGGGCAATTGTGGGTGTTGCCTCGCGAGCAGGCGGAGATGCGGATACATGCGGAATGCGGGCGAAGTGCTCGGGGTCCACGACAGTTGTAACCAGGGTGAAATCCGGCGGGAAGTTGTTGATGAGAAACGAAATGATCCCGTTCATCAGAATCTGGACGGGCTCGCCATAAACAAACTGAGTGTGCCTGTCGGCTGAAGCGCGATTGGGCACATCGCCTAGGGCGAACACGAGGGCCCGCTCGATGGTGGACCAGCTGAGAAAGTGCGAGGCAATCTCAAGACCACGAATGATGATAGGTTGCCATCCAAGAAGGTGGCCCGCCGCCGCATATCCAAGAGCAAAGTCGAATCGATCGTCAGCACTGCCAGCCAGGGTAAAGGCGCTGTTGGAGGCCGGATCGGGCAGATCCAGTAGCGGAAAGGCGTACAGATGCTGCACTGCCATCCAGAAAGCATCAGAACGGAGGTGCCTGTCGTCTGACTGAAGCAGGATAGTACGGTTGGCACCGGGCGGGCTCGACTCGAAACCGTCAGATTCAAGGACGTTCCGGACTGCCTGGCTTCTGGCAAGAACAAGGCGGTGACCGGGGAGTCGGACAGGGGGGGCACGGTCATCGAGGTACCGCAGCTCGAGGGTACAATCGGCAAAGGAAGTGTCTCTAAATTGCGATCGCAAGTAGGCAGCCATATCATCCAGTCCCTGATGCTCGGGTCTAGGGTGCATCATGTGCGGGGGTGGTATAGGGCCAGGCATCATCCGCTGAGGCAGCACACCAAAAGCTCCGGCAGGGGGCGGATGAGGGCGAGCGTCGTCGACTTGGCCGTTGGGAGCACCAGACGCGGGGTAATGGTTGTAGGTGCCAGGCTCCTCCGCGTGGGCTGAAGAGTGCGATTCCTGGAAGCTGTGGGGGGTCGAAGGACCGTAGCCGTTGATTTGAGGGGCGTATTGTTCCATGCCAGTGTAGCCTGGAAGCGGTCGACCGAATCCATCCACAGGAGTACCAGGCACGAACTCGGTGCCGTAGGGCATCTGGTGGTGGTAGCCGTTCACGACGCCAGGGAACGAACGCGCGTCGGGGTGAGGCATGCCAGGAGGGGGTATGAAGCCTCCCGAGTGAGGTGGTGCCGGAGAAGACGAGTTGGAACCAAATCCACCAAACTGAAGACTGCCGTTGCTTGGGCGCGGGCCATGCATGTGCGGAGGGCCGTTGTGAACCGAACGAGGGCCTCGGTGAGATGTGCCGTTGATAACGACAGCAGAAGGACGAGGGCCGTTGTGAGCAGCAGGGGGCATGTTGTATCGAGTCGGAGGGATAACGGGAGGGGGTCGGAAAGTCGGCGGAAGCTGGGGGACGTTCTCTGCAATTTGTGAGCAATCCGTTTGCTGCCAAACGGCATCCCAACGCCAAGGGCTCTTACCCTCTTTAGCATGCCAGGCGGCAGCCGGGGAGGTGACGCGGTTGGTGGTGCTATTGCCTGTGACACGTAAGAAGGAGTCTTCGGAAGGGTGGCGACCGAAGGCGAACGAACCTCGAAGGGAATCATCGGCAGACGAAGGGATGCCTCGATCGGCGGCCTTGTCGGTCGATTCGGACTCGTCCGTCGTGGAGGGCGTGGGGATGGCGGCGGAAGAGACCTGGGAGTCAGTAGCTACACAACTCTGTTAGAATCGTACTTCGTATCTGCAGAGATTTGGCTCGGGAAGAATTTGTATTACTTACCCTCGCGATCCTTCAAATCATCGCCTTCCGAATCGGCGGAAAAGAGGGGGGACGTGGTCTCGTCGACAGTGGATTTATCATCGTCGCGAGTAGCGATCTCAGGCTCGGCGGTGTTGGGGGTCGGAGGCGTAGAATCGAAGTCGTTCTGAATCTTGAGGGAGGAGCCGTTGGTCAAGGCGGGTCGGGAAAAGGATGCAACGGCGGCGGCAGCGGCCTGCTTCGCGGCAGCATTGGCCTTGACGCGGCGATCCAAGGGAAGAGGAATGGCAGGCACCACGCGCCTGGCGGCGCTGGGCTTTCCATGAGCGACACCAGCACCGATCCTCGCCTTCGGATTGCCGTTGGGAGCCATGGTTGACTTGGGAAGGCAGGCGGGAGGATGTGCGGTGGTAATGTTAAACGGATGGCGAGCCCACCCTGTATGCTGGACTTTGACTTGGCTGGTGGACGGGAGGGTCCAGGACTGGATGGGACGACTAGGGGGGTGGTGGTCAACAGGTGGTAGGAGCCGGGGTCGGTTCGCAGCAGCTGCGGTGGCTCGTTCGGCGATAGGAGCAGGACCAGGAGTGGATTTGATAAAGTGGATAGTTCTAGAAGAACAGTCGACTGTCGGGCGAGCAGAGTTGCAAGTCGCAAGAGTCGCAGGGCCGTAGGTCCGGGCCTCGGATGGATGGGGGGTTAGTGACTCTTTTCGTGTAGGATGGGAGCCTCTCGTCGGCAGGGGTAGCGCATTATAAAGAGAAGCTGCAGGTGCCAATGCGTGCCACAGGTACACTGTAAGGTCGAGGAGGGAGGATTGAAAGTAGGGGTACAAATGGAAAAGAGTCGAAGGTCAAAAGAGAACGTCGGAGGGTGACGTCGAGGAAGATGCGTGGATAGGTAGTGGTGGGAGAGTGGGTGAAGATTGATTGTAGGTCGTTCAGGAGAGGGAGGAGGGGAAAACGGAGGAAGGAGCGAGTGGAGTGGAGGGGAAGAGGGAGTTGCCGTCTGTCTTGTCCCTAGACGCGCTGAAGCAAGCGTGAGAAAGGCAGGCACGGGAGGTGTGTGGAGAGTGCGTAGAGCCTCTGTCCTGCTTGCTTTCCGTTTGACGCCAGAGCGTAGAGTACGGAAAAGAAAAGAGAGGAAAGGACACAGTGATATCAGAGGCAAGCAAGCTTCCGTCACTGCCTGCCTGATGCGATTGTTCCAGTTGTTTTGCGCCGTTGGTTGTGGCCACCGAATATGCCTTCCCACTGGAACCCGGACTGCGGAGAGGGGTGGATGGAGAGCTGCAGGTGCTCGGTGCGTTCTGCTTGCTGCTGCACCTTACTTCCTGCCTGACCGTGGCCTTGCTGCTGGCGGTCAGTCAGTCAGTCAGTCACTCAACGGTGGACGGGGTGCAGTGCTTGGGTCGAACGGGGAAAGAAAAGATAAAATAAAAAAAATCAGTACGGATACCGAGAATAAAAATAAAAAGAAATAAAATAAAATAAAAACCGGGTCCTTGTCAATCAACCCGATGATGAGCAAAAAACGGGGCTGCGTCACAAATTTTACCCCCGCAAAAGAAGAAAAGGCAGTTGAGGTACGTACCTTGCATCAGTCAGGGAGGCAGACCTTACGCCTAGGCACTTGAGTACGCTACGCTAGTTCGAAAGAACGGCGGCCATCGCGGTGCGGTGCGGTGCGGTGCGCTTGCTGCCTTTGCCCGATACGTACCGCATTCAAGGCGACCCAAGCTTGCAGAGGCTGACATATCATTGGCTCATGATGTCCCGATTCTAGGAAGTTCCGGCCCACCGCGTTGGTAGCGTAGAGGTACGTATCAGGGGGGAGAGCTGCCGATCGAGAAGGATGGATGGAAGGAAGGAGCGGGCCAGGTAGGTGTAGGTAGGTACGAATACCTACGAATAGGTAAGAGAGACCACCCAGATGGCTGGCTACCTTGATTGGAAACGTCGATATTGCTCTTTTCACCAATGCCATGCTACAGTCTCCTTGCTATCCGTACCAACGCTTCCAAATTCTGTCGCCTGATCCTCGACGAGACGAAGTGCATCGAAAAAAAGACCAGATGAAAATAGAAAGACACACTGCCCAGGGATGAATCGTTGCTTAGGGTAGAGCCGTTGGTCGGTTGTTTCTTTGCCTTGCCCGGCCCGATTTTGGCCTCTTTGCCTCGCAACGGACGCACCTTTGAATGACTTACAAATCAGAATCACTTTTCTCAGTTTAGCACAGGTTATTTAGAGTGGCGCCCGGGCGCGCGAGCATCTAACCTTGCGGTAGCCATCCAACTGTGCCCGTGCTAGCAACAAAATTATCCCAAACCACCAAGTAGCCGGTACGCTAATTGGGTCTTTTGATATTGTCGGAAGGTAATTAATTATCACGATGTGGTACCTTAGGTATTCTAGTTACTGTAGGTAGGTTAGGCACTTAGGTACTTGTCTGTAGGTAGGTCGGTAGAAATTCGCTTGGGTACGTAGCTCCGGCTCCCGTTCCCCCTGTTGGGCTTGGTTACATCAGCATTGTTTTGGTGTCGTCATCGGCAATTGTTTATTCCCGTCGTTCTTGCGACAACCGAGCGGCCAACACATGGTTGGCTCCGTTTGTTTGCATAATCCTCGGCCCGTTCGATATCCATCCGGGGCCGGATGTGGGGCTTGTCCACCGGCCATTCTAACGCCAGTGAAGCTTATGTTTAAATCAGGCAGCGTTGGATGGTCATGTCAGATGCGTTTACTCCATCCATTGAATTGGGCATGTATTACGGAGTACTTGGCGACCTCTTCAAATCACAATCACGCTTCCAGTTTTCTTTCTCCCTACGCTCCGCAAGTCCCGCAACGGTATGGGCTCGACGATTAAATTTCCATCAAATCTCTACTTCCCTTTACCTAACAAGGGAATACTAAGTCACGCAAAACTGGTTTTGGTTCGCTGCCAAGGCTTTGCCATCTTAGGTCTTACCTTGTCAGGAATCTTTGTCCATTGCTCTTCGCCGTATGACTGATCCTGGGGATATCCACCCGATATATGGTCCCAGAAATTGCAGGATGAGTTCATCTTACGTCTTTTTTGTCTCCCCCGCGCGTTCCATGTCAGGCAGCAGTGTCGGAAATGGGGCGAGTTGCCTCTCATAACCCCCATGCCAAAATCTCCAAGCCAGACAGCTGCATAAGCGAGAGGGGCTGTGACTCGCTATCTGTCGCAATTGGAGGGCTGTCAGTAAGACGGGAACAATCTGGGTACGAAACGGGACGTAGTCAACTGATTCTCGCAGCAATCCATCCATGCGCTCTGTAAGGCCACGATTATTAAATAGCTGCGACCAGCTGCGTATGGGCCCAACGTGATTTAGTCCTTCCTCGCGGACTCCCTACAATTCTACTTCCCATCGCAGAAGACAAACATGATTTTCTCGATTTTCCTCGCATTGGCTTCGGTGGCTGCCGCCGTTGTCATTCCCGGCCCTCCCGGTCCTCACCCGGTCGCTCTAAAGGTGCGAGCTTTTGAAGACGCGGCACGATGGGATCCTCACGCACCCAAAGACCGGCCCGAGAAGCGGCGCGTGATGATATCCGTCAATATTCCTATCAAGAAGGAAATCAGATGTTCCGCCGAGACCGTCCCCTATATGCCGCCAATCACGACGAGTGTCTACGGCGAGATGGCTACAGAGATGTACGGGCTACCCGACACCCTCTTCTCGGGGTTGGAACTTGAGTTTTGTCATGCCAAGGCGCCGTGCGCCTCAAAAGCTGACAAGTACCCACTCATTGTCTTCTCGCCTGGACGAGCGCTTACTAGACTGGCGTATGGTGTTCTCGCTCGGTCGCTTGCCAGCTATGGCTATATCGTTGTCACTGTGGATCACACATATGATGCAACTGTAGTTGAGTTCCCGGACGGAAGTGTGAGATACGCAGAGAACGCCACCAACAGCGACAGGGACTACGTCGAGACCCTCCTAGATGTCAGTTCCTCCAACATCCTCTCCATAAGTTGAATCAAGTATCTAACTATTGCGAATTACGGCAGAGCCGTCAGAAAGATGTTTCTTTCGTTATCAACCAGCTACTCGATACCTCGGCGGTGAGCTCACTGATGACGGGGACGCAAGTTTCCATCGACCCGGGCAAGGTATTTGTTGCGGGGCACTCTTTGGGAGGTGCGACGGCGGCCGCGTCACTCTACGCCGATGACCGCGTCCTTGGCGGCTTGAACTTTGACGGTCTCATCATCGGACCTGTCGCGACCGAAGGGACCCACAAACCTCTGGTGCTGGTCGGCACGCCGACAAGTACTGACTACGTCCCCGGGTGGAACGAAACCTGGCCTAATCTGCGCGGTCCATCTCTCATGTTGGCTGTTGCGGGAACTACTCACCTGTCATTTTTTGATATCGCCAAGCTTCTGACTGTGTTGGCGTTGCCGGCAGAGTATGATGAGCTGATCGAAGAGGCTCTGGGGCCCATTCAAAGCGGGAAGTTGGAAAAGATCAAGAATGAGCTGCTTCTAAGGACCTTGGACTTTGTGCTAGAGAATAAAAAGGATGCGTTATGTGGCATCGAAAGCCTCGGTCCCGGGGTCAAACAGCTGCTGGGCAAGAACTTGTCATGTCCATAGAGCGCGGGACGCTTATGAGATACAACAAGCCGTTTATCTCCACCCGCACTCTACCCAATCAACAACGTTTCACCAAATAGTATTGTCTACTTATTAGACATGTTATATGCTCAATCGCCCTATCTCCAATCATTAAGGTGACAAGTAAGCCAGCAAGACGTATAGGTATTGTTTAAAGTATCAAAGTTGAGATCTCTTGATAAATAACAATACTGTCAGATTTATCACTGAAATATTAAAGCAAATAACCGTTTCAAAGAAAGAAGAAAACAAAGAGTGCATGATAACACTGTTATGATTCTAATTATATTGGCTCTAATAGAGTAAATCTTTAGCAACGCTTGCTAGGCTAGTGCAAAACTTTTCCAAAACACGCTTGAGTGCATCAGCATTTTCATCTTCATAGGTATCACACATTGCATCGCTGCTTCCCGTCTCTGTCCTAGCCTCAATTTCACTAACATCCTTCTTGCAGACATCAATAGCCGTATGAACCTTTCTGATAGGCCCCCTGTATAGCTTCCGTACGAGATCCTCGCTCTCGTCAAGCAACGTTGAGGAAGCGGGGCTGGAGCCCTTGGAGCCAGCAGCTACTAAGGAACCCTTGCACCCGTCTTTCAGAACCACGAAAGCCTTTCTCAATAACGCCTGCGTATTTACCACCGTTTCTCTGAGCTCCGACAAGGAATTGTCATCGGAAACGTCTGACAGAATGTCCGCGATCCCGTCTAGGCCATCAGCAAACACGAGCAGGGCATCCTCGTACACGTACAGGGGCACCGGTCCACGGCTTGCGTCAAAGGCGCTATTATTGGTGAGCGTGTTTTGCATCCTTACCAGGGCATTGATGAGTTTTGCCCAGGTCATCTGGGATGCAGAGTCTGCTGTAGCCGTGGACAGACGGCCGATAGCATAACTCCTGAGATAGCCCCTGATCTCCTGGGCGTGCGGCCCGCCGTGTGTTTCGGCAAAGCGCGCGTCGGCGACAGTGCCTGCTGACTCGAGGATCGTTTTGGGCCCACCTGGGTGGGTGGTCAGGAAGGACGTCATGTCGTAGACTGTTCCGCCGATGGCAGTCCAGCACGAGGTCATAGAGTTGTGGGCGGCAAGGGTGGCGGGGCTGATGATGGGGATTTTTGGGCTTGGTGGGGGCGAAGAGGAGCAGCAAGAGGACCGTGAGATAGAAGGTATTTCTACCTTGGCGAAGAGATCATGGTGCAGTTGGTTCCAATATGCTGAGGGAGGGAGTATTTCTGTGCGGTTGTCGTCATAGGATTCGTCATTTACGTCCTGTGCTTGTTTTTGCTGCTGCTGTTGCGGTTGGCCCAGTCCAAGACTGCTCATCACCGTTTCCCCAAAGTCGGAACTGCCGCAGACAAAGACGTGGCCACCCTTATTCTTGACGAGCTGGTGGACAATGTCCCGGTATTCTACCAGATGTCGCGTTACATGCCGTTTCCCCTGGGGCAGCTGTGTCCAGGTCCCGCTGCGGACTATAAGGTGTGTCTCCTGACTGAGAGCCAAGATTATGGTCAACGGCAAGGTCCTGGTCAGCTTCTCTAGGCTGTCAAGTGAACACGGGACATGGCGACTTGTTTTGGCAGCGACCATAAGGAGCACTTCGCCTACCTCACCGATATTGTCTTGGGTATCACCGAGCCGCTGTTTCCAAGTCGCCCGGTCGTGTAGGAAGCCCAACAGGGGGCCGACACCGCTGCCCTGACCGATCAACACCAGCGGCACGGCCATGTTTCGTGGCTGGCGGAAACGAAGAGAAGGCCAAGGACGAAGACGCAGATGTGTGCCTTGAGCGGCAGTGCTAAGAAAGGAAGAGACCAGTCCCTCGGGTGTGTGTTGACCGACTGTCAGAGTGATGGTCATGCCTCCTCTTCTTCCTGAGACTGTCGCCTCCTCTTCCACGTCTGGATTAACATGAGCGATGGAGTAGAATCTCGGTTCGGGTTCCGCTTCATCGTCACTCTCGTACTCTGGCGACGCATCATGATCTTCCGGGGAGGGGGTTCGCAACTGTCTCTTGTGCGAACATGTTCTTCTGACCTTCTTCCTCTTCATTGGCGGCCAGATTTGCACTCGGTCGCCAGGCTCGAGCGGCAAATTCGCATCCAATCTCACCGTGACCACGACGCTGCCCTGGTATTTGGTTTGAGACTGCACGCGCGCGTCCTGCCACAGCGGCCGCCCGGCCAGCCGTGATGCCATGCCCATCTTCATTTGCATGCTCAGCATGGTCTCGGGCCGCATTTTCGGTTTCCCTGCTGCCGCGCCTTTGGCCTGGTCGCTGCTCTTGACGCCGCTGCTCGTCGAGTGTCGCCCCGTACCCAGGCTCACGCCCGTGACACCAACAGCCTTAACGCGGTGCCGCTCGAGAAACCAGACGTATATTTGCAAAAGCCCATCCCATGCTGCCGAGAGACGCTGATATTGTGACTGCTGTTCAGAGGGCAGATGGCGTTGTCGAGCATGGGCAGTAGCGATGTAGTCCCTGACGCCTCCAGCCCTATCACCAAGGGCATCCAAGAAGGCGCGAATGTTAGCCGGCAGCGTGGCCCGTCGATCGCTCTGCATGTCTTTCAGGTCACCCTTGACATTACGGCGGCCGATGAAGGCGTCCAGTGCATGAAAAATCGGTGCATCGACGCCACTGTTCCCCAGCTCGCCGGGGGTAACCGGGCGGCCCATGGCAGGATACGTCTTGATCCAGATGACGGGGTCAAAGTGCGCCGTGTCGCGCGGGGTCATAACATCAAACAAATGAGCACACTCTACTATGCGCGCCGATAGACTCTCCAGGCAATGCGTGACCAGGTCGGGTTGGTCGGCCAGCACGCCGCTCTTCGCGAGCGCCATAGCGGAGAGAGCAGGTGCAAAAACGGACTCTATCGTGCCCTGGAGCCCCGAGGAAAGCCGCTCCTCGGGGAGGCCAAAGTAGACACTCCTCAAGCTAAAGGAACTGTTGCCCACGGCGTTGTTGAGAACGTCATCGGCAGGTACCTATAGTAGCAAGTTAGCTACTGTATTATGCAGATAGGATGGTTCCAAGTATATCTACGTACCCGCCCAGTCAGGGGCCTCCCCAACTTCGTACAAACCTTATCCCATGCATCGAGAAGATGACGTGGTAGCTGGTACCGTCCGTTTTCCTCTTTGCTTTTGCCTTTGGTTTGCTCCTTGCCGAACATGTATGCGTGGGCCAACGCACTTAGCACCAGCGCCGCTCGGGTCAGATGACGCTGTTCGAGGCCACACCATGCGTCACCCCCCCCGGCCGTGCGCTCGCCCAAAGCGTCGACAGCTTGGCGCACTCGTCCTGCTCGAAGTAACCGTGGCAGGCTCTCATGGACCATCTCCCATGCCTCTAGAGGCGCTGGCAGGCGTTGGCCTGAGCTTTCCTTTGCATTGCTGCGGGTGGTGACGTGGGTTTGATGCGTTTCTCGACCGCCTAAGAAGCCCCTCGTCCTAGTAAAACATCCATCGAGGCCAGTACCGAAACGGAGTGTTTGCGTTCCCGCTCGAGGTGACCCTGGCCTCCGGAACTTGAACTCGGTCGTTGATGAGCCTCCGGATAGCTCCATTGCCAGAGAGGCCTGGGCAAGCAGGAAACTAGCCTTGGAAATGGGGCAGTCGATTGTTGATGAGGGTGCTGTGCCCGTGGCGTCCTGTTTATCTACCAGAGTCTCTGGCGGCGGCGTAACGATGCCCCTAGCTGATGTTTTAGGCTCATTGAACAAGACTGATTGTTGCGGTGATGGTAGTGGTGGTGATGATCTCGTATGCTTGACCACATCTTGCTGTGGCCTCTTCCACATGGATGGGGATATGGATGATGTAGGAGACGGAGACGGTGTTGGAGGCTCTTGAATGGTAGACATGGTAGTAAAAGTAGGTATTACCGACAGAGAGGTGGAAGTCGCTGTTTCAAAACGACAAATTGGGAGGCGGGATCAAGGGTTTCAATTCACTTAAGATGGTGGGTGAATTGAGCTCGTTATAAAGACCACTTGAGCTCGTCACAAAGAGCACATGTCGTATTGCCAGTTCCGTCGGCATAGCGCCGCCGCGGAAGCTGTGATGACGATGCGTTTTGTATATGTGCAATGAGGTCACACAGATATAGGGGCATTGAATGCCATAGCCTCACCCTTCCCCCAAAGTTTATTGTACTCTGCCTATTGCCGAGTAGATATCGGATATGCCGAGAAACGGCCCAGAGCTCGCTTAAAGTAGCCAGGATCAATATTTACATACAGCCGCGGCTAGTTTTGGGACCGGACCGAACGGTTGTTTGCTGCATTGTACAGTCTGGTTTGGCTCTTCAGGGTAGGTCGATAACCCCCAGTCGACCCCGAAATTAGACATCACGTCGTGCCATAGCCTTTCATCCAAACTCTTGACGTTCAGGGAATCGCGGAGAAGTTACCAGAGCCTTGATCAACTTCGGCAATAAGGTTCAGCTAGAATAAGCCGTTGGCTTACGTCCAAATACCCTCCTTCGGACCCCCGACAGGGCCAATCGCAGCACTCTCCGTCTCAGAGTCCGAGTGCCGTATATGCTTTCGCGATGCTAGGCTCCTCTAGGAAATTGTATCTCAAGCCTTGCGAGGCTACCTTGTCATTACACCTGTCATGTTGGGAAGTCCGGAAAGTGGCGCGAATGCCTCGGCATCACTCGTATTCGTCTTACTGTACTGAGGAAAACTACTATTTACAGGGACAGGCAACAATGAAAACCAATATGAGAAGATGGATAGCACCTCGATCCTGAGCCGATCATCAAGAACAAGATGACCCTGTACATATCTTCCAACGTTCTCTTCCCGACCCTCCCGGACCTCCTCTGGGGCCTCGGTCCGGTTATCGTCGGAGCTTTTGTGCTACGCACCGTCTACTACCTGACTCTCCATCCCCTAGCGGGATATCCAGGCCCGCCGCTCGCAAGCATCACCACCATCACATCTCTGTGGCACCGCGCCAATGGGTCTAACCACAGCTGGCCGCTGCTTCTCCACAGAAAGTACGGTCATATCGTGCGCATCGGCCCTAATGAGCTCAGCTACACCCACCCCGATGCCTGGCACGACATCTATGCCAAGGCGGGCGGTGGGGGCGACATACCCAAGGACTTTGTCGGACTAGGGCCAGACATGGCGGAGCCCGAGAAGGGTATCGTGCGGGCCGACGATGCCAACCACAGGCGGCAGCGGCGCATCTTCTCACATGCCTTTTCCGACCGCGCCGTGCTCAAACAGGAGAGCCTCGTGCAGGGCCATGTCCGCAACTTGATGCGCAAGCTGGCCGACGGGGATGCGGAGGCTGCTTCTTCCCATGGCTGCGTCGACCTCGTGACCTGGTTGAGCTACCTGGCCTTTGATATCATGGGCGACCTCATGTACGGCGAACCGCTCGGCATGCTCGACAGCAACGAGTCGGCTCGCCAGTGGGTTCGCGACACATACTCAACCATCAAGACGGTCACCCTCGGCATGGCCATGATGGGTTGGCACCCGCCCCTGGGGTCGCTGCTTCTCAAATATATCTGGGGTGGCAGTGGCAAGCGCCGCGCACAGCACAATCGCTTCTCCATGGACCGCGTCGACAAGCGCCTGGACCGCGGTGACAACTCGGGCAGCGATGTCTGGTCGATGATCATGCAGAACAGCGGCAGCGACAAGCAGCCCGGTATCACGCGCGCTGAGATGTACTCTAACGCCGCGACGTTCATGATTGGAGGCACCGAGACCACCACGGCCGCCACTTCGGCCCTGACCTACCTGCTGCTCACGCACCCAGCCAAGATGGCCAAGCTGCGCGCTGAGCTCGACGCCGGCATAAACGACCCACAGGCAGACATGACCTTCACCAACCTGCGAAAGCTGCCGTACCTCAATGCGTGCATCGAGGAAGCCATGCGCTTGTATCCGCCCGCGCCGACGCCCATGCCGCGCATGGTGCCTCGCGGGGGACGTATCGTCTGTGGGCGCTACGTTCCGGCAGGGACGCGCGTTGATATCCCGCTGTACGCGATTGCGCACCATCCTGACAATTTTGCCGATCCCGAGGAATTCGTGCCGGAGCGGTGGCTTGACGACAACGACCGGCCTGCCAAGTATGACGGGGATCGGAGAGATTGCCTCAAGGTGTTTTCGGCGGGTCCAAGAGACTGTATTGGCAAGAAGTGAGTGATCTCTTTTCTCTCCGGGCGTCTTCTTACTCTACGCCTCTACGTCATGAGTGGCAGTTACTGATCAGCTTTCGCGCAGCCTTGCGTACCCCGAGATGAGGCTCATCATGGCCAGTCTGTTGTACAATTTCGACCTTGAACTGGCCAACCCCGGTTTTGACTGGTTGGACCAGAATAGTTACGGGATCTGGGACAAGCACCCGCTTTGGATAAAGTTGGTGCTTCGCCAACCTGATCAGACCCGTTAAAACTGCTATAGGTGATAGTAGGCTTTAATTGCTCTCTGTAATTGACGTCATCGTTTTTTCGACAGAAATACGTTCTCTGTAATGAACCGCAGCGTCTTTGCATTTATGAAGAGAAGTAGTTGATTTTCCTAAGTCTAAGTACGAGAGAAATATCACCTAGAAATACTCTTCCTAATGTAGGTCTTATCGGTTGGAGGCGCCACTTCGTGGCGTCTCTAACTGGAACCAGCCACACAAAGCTGTCCCAGCTTCACGACATTCTCTAAATAGTAGAGAAAGTTATACAAACCAGATTGTTGGTTTTTATTGACTGTTTCTCCCCTTAACTCTACCATTTCATAACTGTATTGTAACGATTGACGGTGCTACTAAGTCGGCAATTGGAGCTCACTCTCAAAACCTTGGGATTAAACCTAGCATAGGAGATCTACCACGGCAGCTTAATAGCAGCACTATTGGCACTGGCCTCCTTTTGACCAAACCCGCCTCGTCGGCAATCAGGAAGATAGAATGACCAAAGGCATCCAGCCATGTGCAGTCCGCACTACAAGAAGGCACCAGACCCACCAGTTACTCGCGCAATCCCTTTGACCCCAGGAGGTCATCACCTGCAGGGCTGAGATCTATCAGCGGCTGCACTGTAACCCGCACCTTGGCCGGTTGTTGAGACGCAAAGGCAACGCTTGCTCTGTACAGTGAGTAGTTGTAAGCCAATATATTAACCGCGACAGGCAGCTTCTTGAGGTAAGAAACCAGGCCTCACGTATAAAGGCGAGATGTGAATCCTGAATGTGTGACGGTAGGAGCCCGTCCAGCCTAGGAGCGAGCAGAGGATGTTGTGTAGGGTAGGGCGCTATGGGCAGACGTTCTTTGGAAGAAGTGGAAGGGTCGACATGTTGAGATTATGGGTGCCTATAGTGACATCCTCTATCTGGCTGCTACGCGTACTAGTGTTATCTGTCTTCGCTTTGACGACTCGTTCGTCGTCTTGGGGATCTACTAGTAATGCAAACCTGGATCCCTCCTTGGGTACTACCTAGGCTACTGCCTCGTATGTGTATGCATTAAATGTCGAAGTTCATGATTAAGTTGCCACTTTGAAAGTCTTACTGGATCCTCACAGAGAAGATAAATTTCGAGAGAAGCTGCGTGATTTTTGGAAACCGAATACGTACAGGTTGAGAGTTAATCAAGGGAACAGGATCATCTTGACATGTGACACATGGACAAACTGGATCCACTGTTACGGTCCCCACGTCCCGAGAGTATGGAGAGACAGAACTATTCGGTAAAGTCTAAAATGCATATTTGATGCAGTCAAGACCGGGTAAAGGTAGGATTTCGTTGGGGCCATTACAGGAAGCTAGTGGGGCAGTCAAGGTTTGGCCAAGGTTAGGAGGACCACAATGCCGACAATGCCATAAAATCACGAATACGGCCGTTCGTGGAGTTGTAGGAATACTGTGTGGTACAAACACAGTAGACTTCCCGAGCCAATAAAAGTCACGAGAACTTAGATACAGCGGGAGATCGGGCCAACTTACATCTCGCTAGACCAGAAATTAGTCACGAAGCTGGCTTGGCGCTCGGACTAAGTTATTTCGGGCATCTTTTCTATAGGTTGAGTTTGCTCTGGCAGAACTCATCCTGTTATCGCTCATTTGCCAACTTAAAAGAGGGCAATATGCTGGATCAGCATGTATTTAAATCAACCAGTCACTTTTATCCACCAATAGGTTTTAAGGTGGTGCCGACTGTATCTAAGTTGAAGATTCCCCTCCTACTATCAATAACCCTCGCTTATATTCAATTCTCAAAGCTACTCAAAACTATATGACTCGAGACCGGGACTCCCACTCATATTGCTGCTGAGAACATGATTACTATCTCTACTGTTGTAACTACGAGCACGAACACGAACATCGATGACTCCCTCACCAGCAATACCGCAAACCCTCTTTTAATCCGAACTCAAAGCGACTGCGATTACATCATCACTCAAGCAGACTCCCACTCATGCCGAAACCCTCCCCTCTTGCGGAGAACATCATTACCATCTCTATAGTAACGCAGAGCACGTGCAATGACGGGAATGAAACACAAGGACCATCTTCATCTCTATTATCACAAACTGTAAACCCAAACCTTAACGTCAGGTGCACTTATACCACGTGAAAACGGGGGTGCAGGACGCCCGCTGGTGTTCCTTGGAGACCGTAGTCGTGAATACTGGAACCGGTAACGCGCCCTCGAGAAAAGTCCGCCGGCTTGGTACGCTGGTAGTAAGCCGGGCGGGGTGTACTTGAGAGCGCGTGGCAATTTACAAGGAGTACCATGATAAGCCCTTCTCGGAGCTTCTTGCGATCCATCACCTAGGTAGTTGAGGAAGAAAAAGAATATGTGTCATCCTCAGACAACATGGCTACTGCAGAACACCAAATCACCCATTATGTCATGACGGCTTCAAACAGCACCTGTCAGGTGGACTATCATGTGCCATATCACGTGGCGTTTCACTCATTACTCGCATCACTAGCCTATATGTAGGATCCTTCCTTTGCATCTGTACTCCAGTAATAACAGGCCTTTCTTGACCCTATTGTTATATGCCCAACTGTGTGCCCTAACTCGTGACACATTACGCTCCCTTTTGGACATACTGACCACCCCAACCAACAACCTCATCGCCGGACTCTCTTCGTCTTCGTCTTCCACTTCCAAGTCCACGGCTGGCAATGGAGCCATAACATGACATGCGAATGTTCGTATTCCGAAAGGAGGCTCGCAAGCGCGTCGTCGCTACTACGGCCGCCTTGGCGTCATCCTGTGAGAAAAAACTATGACGAGTTCAGGCCATTGGGTTTATCTCATGTTTCGCCCTGACCGTTCGGTCTAAATGGTATCCTGCGGAATGTTTGTGACGTGAGCAATTTTGTTGACGTGACCGGCTCGCAGATTGTCAAGGTGTAGATTTTCTGCGGCCGGGCAAATGTGATTGAGTGTCCGTTGAAGGAGAATGTGTACATGCTATGAGCAAGACTACCAAGACTAAGTGCACGCTTTTGAACAAATTTTCTGTCTTCGATCTCGATCACTTCTCTTCATAGTAATTATCGCATGAAATCAAAATTTAAGCCTTCTCAAGACTTACTTCGACATGTCCCTTGGACCTCTCTCCGGCTTCCGAGGTTGCGGCGGGCGGCAACTATCAGTCTCGCTTTCTCGCTGCTGAGGAGAGGCGGTTTATGTTGCCGGCAAGCCGCGAAGTCAGAATACCCAACTGGGGAAATCACGCTCTGCCACGGCACGCAGTGATTCCATACGTGCCGGTGTCGTTGTATCTCCAGCAGGCGGGGTTTCTGTGGCAGGACGACGCCGTTTGGCTCCCTGAGCAGGGCATCTTTGGAGAGGAATGGCAACTAGACGACGAAGATGACGCGGCTGCTGACCACCGTTACACCACATTCCACAGGGTCTACTTCTCAGACCCGATCGGTAGGCGTCATCCCTGGGCGTTTGAGCAAGACCTGTTTAACAAGGCTACGACGGGTACGAAGACGAGGACTACATCAGAAGCCATCTGCGGGCGGGCGATTATGTGCATGTTCGCAGCAGAGTAACAGAGCACTACCTCGGCATCGATGGCGAATCGATACCGTATATTGACCAGGAGATGAATATTGTAGCGAAGGACGGACATGACCGTTTACCCGTCGGGTGAGTTTGTAAACACCCAAGATAAGTCGAGCAATGACTGATAATATCACAGGGGCCAGGTCACAAAATCGCCAGAAACGCTCTAGGAAATCCTGTATGAACCTACTGTTGATAGTGGATTCCGCCTTTTCAACCACCATCAAGGCTGTTTTCTTGCCTCCAGCCTCCGGCACTACCCAGACTGGGATGGTGAGCAAGGCAACGACACCATCAGTCTACAACTGCATCGTATCATCGAAGCCACCTACACACGGGGCGCGTCGGATCAAGCTTCAACTTTCTTTGTAGTGGAGGGTAGAACAAGCCCCTGCTCCTTTCTTGCACAACCAGGCTCATTTCAGTTTTCCACTCTAGGTACATTGCAGGAGGCGGACGACCGAAGTCGGCGCTCCTGGGCGCGACTCACTCTGGAACCACCAGGTCTACACCTCCTGATAAGAGGATACCGGACTTTAGGCGGGCTAGCATTGCTCAAGCGGACACACAGGCTGTACGGCCAGCTCCTGGACGTCCCAGGAGTGCTGATGTCTCCAGAGACGCACACAAGCCCGGCGGCTTCGGCGTTGGAAACCATACTTGTGAGCGTATTGTGCATCTCGCACGCGGCCTATCTGGGGAGACACCAGCTTCGCACGGCGAGGGGTGTGGGGCTGCTTTAGGTTAGTAAAGCCACCATAAAACCAGCTGCCTCCACTCTATCTGGATGATTCCAGTAAGGGCTAGAGTGGTAGTTAGGTTAGTGGCGACTGGTGAATGCCTGGTGTTATAGGTTTTTTCTTTTTTTAGTGGTCTCTTTGGTTGGGGTGATTTCGTGTTAAGTTGGCTTGATGGTGATGGCGGATTGGATGCTTGCTGGGTGGTTGGGTTGGAGTTAATGCGGTGATAAGTGGCTAACAACATCTTTTTTGACTTTAAGGATGAAGAAGGGATCCTTGGAGGAACGACGCCTTACGGTCTTGTCGATTACAGCTGTGACAGGCGTAATCGATTGAGCTGTTTTCTCGCTACCTTCATATGAAGCATCGTCTCTCTTCCGAACTCTAGTTTTCCAAGTCACCTCCCGTCAACCTCCCGCCTTGACTTTCATAAACGCATCAAGCTCCCCCTCGTATCTGCTCAGCCCGGGTTCTCTACACGATCATCGTCTTCCTCGATCCGATACCCCTTCCACTTAGCTCTGCCCTCCTTCTGCGTCCTCCAGTGCCCTTGTAAACACGACTGGAGGTATTCTCTCATCATGCATCGCGGGTGGCCGTCATCTCGTACTTGCCCCTCGTGGGACTACTGTTGTGATTCGGGCTGTGCAGCTCAGTCCCGTTTCCAAGCTCAACAGGCGGCACGGTAGGCGATGTTGCTGTTATCGTCGGCGACGATACCTGCGTATTGTCCCAACCGCCGCCGTGTACAGGTTTTCGACCCGCCTGACTATGGTGATACGCTATGGATATCCCTCCCCCTGAAGCCGATGCGGCGTCATATCTGTTACCCGAATGATACTTCCGTCGGCGACGTACAAGAAGAAGAAGCCCCCCAGCGCCAGTACGAAAGCCATGCCACAGCCGACCGCGATGCCTGCTATGGCCCCCTTGCTCAGCCCGGACGACGTGTTGCCAGAGCCCGACGGAGACGCGGTAGGGATGCTGACGGGCCGCGTAGGCGTCCTCGTCACCGACGTCAACTTGCGCGTCATGAGGGCGGAGAGGTCCGGGGCGTCGAAGCCGCTGGTCGGCGCCGTCACGGTCGCCCCCCCGCCGTCGCGGCCACCCACGGCCGTCGGGATGTCGGTGGGCACGGCGCAGGTTGTCAGGTTGGGCCGTGACAGCGCCCATATGAGATCGTCGGGGTTCTCCCGGCCCAGGTTCATGTTGTGCGCGCCCCACACGCTGTCGGCGTCGCACGCGTACGCCGTGTCGTTGGGTGATCCAAGACCCCATCTACTATGCCGCAACGATATCCAAGCTATGACAGAATGCCACCAATGTACTCTGACAATTTAGGCGTCATATACGGAAGAAGAGACTCAACCAAGCATCCGGCTATTCTCTCTGGCTCGTCAAGCATGTTGCCCTCCAAGAGATCGTTAATATCTGTAAGGATGGACCCATCCCCGCGAAAGTCCAGTGTAGACCCAGACTGCGCTAGCTGGGTAGCTCCGTATGATAAAATATGATGGTATGACGAGATAGCCAGGATCGAAAAAACGAGCTGGCCTGGTTGCTGCGCGTGTCTTGAGCAGGTCCGAAACGATGTCAGAATGCTTGTCTCTGTGCCCATGCCGACCCACTTCCTCATGTCCAACTCGACGGAACAACCGACTGCGTACCAGATGACCACTGCTTGGGTGTCATGGACAGAGTATATTTCCACAGGCTCCCACAATTCATAGGTATCGCTAATGAAGCCGCAGAGATCTTCAATCTGCGTCGTGTTCAGATTCGCTGTCAATCTGAAAGGTACTTCCTCCTAAGCAACAGCATTAGTCCAGTCCAATTTTAATTGTTCAGAAGCATACCAATGCTTTGTCCAGCCACAGGCCAACGGATCAAAGATCGCTCAACCAATTATCTGATTTAAAGTCCCCTACAGTAAGCTTAGTGGTTTCGAGACCTAGAAAAGTCACACAGGAACTTAAGTTATCTATAATGCTCCAAGTAGTGTCTCTGTTGGTGACAGTGTTAGAGGCGCTAGAGTTAAGTATGTGGTGGAATAGCACTACTGTGCATAGCTGCTCCTTCTTCACAAGCTCGTTTCGACACGGATTGCCAGTCTGTATGTGAGCGTGAAGGTTTCTGAAAATTGGGGCGGAGCGTCGACAAGCCGCCCGCAACAAATGAGGACATCGTGAAAAGTAGAGAGCGTAAGGTAGGACGTCGCTGTTATCCTACAATGCAAACGAGCCCATTGAACTGCTAGGTCCGTCATAGTTGCTGGTCTGGGTTGAAATCCACCCCTAGAGCACTAGAGACTGGCTATTGGTAAGTATAGGACAGGAGATGTAGTGGATGGATGGATGGATAGGTGGATGGATGAGAAAGGGGCCTGAAACAGACTAATGCAAGCCATTGACTACTGTCGTATTGTGTACTGACTGTTATCTGTAAACATCTTTCCAGTAGCAGACACTAACGCGCCGTAGCCTGTAAGTTGATATCCTGTACCAACTCAACCTGCTCACCTTGCTCGCGCTCCTCATGCCACCTTAAGGCGGCGGGTGATCTGGCCGCACCTGAACAATATAGTGGCGGCTGGTTCACTTGCATCACTTAGGTTGGTCTTTCGCGTCGGTAGTGACTGGATTGTTTTGTTTTCTATTGAGCGTATTATCTGTTCATAGCCAGATGATGCCAGGTCGAATACGCCCTCACTGTGCTCTCCTGCATGAGTCTCATTATCATTATCTTCCGTATCATTAAACGGAAGCACCATCATTAAACGCCTTTTCCTTCTCACTCTGCGTGCCCTTGACGCTTCCGGCGGTCCACTGTCGCATTCTCTTGCCCCAGAAGTAGAACACAGGCAGCCCAAGAGATAGGACGATAAGGGCCTCGGCGTAGAGGGCAAAGGTCGCCAGCGGGCCCTTCTCGGCGATCCAGACGGTGGCCTTGGAGGCGAGAAAGAAGGCGATGACGATGCGTAGCGAAGAGACGTTGACGAGAACGGGACTGTCGCTGAATGTCAGTACAGGGAAACGAAATTGTGTTATGGAGGCGTCAACTTACCCTGCCCATTGTGGATAGCTCTCAACGATGAAGACGTTGAGGATGGTCATAAGAGTCAAAAAGGCGAACACGATCAGGAATGATCCGAAGAGTAGCACTCCCCAATGCAAGTTTTGCTCACCGGCAGTTCCGAAGACGAAGCAGCCCGCCACACCAGAAACGATTGGGAGAATCAAATTGGCGAGATGATGCTCCGGTTCTCGGCTCCCGCCTTGCCATTTCGTCACCGCGTTGGAGATCTTGTCGGCCACGGGGCCACCAAAGACATAGACGAGAGCCGACGCAAGGAAGAACGGTAGCACGGTAAGGCCGGTCCACTGGAACTCCCAGCCCTGAGCCAGCAGCGCAAAAGGCGTGATCTGCGCCGAGGCCTGGTTCATGACGATGCCGGCGGTGTTGAGGAGGACAGCCCAGATGACGACGGGGAAATAGGTCGATCGAACAGCATCTAACATGGACTGGGCGGCAGCCCTGAACTCGAATCCGTTCTGGAAGACACCGATGTTGGTCCAGACTGTGCGCGGGGTGTAGGCCACATAGTCGAGCTCAGGACGGTTCTGGCCGGGCTTGAGAGGGTGAACGGTTTGGCCGCCTGTACGGTATCAATCAGCTGGAGTTTCCTGCCCAAGGGGTGGCCGCGATACTTACTGAGCTCCTCTTGGGACCTAGTCCATCGGGTCTCGGGGAGGAAAGCGATGACGACGCCCCATGCAACAATGCCCAGACAGGATGTGATGTAGTACATCCATCTCCATGTGTAGTTGGACGAAATCCACGGCGCCAAAACACCCAGCGCGATGATGATGATTCCCTGACTGGAAATGACGGCCGACATGGCTTTGTTCCTCTGGTGAATGAAGACCAGGTCCTGGACAATCAGCGGGATCAGCGCTTCCACCGCGCCGGCCCCCAGGCCCATGACGCCTCTTGCAACCAAGTGCTGATTGAGGCTGGTGCTGAAGGCGGCGAACAGGCCGCCAGCCCACGCGGCCGTCGCGGCGAAGATGAGCACGGGGCGACGGCCGATCCAGATGGAGGTCGGCACAAGGAAGTAGCTGGCGATGCCGTTCGCAATGAGTGGTATCGTGGCCAGCATGCTGACCTCCTCGAGCGAGACGGGCACCACGCCGGGGGGCACGACGGACAAGGGGTTGATGTTGAGGCCGCTGCCGCCGCTCTGGGCCTCGAAGTCGATGCTGTTGAGGATGCGCGGGTCGACGCCCGAGTACTCGAGGATGAAGACGGGGAGCAGACCGCCGATGACGATTTCCGCGGACAAGGCGAGGGCGCCGACTGGATGAGACGTTAGCCAGAAAGCGACGAGGGCGAGGCTCGGGATGAGGCCTTACAGAAACAGAGTGCACCGATTGCCGTCCATTTACGCCATGCGGGGAGGTTCAAAGGGTCTGTATTGATGTGTCAATACTTGTACTTTGCACAAGACTCATACCAGCTCTTGGAGAGAGACTCACCCTTGGGGTCGGGCGTTGGCATCTAAGAAGAGAGTGAGACAGTGAGAGAGAGTCCAGTGACGGGCATCTTTACGGCGGCGCGCAAGACTTACGGGAATCAATCTCAACTTGCCATCCACATAAAGATTTGTCGTACCGACGACCAGCGTCTCGCTCTTTGCCAGATATTCATCGTCTTCGAATTCGGACACGGCCGTGATGGGAACGCGCTTCGGACCAGCCTGCTCTTCCTGGAGCGGCCAGCGATTGTTCGTCGCCATGTTTGCCGTTTGCCTGCGGTGATTGGAGTAAAGCAATAGTGCAGTCCCGACCTCCCAAGCCCAAGAGCAGCTCGTCTTTACCGCCAGACGTCGCCGCAGCCTTATACTAGACCCAACATGCCCCCCCACCCCCCCTGTGTGTGATGGAGATCTAAGGGTAAGGAGAGGATGTTCTGCCACGACAGGCTCGTAACACGTCTACGGTCGTTCCGGGGGAAACATGGATGGGGGCAACAGAAAACAGGGGAGGATAAGAAGCAAGGGAGGGATAGAGGAAACCAGGGGGGGGGGGGGGGGGGGGGTCTGGATAGACATAGACCCAGTGAAATGTTCCGATAACCGTCGAGCATTAACAGATTACGGGACTATTAACAGAGGAGAGAGAGGGGAGGAGAGAGTTGAGGCTCGCAGGAGCAAATCCACTAGGGAGGGCCGTCCTGCATGCGATGTTATCACCCACCCGAGTTGTGATTCTCGAATAGAAGACGTAACCCGAGAGGGCCCATTGCGCCGTCCCATCGTCCCGTCAGAAGGAATCGTCAGCGGCAGGACGCTCGCGACGATGATGAGTACTGCAGACGCAGGAGACAGACGTCTGTCTGGTACTGTGCGGTCGTTTCGGCGCAAAGGCTGCCAACAATTGGCAGGAGAAGTCCCTCCCCATCATGTTTTCTTCATCGTTGCGTACCTTGAGAGACCTTTCGAGGCGACTGCCGCCTTGGTCTCGTGTCCGTGCCCCCTGTCACCAAAAAGCACGAGCGTGGCATGTTTCCTGCTGCGTGACAAACATTCGTCACCGCAGAGCCAGGTTCGGGGGGCGTTTTAACCGTGTCTCCATCTCCAGAGACCAGCTGTCTGTAACACTGTGGCCTTTCGGCAGTTGCAATGGGAATGAGGTCGACTGATGCGGGATGCTCTGAGTGACGGGTTGTTGAGTTGCGGCGGGGCTGCCGCAGCAGTGGGGGTGGATAAGACTAATTCGTTGACGAGATCGCAGTACAACAGGCACGACATGGTATGCGTACGTGCCGAACATCATGCTTAATACCAACATGCCTTATGGAGACTGGGGTTCTTTTGGGAGAATACCTAAAGGGGTGGAGGGATCTGAAGGAGGGGCATTTGTAGGTACCGGAATGCGACATGGGGTATGCGGCACGGAAACGGTTTGATCGGCGTGGTCTCGCACGCGCGCGCGCCAGAGAGACACATACCCTGCTTGCTTCCATTCATTCCAGATTGATTCTTTTCTTCTGCGCCTCCCGAGAGAGGGAGAGAGAGAGAGAGAGAGAGAGAGAGAGAGAGAGAGAGAGAGAGAGAGAGAGAGAGAGAGAGAGAGAGAGAGAGAGAGAGAGAGAGAGAGAGAGAGAGAGGAAGAGAGAGAGTGCCTGTGCCTGTGCCTGTGCCTCTTGGATGAAGCAGTTATGGCCGTTGAATCCAGGCAAAACAGCATCTCATCATGTCGGTGCCGCGATGCCGAACTTCGGACTGTAAATCGACCTCTGCCGTCTACTCTGAATAAGAGAATGAGCACCGATGACCGGACCGTGTCCCCCATTTCGCACAGAAAGAGACAGACAAAGAAAGAGATAGGGATAGAGATGGAGGGAGAGAGCTCTTGGGAGGTCATCTGCCATCATGGTCGCTTCCCGTCCCTCAGTGGCCGCCCGCGGTACTCGGCCGGGTGAGTCTTGTCCCCAGCAACGCCGTTTGCATCTTGGACTTCAGACCATCTCCTCCGTACTTGGGACGCAAACACCAAACAGCTGTACGTGTAAGTTGGCCAGCGGTTGCTATGTGGCTAAGGCTCTTCGTGACCCGACGCATAAAGGTGGCACCACCGTCCTGTCACAAAACGAACCCCCGGTCCACGGGCCCCGTCGCAGTACGGCCCCTCAGTGACACCCCTCGAGACGTTTTGCCCGAAGTTTCCTTTTTCTCTTCGCTTCCTCGTTCCATTCTTAAGAGACCCGGTGCACGGGCAATGATCCGACGATGTGCCGGACGCCGTGCTGCAAAGGAGAGCGCCACGCACGATGTATGGATGGTGATGGCAGGAATATTTGATATAGCAACGCCGAGTGATGTTCCAACACGCTGAGACGGTTACATTCCGAACAAATCGAAAACGAGGGCTGACGAAGCCGCCGTCGGCAAAGCCAATCAATGATGGGCATCTGCATAGACAGAGAACCTCGTCAGCTCTCACACCCCAACGCATCGTCGTCGTCGTCGTCATGACCCTCCGTGACCCGTCGGAACTTCCCAAATGTCAGTGTCCAACCACTGGTTTGTCTGGTCTCTCTTCAAACTGACCCATGACTTGTTGCCAGCGCCCGACGTTCCGGGTTGGAAATGCTGCAGCGGCAGGTCCTGCGTCCGTTTCTTTGCTTAGCCCACACCACCAACCGGTCGAAGCCATCTCCCCCTTCTCTCCATATTTTTGGCCTCCTCTCACTCTTCTCCACAGGGGCTGTTGGCCGTTGGCTAGGAGACCCGGTCCTGGAGCTCAGCCGTGATCTTCGCCGGTCGGTGTTCCCCCATGCATGTATCATCGGCCAAGTCTGATGTTTCTCACCCCCCTTTTCAGATGATGCCCGGCCATGATCAACCGGCTATTTGCTCATCTATCGTCGTGGGAGATCGTCGCCCACTTGCCGATATGGCGTTCCGGCTCGTTTCCTTGTGTGCTTGATCGTCACCGCCCCCCCAACCAAAGACAGACAACTGCAGTGCATTCTGGACTGATGTCAACTAACAAAAAAGTAAATATCCTGTGAGGTACGACGCAGGATCTGCAGAGATCGGATCCAGTGCTGATTCACCGCTGAACAAGCAAGCGGTGGTCCATCATGTTGGCAACGGTTGAAGGTAGATAGATACACAACCCAAGTATGAAATCGAGATCTTAGCACAATGTCGCTTCCAAGAGTCGACCTGTTTGCTGTCTCTAAAATACATTCGTCATGCGAGTTTTGCCAACCCAATCGGCCGTCTCAGTCCTCTAACATTACCACGACTCGTCTGTGCAACATCCTGACCCGTTGCCGGAAAGACTCTCCCTGGGGAAAAGGGGAAAAAAGAAAGAAAGAAAGAAAGAACGCCATGCTCAACCGTGTTATCCCATGCGAACAACATCATCTGCCTCTTGTGACGACCATTGCTGATCGGACCCCGACCGCCTCCACTCCTTAGTCTAGGTCGTTGGTACCCAACACTCTCGCGAGCAGGACATAGAAGAAGATGACACCGCCAGCGACAAGGAGCTTGTTCTGGTTCAGCCACCCTCGGCCGGCATCCCGCTGCTGCACGACGGCATCGACAACGGCCTGAGCTTGGTGGGCGCTGCCATTGCCGATGCCAAGCTGGGGTCCGCACGAGGCGGCTGCGGCGCCGCCAATCTTGTTCCCTGTAGCCATGTCGACCTTGTTTTCCTTCATCCACTCCCAGTTGGCTTTGTCGACCTCGGGCCACTCGGATCGGAACTTGGCGCCGCCGTCGCCGGCCTTGACGTTGCCCTTTTGCGCAGGGTTTGACTTGGCGTGGGAGCCGCCGCCGGTCGAGTTCCACCATCTCGTCCGCGCCGCCAGCATCTTGCGCTCAGCCTCGGTGCTCGAGACGGAGCCGGTGGTCATCTCTTCGCTCGTCATGAAGGAAAGGAGGCCTATCAGGATGGTCGAGACCTCCCAGGCGGGGTTGAAGGATTTCGGGTGGAAGTCGGAGATGGAGAGGCATAGTCGGGTCGATGGCTGAAAACGGCCGGACGGGGTGTGCATTCGGATGGCCGGGGGCGCGAAGGGGTAGTTGGGAGGGAAGACGAGTGTGCCCCAGTACTGTCCGTTATGATACGGCGTGTTCTCGGGACCGGTGATGATGTAATGCCATCTATTCCGAGTCAGTTTTGTAAAGATGCGATAGGGACATACGATGGACATACTCGAGGATGTTGGAGTCGGAAGGGTGGGCTTCGATGTATGGTGGAGGGTTCTCGGCGATGGTCTTGTATTCGCGCGTCAACTGCGAAAGAGGTCGGTCAGTCAGCACATGAAGCAGAAAGAGGAAAAGAGTGATTTTAGCATACCCTCTTCTGCGCGGCCTTGCTGGCTGCCATGATTATCAAAGTTGGAGGAGGGGTTTTGCCTCAGTCGTGCGATTCCCGGTTTGGGGAGGGGGGGGGGTGACGAACGACGTAATCGTCAAAGAGAGAACGAACGGGGCAGCTGATGGAATCGTGCGAGCGGCAGTAAACGAGTGTCAAAGGATTATGCAGTGCCCTGGTAGACGAATGTCTGTTCGTTCGGTTGTTGGGCTGGGGCGACTTAGTTCGAGTTGGCGTGATGGAAGGATGATGAAGTGCGACGGCAATAAACACACAAACACACACTCACACTCATACAACACACATACAAACACACGCAGAGGCAGCAGTGAGTGGGATGTGGAGGACAGGTTGGTTGGGAAATGCGGCGAGGCTGCTGTCGGCCAGTGCCCCATGCGCTCGCTGTCGAAGCCTAAAGGAAAGGTGCGTCAGAGAAGAGGGAAGAGAGGTACGTACCCCCGGACATCGGACATACTTGCCTACCCACCAACCTTAGGTACTAAGCATACCTACCTAAGTACCTACCTAGATAGGTGCCTTACTTAGTAAGGCATCGCCAGATGCCTACCTTTACTACCGTACGTAGGTAGGCATAGGAAGATGACTAGAGCGCTAAGCTAGAAATAGAAATGACTCCGCAGCATTATGTCACCAGTCCGTACCTCTATCAGCCACAGTGTCTCCACAGTGTCTCCACCTTCACAAGTTGGACTAGGGCATCGTTGTGGCTGGAGCTGCCCAGATTCTCTCCACTCTCCACTCCTCGGCCAGACCAGCCAGAGCCAGAGCTTTTGACTTTCAATCGCACCAGCCTCAGTTGGGGCCAGGTCCCCCATCAACCCGCCCCAGTTCGTTCCCTTGTTGCGCGTTCCGTGCTGCATCTCGAAATCAACCGAAGCCTGTCGGTTTGTTTGTGCCATTTTTTCTTGCCAATTCGCGCCCCTCCAGTTCTCCTTCGCACTGCTCACACAAAGGCTTGCTTGCAATGGCCTCGCAACCGAGCTTGAGCGGGAACTCCGTGAGTCCATTATCCATCCCGTAAATTGCTTCTGTTGATGCTCTCGGCAGCTAACCAAGAATATTCCTCCTGTCCCCAGGCCTCCAACCCGATCGGCAAGCTTCAAACTGGACCGGATGCGCTGCGAAAGGAGGCCGAGTCCTCGGCCGAGTTCGAGAAGCTGCAGGAAGAGGCCAAGATCAGGAGGCTACAAGCACTGGCAAGCTCCGAACCTCCTTCCCGCAACCTCGGCGCTTCCGCTAACAACCATTATTAGCTAGCGGAGCAAAATTCCCAGCCCACGACCATCAACCGTCTCCAGGTTCACGGCGCTGCCAACACCAGACGAGGCTTCCTCGACCCCATCTTCCAGCCGCTTTTGGCTGAGGACGTCAACGCCAACTCCACTCTCGGCCAAGTAGCCGCTCGTCTGGGCGAGGCCAGGGGAAAGCTTGAAAGGCTGGGTATGGGCGACTCTGGGTTCCGAGATCCAACACAGAGCTCGGGCTGACCTGAACAGGCATCTTTCACCCCGATCCCAAGGTTCATCTGAACGGCTCGAACCAGACCGACCCCTCGTCCACCCCGACCGATGTCGACGTCGACGTCGTCGTCAAGGAGCTTCCCCGCTACAAGTTCAACGCTGGAACCGATGTTGGAAACAGCGAGGGTTCCGCATACACCTCTCTGCTCTGGCGCAACATTTTTGGCGGTGCCGAGCAGCTCACTGTCAACGCCAGCGCCGGCACAAGAACCCGTTCCGCCTACAGCGCCACGCTCAGCGCGCCAGTCAAGAGCAACCCCGATACGAGAATTGCCCTCGAGGGATTGGCCTCGGCGACCGACAAGTCATGGGCAGCTCACGAGGAGGTCCTGAAGGGCGGCAACCTGCGCTTCTCTTGGCTGTCGGGTCCCAAAGACATGCACTCCCTCGAGTACTCGGGCATCTGGCGTCAGGTCACCGGCCTGCGTGACGGCGCCAGCCCCACAGTCCGCGCCGATGCGGGCGATTCCGTCAAGAGCTCCATCAAGCACACATACCAGCGCGATGAGAGAGACAACCCGCAACTGCCGCAAAGCGGCTATGTTCTGAAGTCCGTCTTCGAGCTGGCCGGCTTTGGCCCTCTGGGCGGTGATGTCGCCTTTTCCAAGAACGAGGTGGAAGTTGGTGGCGCCGTGCCCATCCCCATTCCCGGCGTCGACGGACCCTCCGGCATCTCTATCGGCGGAGGTTTCCGATTCGGCATGCTGTACCCTCTCCCTCTTGGATTCTCCTCAGGGGGAAAGGCCCAGCCCAGCCGCATCAACGACAGATTCCAGCTTGGCGGACCCACCGATGTCCGCGGCTTTCAGTACGGTGGTCTCGGGCCTCACGACGGACCGGATTCCGTCGGCGGAGACGTTTTCGCGGCTGGCAGCGTGAACATGCTCTTCCCTCTGCCCTACAAGGGCCCCGACTCTGCCCTCCGCTTCCAAGTCTTTGCCAACGGTGGCAGACTCGTCGCAATGAAGAGCAAGAGCAAGGGTGACGACGAGTCGCCCAAGGGCCTCGATACCGGGAGCGTCGCCAACAGCGCGTGGAGAGCGCTGAACGATCTCGCCACCGGTCTGCCGTCGACTGCCGCCGGTGTTGGTCTTGTTTACGCCCACCCTGTCGCCCGTTTCGAGCTCAACTTTAGTCTTCCGTTGGTGCTGAGACGCGGCGAGCAGGGCACCAAGGGATTCCAGGTTGGTGTCGGCATCAACTTCCTGTAGACACCCAGTCCCTCTCATTCCCTGTAATATCTACTGTGTTAGCCCACAGCACAGCCTCCAAAAAGCCAATCATGTACAACCAGACTATTATAGATGTTCCCATTCCAGAGTTTAATTGCATCGAAACCATGCCGTGTCGTCAGCATCGCAGAGGTCCGCTTTTGCTCACCAGCCCATCCGCAAAGTTGATCATATCTTTGCTGGCGCCTCTCACCCATCTGCTGCTGACTCAAGTTTGGTTCGCCAAGCCAGCGCGGCCGTGTTGTCATTCCCGGCGACTGATTGTCAGCCTATCAGGGAATCCTGGGAAAGCATCAGAGCATCCCTGCAGTGGTCTCCAGTACGACATCACTTCCCCGATAGGAAGTCGTACCACGCCACGGGCTACTTGAGCGTTTTTACACGATGTGACATGGTTCCCCTCACCCCGCCTTCTGTGCAAGCTCCCATAACATACCGACTAGTGCTGACTACATAGTAACTCCCATGTTGACGACTATGTCGAAGGCGGTAAACTGTCTGTTCGTTCCTTATCACGCACATTCCGTGACTGGCGCGAGCTTGGCTCGGTACCAAGCCTCTGGGTTTCCGTTGCAGCTGGTAAAGTGTAGCATCGATGCAACCATCGCAACAGTACAAATAGTTCCATGCCGCCCATTGGCATAGCCAACGGCTCAGTATCTTCTCATCACCGTTGGTTCTCCTCCAAATTAAAATGAAGCTGTTCTTGTCCCTACAGTTGCTGGTCGTGGCAGTCTCTGCCCTCACTGCAAGGGCGCCCAACGTCGCCAATGAAATCAAAGCCCGCGTCTCACCATCGTCCTCGGTGGCGGTTGACCTTCGGGCAAGATGGAGTGCCTTCAATGCGCCGGTCCCGGCCATCGTGGTTAATGTGGCTACAGAGAAGGACGTTGCCGCTGTGGTAAGCCGCTTTCCCGAGACTAGAACTCACCGAACCCCGTTGCTGACTTCCAACTAAAGGTTAAGTACTGCAGGGATCGCAGCATCCCGTTCGTGGCCCAGAACGGCGGGAACGGCTGGGGGAAGACCTTCAACCTTGGCACCAACGGTGTCCTCATCAACCTGGCTGGCTTAAACACTGTGACCTTTAGCAATAGCAAGACAGAGGCAACCATTGGCGGCGGCGTGATCATCGGCGATGTGGTCAAAGCAGCGAATGCTGCCGGAGTCCTGGTCCCCACCGGCAACTGCAACTGCGTGGGCGCCCTTGGCGCCATCCTCGGCGGTGGTTACGGTGCGTCAGACTCGGCGTCTTGCGCCTACACCGACACTATAGACTAAAGCGCTTCTAGGTAGTCTCATGGGCGAAGTGGGCTTCGGAGTCGACAACGTGCTCTCGATGCGCGTCGTCGTCGCAGACGGACAGATCCTCACTGTCTCGCCAACGTCCTTCCCAGACCTGTTCTGGGCTTTCCGTGGTGCCGGTCCCAACTTTGGCATTGTTATATCCGCCACGGTCAGAGCCTTGCCCTCGTCGACCCAAGAGCGTACCTCATGGCTCATGAACCTGGTCTTCTCGCCAGAACAGCTCACGCAGGTCGCACAAGCGATCCAGGACCTGCCCCTGAAGCCCGAACAGTTCGTCTTCCTCATCCTCACGAACACGGGCCCGCCAACCAACGCGCCCGCCGTTGTCGTCACGGGATTTCTTAGGAAGGGCACAGAGGAGGCCGGCCGCGCCGCCTTCGCGCCGCTGTACGCCCTCGGCCCGATTGCCAACAGCAGCAGCGTGGCCGGGTACGAGGCCTGGAACAACGGCAACGATCCCTTTTGCGCGCGCGGCGACAGGAAGCCGGGGTTCAGCACGACCATCAACCACATGCAGCCCGAGAAGTGGCCGGAGATCTGGGACATGTACACCAAGTTCCAGGCAAAGGCGCCGAACTCGGCCATTCTCATCGAGCGCTACAATCTGACAAAGGCCCAGGCCGCCCCCAAGGATTCGGCGGCCCTGCAGGAGGCGCTGAGGACGGACGCCTTCGCGCAGGCGATTGTGCTTCCGTGGTACCCGGACGCTGCGCTGGACGCGGAGGCGCTGGATTTCGGGCGCAAGGTGCGAGATATTTGGAGTTACACCGAGACGGCGACGACGAACCCCACGTACGTCAACTTCGCCCACGGCGACGAGACGGCCGAGGCGATCTACGGGTCGAGTCTGTCGAGGTTGCGGCAGTTAAAGAAGAGGTGGGATCCTTTGGGCTTGTTCAATCAGTGGTTCAAGGTCGGGGCATAGTCGTGTATCATGTTAACAAGAACTCGGTCTCCAAAACAGACCATATCACTGAGATTCCAGAGACGGAATGCATTCACGGTAAAAAGACGGCGTCAACTGAATTATCCCGTTCGATCATATTCAACAGAACTCATTATCGTTTTCTGTGACAGTGCCCCTTCTTCCAACCTCTAAACCATACGTTACAAGCCCTCAAACGATAACAAAGACGCTAGTACAAATTATTCTTCACGTAAGCCTCAAGTCACATCTGGGTTAGAGATACCTCAAACAATTGCAGATTCCCAATATCTAGCCAGGGTGATTGTAGGTAAGTCCCTGCTCCGCGCTGTCATTGTGACATAGAATGACTCCTATTTCGGCCTTCGGCAGCTTGACGTTCGTAGAGTACCTTGGTTCGGGCCGAAGACCCGCCATATCGCGTAGGCCTCCCAGGTCACGAATGGCTTCAATGGGAGTGCTGGCGGATCAAATCAGATCCTCTAGCCTTGGGTGGTCGAGAGTCACCTCAAGAGGGAAAGAGACGCTGAAAGGCAACTCAAAGGCGAGTGAGATCTAGTAGAGCAATGGAGGAGTAGGAGCCTGATAGCTGTTGTTCCCTCCTCCCCGATTTCGACCGCAACAGCCTCAGGCTGGAAAGACTAGATTGCGGAGCAGTCCCCCCGAACGGAGAGCAGATTTGAACGGAGGGACTTTGTAAGGGAGTAAGCGGAGATATTCCCTTAATAAATGTATGCGTGGTGCAATTTGGCACGAAGTGCCAGCATTGATTGATCTTTTGAGTATTTGCCCGAACGGTCTACGGACGAGCTTATCACACTACCTAAGTTCCCTGACAGACCCGGTCCTGGAAAGTGTGTACGGCGCGTTGTAACTATCGATGCTCAAGGCTGGGTCTGTAGGAAACGCGGCGAGAACCTTGATCAGCTGGCAGGCGTCGATGGTGTCCATTGGAGGTTTGCATCCTTTCTGCAGCACCCTGACGACCATCTTGTATTCTGCCCGAGTCATGGTAAGAGACACATTGTCCTTTCCCTAGGTTCCCGTTGTTGAAAGACGTCATTGATTATCCTGGGCAATGGGGGCGTGTTGACCGATGTGGTAATATAGCCAACGATGCCGATCTTAACGCAGTGGAAAGAGATGTCAGTGACCGCGACATCTGGAGCGCGGGATCCGCTGATAGATCTTGAACGAGGAATTCTACGCAATCACGGTGATATACGTCAGCCACGACCCAGGACCGTCCAGGGGCTCCGCATCCCGAGACCATTTAACGTATTCGGTCCGGCCACGCTTCCGCTCCCGCTAGCTCCTGTGTCTTCTCAAGGTAAGCAGTCATCCGAGAGAGTCCCAGCAATACTCAACCATAGCACAAGTCAAAACGTAACAAAAATTGGAATGAGAAACGTCGGCCTTTTCGATAAAACATCGTATCTCACCCAAGGTAGCACTTTTGAAGGGCAGAAAACTCTCTTCATTTACTGTGACAATCATGCTGATAGCTAAGCTGACACAAGGCTCTCCAAGTCCAGGTCGGCTGTGCGATAGAATCCCAAGCTCTTGAGCATGGGTATGTCGTCAAACCGATACAAGTATGCCGCAGCCTCGAGCCCCTCGTCCGCAGTGTGCTGGAAAGGATACCATGAGGGAATACAAAACGTGTCGCCTTTGTTCCAAACAAGTGTCTTTTCTCCGATTTGAGTCTGACCGGAGCCCTCAATGACATGATATATAGATGATGCAGTCTCCTGAACTTGAGGTGACTGTATGCCAGGGTTCAAGCGTGTTGCGCAGCCCCCTAGAACCTTGCTGACTATATAGGCGAACGAGAATTAGCCAACGTAGTAGTAGATTTGGCGCCATTTAGGGTACTGACCTTCTGAGCCGTCTGCGCGCAGATATCTCTTTGTAGCATAATGACCTTTCTCGGAATCTAATGCTGCTTTCATTCTGCTCCAAGGGAAGACAATGGGTGACTGGGACGTATCGACATCCTCTGCGGGATACCGCGGAGATGAGTACTGTTCCACGAAATGGACGGGAAAGTGAGTGAAGTTGGGCAAATCTAAGCCGTCGAGCCAGATCATTGGGCCGGATCCATCCTTTCCATGGTCATGCCAATTCCAGCTTGGTGTCAAGATGACATCTCCACGGGTCATCTGGATGCGCTTGCCATGAACTGCAGTGAAGCCGCCATTACCTTCAACGATGAAGCGCATTGCAAAGGCAGTATGACGGTGAGCTTTGGCCGTCTCGTTAGGCATAACCAGCTGCAGCCCAGCGTACAGGGTATCTGTGGTATAAGGCGCGTCTGATGTTTCTGGTTAGACGATCATTTTTTTATTTTAAATCTCGGCTTTGGTGGTCATAACGCACCCCTTGATGGATTCACAAACATCAAAACCCTACGCTCGGCTTGTTGCTCCGATACAAGGCGGCCCGCCTCTAAGAGTGTAGGCTTAATATCCGAGTACTTCCAGACATGGGGCGTGCATCGCGGATTGGGCAGAGGCGGGTTAAATCTGCTCATTTCCAGCCAAAGCGGCTTTGTGTGGCTAGCCTTAGCCGCCTGCAACAACTGAGAAGTCTCATCGCTGACTGCTTTGTTTTTGTTGGAGGTTTTAGTAATGGTTGTGGAGGGCATAGCTGCGAATTGTGTTCAGTGATGAAAATGCGCTGACAGGTCAAGGTTGGAGTGACAAATATCCGTATCTGAAGGATGTTGCCGGTTTTTTTTTTTTTTTTTTTTTTTTTGTAGAATATTATCCAATCCAGCGTTGTGAAGGTCAGTTTATGGGCTTGACGAAGATGCGCACAGATCCTGATGCTGATTAGATTCTGGTGGCGTTCCAGATTTAGATTTGGATATAGAGCCAACCAAGAGCTCCAACAATAAGCCGTCAAAATAACAACAAAGCCCAGACGTTTCGGGGAGTTAAGGCTTTTACGGATACAGTATAGCCAAACACTATGGTCAGGGATAGACCAATACGCCGATCAACTGAGAACGGAATAACAGCCCATTCATCAGTTCTGCCAAATCTCCTAACCCCCCGCTTTCTCCTTTTCACTCAACCCCGGGGACTTGATTGTATTTCTCTCTAAATCCCCGCCATTACCACTCTTCGTTTTATCGTACGACGATCTAGATCCAGGCCAAAAGGCTTTCGATGGAGCACAGTCCCCCCGGGCCATCAAACGCGATAACTCGGAAGCGGAAGCGCATCCCGATCGCTTGTAGTTCATGTCGTGTTCGGAAGTCAAGGGTGAGTACCAGGCTGCAGGATCCCTGCTTGTTCTCTCCGAGTCAGCCAGCTTGCCGTATCTGGGTGATATCGGGAGGCTGATTCGACTGGCATGGAAACAGTGTGATGGTGCCCGGCCACAATGCTCCACTTGTGTCGAACAAGGGTTAGATTGCGTCTACGCGGCCAACTCGGGCGCAAGTAACGCGCTGGTCCCGAAACAGTATGTTGTATGTATTGTAATCGACTTGGTGCGTGTCTGACTAGGTGGTTAGATATCTCGAGCAAGTTGAACACCGTCTGGCAGATGTTGAAGAGGAAATAAGTCGACTAAAACGGCTCATCCCAAACTCACTTTCCGACGAAAAGCAACATGCCACCCTGTCACACAGAAACTCGTGCCGCGCCGATGACTATTCAGAAAGCGTCCAGGGGGGGGAGTCTTTGAACGCCGAAAATGGAAGCATCACTGGCATAACTCCTGACGCAACTGACGGTGTTGGCACAATCGAGTTCACCACTGATGAGAGCTGGGCATATTTTGGTATGGCCGCAATACACTCTCGGTTTCCGGGTTTCAGCTGCCAGGTCCTTCCACAAGTACTGACTGGTTGATGTTTCTAGGACCCTCTTCCAATATTGCCTTTACGAGGATCATCCGCCGCACACTGGACCACTTGCTCCGCCAGACACAACCAGCACAAGAAGGAGTGACTTCCTCTACACCATTGCAAAATGCCAAACAGCATATACTCGCTGTGTCAAGGTCGCAGTCGCCGATTGACGATTCGTTCGATCCGAGAAAACTGGAAAGACCTTCAGAAGCCTCTCGCCTGCCACCCGAAGATGAGGTTATCCGTCTTGTCCGCCAATACTTTGGCGATACAGGAATTCTCTTTCCCTACATCCATGAAGAGAGTTTCTGGAAGGCATTCGCGCACTGTCGATCTATCGGGATGCGCAATGCAAGGCACTCATGGCTTGCTTTGTTGAACATGATTATTGCCCTGGCCAACAGCACTACGAGCTCGGCCAATCTTGGGTTGGGAGATAGACAAGCTATCTCAGAGGTCCACTACCGGAGGGCCAAGTCTCTTTCTATGACTGAAATGATGACGGGATCTAATCTTGAGTCAGGTATTATTTCATTACGTATCTCCCTGTGCTTTTGAGAAGAAATGATAATGGTTTTGCATCATGCATACGGTGCAGGGCAGACATTGAAAACAAGCCATGGTCTAATACTTTCACAGTACAGACTATGCTCCTGATGTCAAAATACCTACAAGGCAGCCAGAGATCTGTTCAGACATGGGCTATTCATGGGCTTGCCGTTAAAGCTGCGATGGAGTTGGGATTCCATTCAGAACTAGCCCTCCAAAGATTTGAGCCGCTCGAACGAGAGACGAGAATACGAACGTGGTATGGATGTATCCTACTAGACAGGTTTGTTGACTTGAATTATCTATTCTTGCACACCTCTCTTCTCTGACACGATCGCAGAACACTTAGCATGACGTTCGGCCGCCCCCCCATCATCCCGCAGCATGTCATCCGTATTCCTCTACCAAAGCATTTTATCTCGTATCCTCAAGTACCTGGCATCTCTAAATGGTCCCGCGAAGAAGATAGCACGCTGTTTTGGAACGCCTCCATGTCCGTCATTAGTCCAGCCATCTTTTCTCATACCCATGCTAATGGATAATTCGTCAGTACTCTTTATGGGGTTACCGCTGCCGTTATTGACGACCTTTACGAGAGCAACGTTGGATCGACTTCAGCAGTTTCCGTAACCCGTACTGTATCTTCTGTAATTCATATCGGACAGAAGCTGGGCGATTGGCAAGCTTCCCTGCCTTTGTCAATGCAAATGGTAGAGCCGAGGGAGGTGGCCAACCCTGGTGCAAAACCGATGCTACTGAAGCTTCGAGTCATATTGACACTGAGGCATCACAACCTTCAGATCCTGTTACATCGGCCTATCCTGGACCGCTGTTTACAGGCATTGGATGGAGGTACCAAGTCCCCACAGAAAGCAGCAACCCTAGAGCAAGCCTGGCATCTAAGCAAAACTGTGTGCCTTCGATCTGCAGAAGCAACTATCCGTTTGGTGGAGGCGTGTAAGTTGGCAAACGATGCACAGCCGACTTTTTCTTTCCTTGGAGCTTGGTGGTTTACCTTATATTTTAGTAAGTCTGACCCAACTTTCAGCATGATTGTAACTAACTGGTTTGGTAGCCTTCAATGCCTCCCTGACGATTGTTGCACTGAAGCTCATAGAAGATAGCTATGCTTCCACTCCTTATAACCACGCCTATGCGGGAACATTAGCAAGGCTGGAAGAAACCCTGAAGAGCGCTGTCAGTTGTATCGCGCGCATAGACACCAAGAACCCAATGGTCGAAAAGTGCGCGAAGTTTACCGCGACCCTGATATTCACGGTACAAAGCCTGCACATGGGTAGGTCTAGTCACAGTTGACCAAACATTAGTATACACTGATGGATAATCAAAATGTCCAGGCCGTGATGACGCCAACTTAGTGTCATCAAGTTCAACAATCATCACTGACGAGAATGGGGTAAATCAAAACACGCAGATACCGAACAATGGCGGGTTGGACGAAGCATTTTCCGACTTGATCAACTACCTTCCGCAAAATTTGAACGACTTATCCACCGCCAGCGCGCCGTTTGCTATGTCAGAGTTGATGAATGATTCTCCCACTGGCGATCTGTTTTGGTAGGCTTCGAACGATTTGGTGTACATGCAATGCACAGCTACTAGATGGCTTGCAAAGCGTTCTACTTGATGCGGGTACATGCGAAAGGAACCGGGTCGTAAATTATCTCGGATGGCATCGATTTCAACTGAGGAGAGTTTTATTCCGAAACTATTCATCCATGTTCCACTTGCCACTATATTGCATGGGCTGTTGGTTGGGGGGGGGGGGGCATTGTTTGATTGCCCGGCTTTTTCTTGAAGTCGTCCAGTAGCGTTCTAGAGCACTTACACTCGGAGTACGCAACGCTCTATGTCATGTGTTGAAGTGCGTATAATACAAGGTAGAGGACGGTGGTCCAGACCAGGTGCACGGCACTTAGACGCGGCATTGATACGCCGGACACATTTCGTCCCATAATTCTGCTGATTAATATTGCTCAGCTTGCTACATTTCATTCTGATACCAGGTCGTTCAATGGGCCCTAGCAGTTGTAGCCGGGATCCGTTCTCTCCTCTTAATAGTTCTCTCCAAGGTAATCTTCAACATATGCACCCTGTCGTTGGGTTTACCTTGTTCTGATTCGTGACATTGGCTACCGCCCGCCTGCAACGACTTTTGGCGTCTGCTTCATGGCCATCGGCCCTGGTTTTCTGTAAAGTCCACTGATCAATACCTGCAGCCCACAATGGCTTAGTTAATAGGAGATTATCTGCGGTCTCGGCGCGGGATGTGCAACTCAAGCACCCCAAATCGTAGCGCAGATGGGTTTACAAAAACACACGTTCTAGTAGGCATCTCTCTGATACATTTCTGCACATCCATGACAAGTCCCGTGTTTCCCTTCGTTGCTTAGGACACCGTCAATAATCATATCTTAGGCCGTCTATCATCCCTTCTTGTAGACAACATCGTTATGCCACTGACCCGTCTTCCTGACTTCATCAAATGAACCGTCTTTCTCACCCAGCCTGCGACCAGGAGCAAACGACTCTTGCGTTTTGCTACCAGCAACAGTTTTCGAAATGTGTACGCACTTGCTTCACCAAGGTGTTATAAAACACGATACATGCTAAAGCATGCTGCTACAGGCGAGTGAGATAGTACGAACCCGACATTCTACCCACGACGTGTAAACAATGTACTTGACAGAAATCACAATATGCACATGCCATTTCCTGTGCGTTGCAACCATGAGCACAGTTCAGTAGGCGACAGGTTATACCGTGATGTTAAAACGCAGTCACAGCTGGCACACGGGTCAGGTGCCGGAAGGGGGGCAACGGGGGCACGTCAGCGGGACGGTTTTCGCAAGCAAATTATGGAACGAGGGAGGGTAGATTGGAACAATCGTTACAATTGACCCCTTACTACGCTTCTGTTGACACCTTTACTCCGTAAGACCCCAGCCTCTGACCACACGCCACGCGAAATACGTATCATGTATGGCCCTACCCGGCATGGTATGGGAACACCGGCTGCCCTATGCGAAAATCATATTAAACTTTGCTCCGTAGGAGATTTCCTCGTATGGAACCAAGCCAAATCATGCGACCCTCCATTCAATCAGTTCGCCAGTTTCAGACAAATATAGCATCCTGCTATGTCGATGCTCAAGGTCTCGGGCATGCACATCTCCACATTTGAGATGGCACCCCAATATATGCGAGGTTAAAAACTGGATATAAGCTAAATAATACGTGACATAATTATCAGACGTTTTGCGTCAAACAAAGCCGGTGTTCTCTACCTTTGGCGACGATACTTGTACAATATCATGAGTGATTTCGATAGAGTCCTTCAGCTGGACGCCCTGGGGGACCCTTAGCTTTGCTTCGATGTGCGTCTGTACCGCCGCGCCATCGCCGGACATGTATCCGCCACCCCTAACGGACTCCTGCCGCGAAATTGGCGGTGACTTCTTTTCTGCCCTGTTCCTTGACCTGTCGAGAGGCGAGGGGACTTGGATAGGAAGCGCCTCTTTTCTGTTCCAGTCCTCTTGGCTTTTGCTGGAACCTCCTAGGCCGTATAGTTCGGTCTTGCTATCCGAGGATTGTGTGCGGCGGCTGACACTGAAGTTGACCTGACGGTTTCGGCTTACTGATGTGCCCATCTCCACGTCGCGCTGCTGCTGTGCGCGTCCTCCTTTCCTGGAACTAATCCCGTACGAAAGATAACCTGAGGACTTGGTCGCGCGGGAGGCCAGGGCAGGGACCAAGCGAGAGACAAGGGGGCGGCAGGCAGGGAGGCAGGCGCAGGTCAGGCCGCTGACGAGCTCGCTGATGGACCAGGCTGACGATTCGACGTTCTCCCATGTGGGGTCCTCCTCGATGCGAAGGAAACGAATGCGAATGACCGAGATGGCGCATGTGCTTTTGAAAACCGCGTTAGTGTATGTGGGGGTGAGGAATGGGGAGGTATTTTGTCGACGTACAAGAAACCAAGGCAGAAAATGCCGACAAGGACATACTTCTGTCCGGGGCGCAGCTTCAACTTGAAGAGGGCCGGCAGCGGCAGAATCAAAACCATAAGATCGGTAATGATGTTGCCACCCGCGTTGACGTACCAGAAAGGGTAGTTAGGAATACAGTACCCCGGGATGGACTGATCCCAGAATTTGGGAATAGGAGTGCAGGTGAAGATCGCGCAGAAAATCTGTGACACGGACCACATTCCGCTGATGATCATCGCGCCTATGAAGACCTTTTTCATCTTTTGCACGGCCAGCACGCGGTAGTATTGGAGAAGAAAGGTCATCTTGATGCCACCCAGAGCAGCGTTATAGAGGACTATCGATGTGTAGAAGGTCTGTAAGTCTGTAAGTGAGACGCTTCGTATGAATGGGTTCATTCGACATTGACTGACCTTCATGTACTCCATGAGCTCGTTGGTCGAAAGAAAGTAAATGTGGCGGCCGAGGCCATTTCTTACATCTTTGAGGATCAATGTCAGTTATCGGCGCATTAAGTTGAGGGACGAAGGGAGGTTTGACTCACTCCACACGGCGGCGAAACTAGAACCGAATACCAAGAACTAGAAGACAAAGTCACATAAGCTTGGTGGCCTTTGGTTAATGGACGACCGACTGGTGCAAACTCACAAAGGTAACGATGGCAGCCAAGTCGTCGTTTCCGACTTGTTTCAATATGCAGAACCTGGTGTACGTCCGCAGCCCAACGGCGAGAAAGAGGATCGACAGGAGGACGCTGTTGACGGCGATGGCGACCGATGCTCGTGAGTCGCTTTCGTGGACTCCGGGGGGCGCTTCCATTGTTGCGAGGAGGGCGTTCGACGGTCGCCGGGCAAAGCTGCCGGGCTCAAAGAGAATTATACGGGCAAACTCTGTTCGCGACGGCTTGCGTGCAGCGATGCAGTTTTGCCCTTCGGTGGACTGGGTTCAAGTCGTTGCTCGTATATTGGTGCCAGACAACGATCAAAATCCCCCACATGTTCCAATCTTCGAGGGCCCCCCTCTTCTATCTATAACGAACAAAAAGGCTCATGTAAGGTAGAGTTCTGGATTCAAGCCCAAAATGGTCCGAGAAAAAGCCCGGCATCAGGGATCCTGTGAGACGGTTACATAGTAGGCTGATGAAGATGGGCGGCCCCACGCTGGACACTACATGACAGACCAGCAGTTCTTACGACCTTCGATCTCGGATTGTTCGTGTCTCACAAGAATACTATGTACACGTGGAGACTCCAAGTGGATATTGATGCCTCTGTATCCGTAGTCAGGGATATATGGAGTACAGCATACCGTAGTTGGTTCCCTCTAGGTAGGCAAACATAGTAGTTTGCGGGTATTGTGCATGCATGAATGGCATTGCGCACTCGGGGTACGATTCATTACCAGCATATGCACCTCGGCAGCTCGGCAACCCATGGGCTGACTAGTGACAGGAGGATGTGCATGTAGGATGCCCCTTCACCAATCTTCAAACAGGAGAGGTATTGACGACCCGCCTAATTGCAAGTCTCCAAAAGCAAGCTAGTGGAATCTAATCATACTTTGTGTCGTGAGCGTTCAGCTACGACGTAGATAGCGTTTTGTGTGTGTGTTGGGGGGGGGGGGGGGGGTGTTAGTAGGCCAGTTGACATACTCTGGGCCAAAGAATCGAATTCGGTAATAGCATCCGCAAGGAGGGGGCGGGAACGGAAACACACTAGCAATCCTCCAGGTTCGTATTGCCACGTTATAAGGCTCAGGACAACCGGGCTAGTGGAATCGCAGTCCATGAATCCATGTTCAGCCGTCAGGGGAACGAACTGATCCGGCACTGCATGCTGGAAGCGTCGGCAAGACCCAGATCTGGCAGAGTCAGTGGCTGTGTACCCCTGGCGATTGGTGATTGGCAACGAGAAGATCTGGGCCTAAGGGTGCCACTCGGTCAAGAGATGGTCACAGTTTTTGCCTACCTAACCATCCTGACTCCTTTGGGTTGAGGAGTGGCTCGCACACTAGCAATTGAGCGACAGAGCTTGACAGAGTAAGTGACAGTCTACAGACCGCATTGATCCCTAATGGTTCAGAGCAAGATGCCGTTCCTGAGAGTCGGTGGCCATGGCAGGAGTTCATGGGAATTTAAGCCTTGAGCGGTAAAGAAGGGGGAAAGAGTAAACTGCTGTGGGGGACCCCAGGTTCACAGTGCGATGGCTTCAATGTCGCGCATGTCTTCCGAGATTCATCCGATCGTGTTCGCGGTTCCCAGTCATCATGCTTGTCAGGCTCGCAAGAATCAAGACGAGCGAATGAGTCGAGAGCCAAGTGGTGTAGCTTGAGGGTGAGAAGCGCCTTCAAGGTAGGTGTGGGAAGAAGGGTGGAGATGACAGGGAAGAAGGTTCGTCGCTCATCTGGTCCAGCACCAGTTGCCGTGATTGTATGAAACCGAGACATTTAACGGCTGGCTTCGCTGAAGAAATGGACCGATTACCGCGGGGAGGGTCACAGCGCTTGCGAACCATGGTTCAACATAGTAATGTTGCGGGCCTTGCGGCAGTCTCTCCCATCCAACTGGCCCGCTGACGCGACACACTGCCATCAACGGGTACCATAAGCAGAGCACTGACAGGGGGCAAAGTGCTTCTGGAGCTTGCCGTGCGGTATGGATAAGGACCAAGACGTTGCAAGCTATGCTAGTCATACGTACAGCAGTAGTACGCGGTACGAGCATGTCCAACAAGAGGGACGGAGTTCGGATGGTCTAATATGCGAAAGTGTGCGTGCCATTCGCCGTCCCAAGGAGTTGGAAATAGAACACACCAAGAGGGGGCGGGGTTTCCCGGCCGAAGCAAGCAAGCAAATCAATCAACGGCGGAGTCAATGGGCGAATGGACAACTGAGCGGCTGATGATGGTAAGTCAGAGATAATAAGTTGGAAATATTATATCAGAGGTGACATGTCAGAAGCTCCTCGAGCGTGTGAGGATATCATTGATGGTTGAGCGGACGGACGCACTGCAATTGGAACATACATAGCAAGCAGCACTGCTAGGTAGTGATGAGGAACTGGCGGGTCAACAGCGTCAAGCCTGTCATCCTATGGAACATGGTGAATGCATGTAGAGCAGCCTTGTTGACAACCCCGGGTGCCTTTTGGCAATCTAGCTTGATCCCGATCCGTATACTCCGTAGATAACAAGAAGGGCGTTGCCCCGCCCTCTCGCATGAACCACTATCCGTACCGTATCCGTACAGTATATGGTCCATCCAATGGAGAGCGCATATTGTCCATCGCACGAACAGCCCAAAACCCCCCTGCCCTGGCATCACGTCTTGCCCTACCAGACTTCACTACACTCTGAGCATGTCCAAACCCGTCAAGGGCAGTAACAAAACACTGAATTGGCCAGGCTCGAGCGACAAGCATCATTCCCGTTGTGGGCTTGGTGAGAGCACGGTGCCAGGGATCGGCATTACGTTCGCCAAAGGTAGACACTGTTAGCACACAGACACATACAGGTACACCGGGAACAGATTCTTCGCGTGTAATCCAGCTGGGAGACACCAGACCGACAAATTTGTGCCGGATACATGCTTATCCGGGCTCTCCGGAGCGCAGGACGCGGAGACGATGGTCCGAATGTGGCCCTGCTGGGGGCTCGCGGGACAGGTAAAGGGCAACCATTAATCATGACAGTCATGAAGCGTGGAAAAAGATGGATTTCATGGCGCTGGGCCTGTCAACTCTGATATCACCTCCATCGGAACCATGGCAATTGCGTGCGATTCAGGGATTGTATCTCGCGCGACGGGTTCCCTGAGCAGCCCGAACAGGTCATATGAGCATTGCGAACTGTGGGAGTCTGTGAGCGGCAATCCTTGCAGCGTTGCTGAACGTGCAGCCGGTCAATGTGGGACGCCTCATCAGCTGTTGATCCGACTGGGCAGCCCTGCAGAAGAGCGGCATGAATCGATCGACTGAGTCAGCTTAGAAACTCCAGGCAGCTTTCCAGTTTCGGTATTTCCGTCCCTACCGTACTTTTTGGCAACCTAATATGTACGCCGTTTCACTTGATTCTTTGTTGCCTTTACGTTGTAGCGATCTCATGCTAGCAGACCGACCCGGTGACCCTTTGTAGCAGAATGCATGAATGAATCAACTCCACATAGAATGGGCGGCTCATGCTCTCAGCCCCAGCCCACTCGCTCAGTTCGATTCGCAAGAGCCCTGCAATGGGCGAGCAGTTGAAAAGTTCTAGAGCCTGAAGAGAGTTTGGCGACTGCCCAAACTACCTCTCGGGAGAGCAGTTCTCTTGACTCATGTCGCATACATTGTTGTACCCGACCTGCTTAGCGGCTCTCGCCACGCAGACTATTCGGCCGAATGCCAGGGACTTTGAACGGTCAAGTAGCTGCACTGTGCGTTCTTGTGCTGGCAATAGAAGTGCGAGGTAGCTCACTGTTTCTGTGGCCACTACCAGACTCATCGTCCTGGACACTTTTGCAGTAGAAAGGTAATTTTTTTTTGCCGTTCTCCAACTCCCGGTCGTGCCCAAAACCGGATGTAAAGGATTGGGAGAGGGGGGCAGTACACCGCCAAACATTTTAAAACTTAGAGAGTAGCAGTATAGGCGGTGCACCCTAGATGCAAGGTTTCCAGCCTTTCTCCTAGTACTTGTGACTGTAAGAGATCAGATGTGCCTATTCACTCTTTTAGGCAGCCAATTGCACAAAAAAAAAAAAAACCTAAAGCATCTGCAACAAGAACACCAACAACAGGCACTGCAACGTCGTTCTGCTCAATGTAGGTGTAGTAGATTAACAGGATTCCATGAGCGATGGGACCAAGGCATTGGCCTTATACAGCTTATCCCTTGGAGTGCGTGTAAATCCACACTCCATACTAGTATGCTCAATGCATATAGGTAATAGATGTATATAGCAACTGTTAGTAGATCAGACAGAGCACCAGCTTCTAATTAGCTTTACCCCTCATTCTAATGTTTGAAGCACATGTACCAGACCCACTCAAAGGAGATAAGGCAACTTTAAGTTGTGTCAGTCCCTAGTTTGATATTGTGAACCCGATAGTCGCACGGGACATGTTCCAACATCGCGCCATACCAAGACAAGTTAGACACCCTATCGTTTTAGGTCTTCAGCGTAGCTGCTCTACACAATAAGGCCAACTCCAGGTACAGATAGGTCGGTTTACAGAATAGGTACGTCGTGTGTGTGCACCTGTACCTGATGAGAAGATAGCAAGTATCACCGCCCCAGGGTCACTTACTTTAACTGAATGATCACACAATACAGCTGATCGGGAGAGGAATCCGACAAGACGATCCTCAATGTCTTGAGTCTGGCGGTGATTCCCTCTACACCCGGTTTGCTCGGCGTTGCTTGTCCTAAATGAACAAGATCCACACTAGCAAGACGTGCCTAACTTCTATACTAAATACTGCCAGCTCCCCCAATTATACGCTATTTCCCTCAGATAGCAAGAAATAACATTAGTTATGTTTTTAAAAAGAGAATATCCCTATTAAATATAGTAAATTATTATAAGGAGTATAGTATTTAGACTTAGGAAAATCAACTACTTCTCTTTATAAATGAAAAGACGATGCGGTTCATTACACTCTGATTTGAGGTGAAAATAATCAATATAACTCAACTACCCTACTTCCAGCTACCCCCCACATCCGGCCCATCATCACCACCACCATCACCACCACTATCACCACTTATTTCACCACCTCTGCCGCCCACCTATATGCAACTTCTGGCCTCACTGGGTAATTCAGATGCGCTAGATTCATCCAGACTATCTATATCGCTAATATCTAGGGTTTACGCCCACTAGATATTATATATAGTAGTAAAGGTACTATTAGGTAATAGGGGGACCTTTTTTCTTTTATATTACTATAGATTATTTAATTTACCTTTTAGTTAATAGACCTTTTACTCTAGAAATATATTTCTAAATACTTACTTATTATACCTCTTTTATATTTTTCTAGATAAATAATAAATAGTATAAGTATTTAACTTATCTTTTATTAACTAGTTTAACTAGTATAGTTAATACTATAATTTAGTAAACTAATAAAGGGTTAACTATAAGATAATAAATATAGCTTTATTTTACTATTAGCTACTAGGCTAACTAGTCTAGCTAGTTTATTAGTCCTTAATAACTATAAGGTTAAATAAAGGCTACTATATATATATTAGCTATAGTCTAGTTAACCTTTAGTTACTTTTAATATTTTAGACTATTATAACTATATCTTTAGCCTTTATATAATAAGCTAAAAATACTTTTTTATTAGTAATAATTAAATTATTAACTTAGTTATTTAAATATTTAACCTTCTTTTAATAAGTATACTTTAATATACTAAAGACTAATATATCTAGTAGCTAAAGAATAATAAAAGAGTATAGTAGTAAATATAGTAGATATATATTATTCTAGAAGTATTCTTATATAAAGTTTATTAATATATAGCTATAATATTTATCTAGAACTAGTAGTCTAGCTACCTTTAGCTTACTAAGTATAGTACCTAAGATAAAGACCTTCTTTAGCTACTTAAGGGTAGTTTTCTTAGTTATTTAGCTATTATCTATATATATAAAGTACTATCCTTTATATTTAGATAAGTTAAATAAGAACTACTAGGCCTAGACTAATTTACCTTTATATATAACTAGTAGGTATAAGGACTTTTTATTAATAGCTATATACTTAATAATAAAGATCTATACCTAGGATCCTAGCTACTTTTTTTAGATATACTATAATACTATAAAGCCTAGCACTAGCCTATTAGATTCTTTGCCTTTTATAATACTAGTCTTATCTATATTCTATTAGTTAAATAAATAAATTCCTTAGATAATAAAGATATTAGTTAAAAGCTAAAAAAACCTTTAGATAACTTTAAAAGAATAAGCCTTTTATTACTAGGTATTAATTACTTTAGATTAATAAGTCTTAATTAATAGGTTTTACTATAAGAATTACTATATTTATTTTTTACTTAAAGGTTAATAAGTATTATAAGTATTACCTAGTATATACTTTACTAGGCCCTTTAGTTATTAATAAGTAGGTCTATTACCTAGAGTATACTAGGTTTATATTTATCTAGCTAAATAATCCTCTTAGGCTTAAGATAATTACTATATATAGTTATAAGTAGTATTTTTATTTTATTACCTATAGAATTAGTATTAAAGTGTTTAGTATAGTATAGCCTATTTCTAAGTAGTATAGTAAATAAAGTAACTATCTATTATATTATTAAAGGCTTATTAAAGCTTATCTTTAGTATATTACTTTATTATAGGTTAAAGAAGGTATCCTAAAAAAATTATATTATTTAGATATAAATAGATAATGTTATAATAGTTTAAAAAAGGTAGTGGTGTTAATAAAGGAGGGGATTTTTAGATGTCTAAAGGTGGGGGATGTCTGGTTGCAGGGTAGTTGAGTTATTCCTTTGAGTGAATTAACAGCAAGCAACGCCATTCCTATGCTCAACGCCAACGGCTTTTGGTGCCTTTGGGCATTTCAACGTTATGCCTATCCAGTATCAAGGTTGGTTTGTTGAATTAATCTCATCAAATCTGGAACAAAAATGGAGTAGAGAGTTGCATATCTCATTTTGGTTCTGTTTTATCTACGACATGAGCTCATTATGCCAGTTTGGGTCTGGTCGGACTCCGCCGACCGCGTCAGTCTCACGCTCCCATTGTTCCAATATTGTTTCCTCTGCGTCATAAGCATAAGCCCATGCTTGTGTCAGTGGGTCGGACCACTGGTTCGGGCTGGAAGCGAACTTGCGACCTTGTACTTCGGGTTCCATCGCGGCATCTCTGGCTCGCTGCTCAGGTCCATCCTTGAAGTGCAACAGCAAAGCGTTGACCATGCTTGCCTCTTGCATCATGGAGGTCCTGGTCTTGCGTTCCTTTTGGAAAATTTCAAGTGCAAGCCGCAGCTGCTCACGGCTTGAGACATTGTGAAGAGCCACTGCCAGAGCAGCGCCATCCTCGACTGCCATGGCTGCACCCTGTGACATGTAAGGTAACATGGCATGAGCTGCATCACCGAGAATCACTAAACGGCCAGAGTCTGCCACCCAGTTCTCTAGAAAAGCTCCCGCAACCAAGGGCCACTTGACTGTGGTGTCGATCAAGTCGATGATTTTAGTAAGTCTGTTACAAGCTACTCAGTATAGCGATGGTCAAAGAGAAAAATATGGGGAGCGCTCACTGTGAATCCCATCCCTGGAACTCAGCTCTCATCTCCCTAAGTATCTCTGCTTGGGTCTTTTCCTGCCAAGTTGAAGGATCTCTGTGGTCTCTATGTGAAAGCACCATGTTGAAAGATTGGCCAGCGGCAATGGTGTAAGTCATTACATGGCGATCTTCACCAACCCTACATTGAATGTCAGATGACCATGCAAACCTGGGCAACTGTATGAGGATATATTTACCACATATGGACACCCGGCTTAGCAATAATCCAGTTGATCTCGGGTATCTTTCTTATCTTGCCAACGTCTAAAGTTGCCCGATAAACGGCAAATCCTGTGTAGGTCGGGCTAGCTACCATATTGGAAGGGAGCAGGCTCCTCGCTGAAGATTTAAGCCCTGTTTTTGAGCTATTGAATATTGTTAACAAATAGATTACAGGGACAGTTTTACTTACCATCAGCAGCGACAATTAAGTCTGCGGTGAACTTTTGGCCGTTGGTCAGGGTAGCGCAAGGTATCTCTGGGTCATATTTGGAAACCTTACTGTTGAGATGGATGGTAACTCCCAAATCCACTGCACGCTGGTAGAGAGCCGAGTGAAGGTGAGCACGGTGGGCGACATAATAGGGCGCACCGCAAAGCTCGACAAACGACTCCGAGAGGTCAGTAAAGCCGATTTTCTTGCCATTTTCCCAGCGATGGAGGGAGATACCATCCGGCCGAACAGCCTGTTCCGACATGATGTCCATGACACCCCATCTTTGAAGCAGTTTGCTCGAGTTGGGAGGAATCTGGATACCAGCTCCAACCTAATAGTGTTTGTTAGTTGTCTCGAAAATAGAACAGGCATGGATATATCGCTCAATGTAAGGAACATCTACCTCGGTCAACTGGGGAGCCTGTTCCAGCACTGTTACCTTGTGGCCATTTCTCGCCAGCGCAACGGCTGTCGAGAGGCCGCCAAGGCCAGCTCCAACGATCAATATGTTAGGGATAATCTTCGCTCCCCAAGGCACTCTCGATGTTTCGTTTTTGTGTGCATTTAAAATCTGAAGAAACTTGAGACTATTGGAAGGATAGGATGTCGTTAAAAGCCGTTGGTGGTTGGAGAGTCCGTTCTGCTTCACATTCTGCTGCACACTGGCCTCTACCACTGATTCAGCGGCACTTTCATCGGACCTGTGAGGCTTGAGCATCGGGCCCTGCAATGCAGGCTCGCATGCCTGCGGGACAACCTGCATATCGCAATCGAATGTTTGATCTGGAGAGAAAGTGAAGTCCGTGATGAATATCCAGTAGGGTAACCTACCAACCTTGTTACATTAATCGAGCCTATTCCAATACGGAATCAGGCTGAATCCGAACGCTGCATTCCGTGTGTATCTTGTCTTAATAAGTGTCGTTCGTTGGTCCAGGCTGTTACGAAGTTTCCTTTTCTCCCCGGTCCCCTATGTCCGTCGCTCTTCCCCGCATTATCACCCCGTGCCATATAAGTTTAACAACTCGGAAAACGTCGAGGATGATCCGTGCTGACCAATCTGCTGGTTTGATTCTTTGTGCGGTCTTTATATGATGCATTCGAGAACCCGGGGAGTTGCGCTTATCTCCGTGGCTTTACCAACATAAGTGGCTATCATCACGGCAAGTAGCTGCTGAAGCCATGTCAGGTACCATAAGCCCAGAGACATTATTTTTAAGGAAGCCCAGAGAACTAGCTACTTACGCTTCTTAAGCTACTCGAAAAAAAATCATAATCTCGAATCTATTACTTCATATCAATGGCTGTAGCCTGGACGAGACTCATACGGTTTGTTGCAAAAGACGGAAGGGTGCTTAGGGGAGAGCCCATCCTCCCAAATGATGAATTTGACTTGGGAGATACAACAGAAGAAACAAGCCTGAGGGCAAAGGTTATTTCTGGATCTGACATTTACGACACGTCCGGGGAAACTAAAGTCACCGACGAGGTTGTGGTGGTGAAGAGGCTGCTAGGCCCCTTGACACCAGAAGACGTGCCAATATTACGATGTATTGGATTGAACTATGCTACCCATAGTAGGTTGCAACTACCGTCTTCCTGATGCATGGCTAATGCTGTAACAGTCAAAGAGGCCGGTCGGAAGCCGCCGCCCTTTCCGTCTTTGTTTTACAAACCAAACACGACCGTCCTCGACCACGGCGCTGATGTGGTCATTCCCAAGATGTGCCAGGATGACCAGGCCGATTACGAGGGTGAGCTATGCATTGTTATCGGAAAAGACGCCAAAAACGTACCTTTGGCAGAAGCACTGGACTATGTCGCTGGCTATACTTGCGGCAACGATATCTCATCAAGAAAGCTGCAACGCGATCCTGCATTAGCGCGCAACGTACCCCAGTGGGGATTTTCGAAAGGATTCGACACTTATGCGCCGTTGGGGCCTTGTTTGGTGGGGTCTGATATTATTGGAGATCCCAAGACGCTTCTGCTACGGACAAAAATCAACGGCGAAGTGAGACAGAAAGAGGGGATAAGCGATCTAGTCTTTGATTGTGCTTATATCATCTCGTATCTCTCCTCGGGAACGACACTACAAAAGGGGTCAGTCATTATGACGGGAACTCCAGGTGGTAAGATTTGAAAATGAGTGCGTTTAGTACAGATACTGCAGCTAATAATACAATATCTCTTGTAGGAGTTGGTGCTGGTTTTGACCCACCACGTTGGCTTACACCTGGGACGCAGATGGAAGTTAGCATCACCAAAATCAGTACTTTGAAAAACGGCGTTAAGTTTGCATAGGATCTAAGCTAGGACAAAGGTAAACTTGACTGACAGGTAAACGCTTGCCTACAATATGTCTGGCGGAGTATTTGATTGGTTCTCACTCATATGACACGCAAGATGAAGTGAGAGAGGTCTGAGGACTTCTCAACAGCGTCGTGTTTGCACTTGACACATGGAAATAATGAGTTCTTTGCACTTCATTACCAATTTGAACGCCAATGTTTATTGCAATGGATAGCAAACTTAAAAGATCGAGAGTTCATCATTGCTTCCCTTATGTACTACACAACCCCGTCTACCAAACCTCCCACTTTGTGTGTTTGCCAATGGCACATAGTCGGTTGAACAGTGCATCCCTGTAAGGAAGAGCAGTCACAACAAAATGGTTTCCCTCCTGATCAACAATCCTCAACCCGTCGTAGATCGGTCCATCCACCGCCCAACCTGCAGCGAGTTTAGCCTTCATGCCATAACCGGAGTGCTTCCTGAGTTGGGTAATGCTGTCGATATTGAGAGTCCAAACTGTGTTGGGATTCTCTTCGGTGATGGAATTCTTATTGAACACCACAAATCCGGCAGCCGCGTTGACATAGACAAACCCCTTTTTCCCTTCATAGCGGGCGCTGAATTCCACAGGTCCGATAGTTTGCTCCTCATCTTTAGATGATGGCAAAGCTCCAACACGCGTCTTTGCATTCTCGGACCCGGCCTTAGCTCTTATTTTGTCAATAGTGCTGGTTGCTTTGGCCACCTCCTTGGCACCACCTTTCAAGAGGCCAAATATCTTTTCGCGTTTGCGTCCGTGTCCGACAGCTTGCTGTACTTCTGTATCTTCACCACCAGCATGATCTGCCATTTCCTTGTCCCGCTCAGCAACATTCTCGAGTTGGCTTTGTGATGCGCCCAAAGGCTTATCACCCATAGATGCAGATATGACATCATCATCATCAATGTTTATAGATTTGTTCGGAACGGTATGCCTCATATGTGCTGGTGGGGGAACGGGAGCTCTGTTTGCCTCACCAACCCGGAGAAGCGTTAGGGCAAGCTGATTGTTCGTCGGTACTCCTTTGAAGAGTGTGCTGTAGGCAGGTTAGTAACTTCCCACTGTAAGTTTATGAATGAATGTGAACTACTTGTTGAGATGGAAAGACTCGGTCCACCGTTGAGTGTTCGCGTAGTGGTAGCACCAGGTAAGTATAGGATCGCCAAATATTCCAACACCAAAAGCCAAAGTTGTGCCTCTGATGACTGTGTCCCGAGACAAAAAGATTGATGCAGCAGCTAAGGGTAGAATGTAAGCAGCTAATCGCTTTTTATGGTTTTGCTGGTCGAAAGGAGGTGTAGGAATCAGAATACTAAACATATTAGTACAAGTCAAATAAGTACGAATGATGAACCAACTTTGATAAACGCTCCCAGACATCAGAGATCAGTATAATCATATGCAGCAATGGAGTCATTTGCTCCCATATTTTCTCCTCCATCGGTGCCTTGGTTTTGTCTTGAGACGGTCTATCCATCCCCTCGGCTTTGTCCTTGACAACGGCCATGGTTGTTATGTCAAGCTGAGGTTTGAAACCTTGCTCGCTCGATCCATCAAATTCATTCGGGGCGCCATGCGGATCTTTGCCGGTCAGTAAGTTAGTGGCGATGGCTGAGACACTCGTGATGAAATTGCTGGCTTCGTTCTCAACAGACTCCCCCTTGAGGTTCTGGGGAGCACCAGTTGCAGCGTCCGTTGACCCGAGTATGCCGCCCATAGGCTTCGCAATACTACCGTCACGGATGTCGACCATGGCGAGTGGTGCGGGCGGAAAGAGGATCGTGCGAGTTCTGGGTGATAAAGTCAGGGCAATGACTACAACCGCGAAGAGCAAATTCAGGTAGTCCAGGAGCCATGCAATGAAATAAACCTAGCACCGTTAAAGTCATGTTACATCAGGAGAAGAGAAAGCATTTGATGGTGGGAAGGGCTCACTGTGCAGAATACACCTGTCCTTCGTGGTTCGCGCCATGAGCGAAGCCGTGCTGTAGTCTTTGCAAACGAGAAAAGCCCAAGAACCTAGAGGGTCAAGTCAGACCATATAACAACGTATACAGAGCTTGAATACCCACAAGTCCCATGTAGAGCCTTTCCATCTCGCTGCGAAGTTTGTTCGGAGAGTTCTCCGAACCCTCTGCAACAGTGAGATCCAGGCCGCCATAAGGGATTTCCCTTGCACTCTTGACTTCATACACTGACTAATGATGTTTAGACACAACGATCCATACAAGTAATTATAAATATACCGGTAATCACCTTGTTAAGCCGTCGCACAAGCACCCAAATGTCTTCATTATGTGTGCCATGGATCCAGGGTTTAGCGTCGTGGTCAAGTTTCTCGTTCCATCCTAGATCATGAACTGATCGGTCCTCACTGAGCTTTGCAGTGTTCGTATGGACAATATCGGACGATGCTAGCGTATGTGACCGCGTTTGAGATTGATCGCAGCTCATCTTGGCGGTCAGTAGGTCGCGTACTATGATCAATATTTCGATGAGAAACGATGATAAGGCTGGTTGTCGCAGTACGGGGCGCTGGCCATCTTATGCATCAGTTATCTTGATTTAGACGAGAAAACCCGTCATCAACCGGAGTGTGAGGCCAACGGGGTCTACAGGGATAAAGATGGCTGAAGATGACGACTCGGTCACGTCACGTAGAACAGCACATCCCCTCTCTAGCGAACGTTAAGCCGTCAGTCTACCAACGTGTCATTGACCCGTCACCAAAATGGCGTGCAGGCCAGTAGAAAGTAAATCGAGACACAATGTCACCGAATTGGATTTCTGCGCTTAGTCAGTGGGATATTCCCATCAAAGTAGCCTAGGACCTTAGCCTAAAGGATTCGATGGCTATTTCTTCATCTGACGCATAAGCTACTGCCTGTTCACACGGATATGCCATGCCCCTGAGTAGCCACAACTGTTTGGCCAACAGTATTGATATCCAGCGAATTTCCAGCCTCTTTCAGGGATTGCACAACTGCTTTACAGCCCCTCTCGACCACATCAAGTCCGTAAGCTGACACGATCTCCTCCCGGTTAATCGTGCTGTCGGTACCCCTTAATTGCGTGAGTCCGATGGTACTTCTGCACATCGATAATGGCATGTTGCAATCCTTGTCCCCGGACTGAATGTCACAGGAGCAAATGGCGATGTAGTGCAACGAGGGGCGGATGTTGAGTTTGTGATCAAGACCAGACTTGCATGGCAACATAGGATGAGCAGCATCTCTAGCAAGTGTAACTCTGCTATCGTGCGTTTCCGATGGGCTTGGTAGCCAGTATTTCATTTCATCGAGACAGCAGGCGCTATCTCCGGGCGTCCACTCCAAAGCTGATCTGAAAGGCTCGCGTATTCATGCCATGTCTTTGTCATTAGTATACTTGATGGCTTCCTAGTCTTGGAGGCTGAGAGAATGACCGCACCATACCTTCCCACAAAGTTTCCCAAGTGGAAACATCCTTGGGGTCATCCACTGCTGCGACTGTTATCAATCACTTTCGCGCGTTTTGAAAGTCGTTAATCATTCGAAAGCGCTATTCAACGACTACAGCAGGTAGTGCCATGAGCCCGTGACGATTTGGCTTTAGAAACTTGGTTCTCTGAGACCCGCCGAGACGGTCTCAAGCAACTGGACCATGATCTTGTTCGCTAATTGAATCCCCTCTGCGACGTCGAATCTTAGTTTGTGGCGTAAATGGTCTGGAAACGCTGCTGAGTAATTTAAATCACTCTACCGTACGGAGGTCACTAAAGGTTTATATCTCCTCCACAGTGCTGGGGTGATTGGTAAAACGCCTAGTCCATAAGAGAGTCTCTGCGTGAATGTCCAGAAACCGATGTAACTGAAATGATGAGCGCTGATATGGCCTAAAAGCACAACCTTCCTGACTACGGCTTGAAAAGACCTTTTCCTGCGCTCCTGCAAGCTTCTATCAACCATATCAGCCACATCTTACCCAGATTCAATCCAAGAGTAATTGCTGCGTAAGAATAATACAGTTTATCTAGAGTTCGGTTTTTGGTGAGATTTTGATAAGCTCAGCAAGACGTTGCTCTAGTCGAGTCTCTCTGAAACGTGTTTTCTCCCAAAATTTCACCACATAGAATATGACTTCGGTCAGACTGCCGTTCAGCAATTCGGCGAGGGCTGGGTATTTGTGCATCATCTGCACAAGAAGCCGAAGGGCCTCAAACAAGGAATCCTGCGCAGCCGCCAGTCTCCTTACCGGATTCATAGTCTCAGGTGGCCGCAGAGTTCTGATAAATGCTTAAGTGGTCATATGCCCTCCAAACAGGTTGACTGATTAACCAAGTCCTCGAATAGTCGACTGCCCGTCCTTGATGTTTGGAAACCACTTTGAGAAAATGCCATATTAAATGGAACCTCGCACAAAGGAATCGTGGAGATAGGAAGTGACAGCGGCTGGATGAGCGGCAATAGACCGGATATGTTTGAGGAACTTAGCCACTTCTTTTGGTGGCGTGACCGTCACAGAAGACGAGATGTTACACAGACACGGAGTCGCGGAGCTTGGCTCCGCGGCGGTTCGTTGCTTTCGGCCTTGGCATATTGCAGGCTGGTATGTGATTGATTGCTGGACGAAGGGGATTATTACTGGAATGAGAACACGGGCGCGTGATACTTAAGCGTTGAGCCAAGGATTCAGCTTCTTGATAGAGTACACAGCGAAGCCCTTGCTCACCCCCAAAATGATGCGGGTGTTATTACCCTTCTACAGAGGATGTCAATGTGTTCTAATGTTGGAGATGTCATAATTAGCCTGTACCCGTTGAGACACTGGTAATGATACTGCATGCGCCACTGGACGCTCATTGATCGATCATTTTGGGGGGCTTTGGTTTCGGGTCGTTCGAATCGATGCGAATCCGGCCAGAATGCTGTAGTCTAGTTTTCCAGGCCATTACATGCACTCTTTATCACACCGGCAAACAAAGCACTGGAAGAGGCTGCTGAGAACTATTCGACATGGTCTCCAAATATGCGTCAAGTGCAGCACCTCGACGGCGCATAGGGACAGCGAGGACGCCCAGCTTTAAAGACCTAAAGCTTTATGTAATGTCCAGCAACCGCCAAGAGAAAGCCTGAAATGACTAAACTCATTCTGTCGGTAGACGGGTCTTTAGGCGAGTGCTGATTCGTGCCCTCATTCGTTACCCCAAGGATTCCGGCTTCACGCGAGTCACAGAGCACGAGTCCTCCCCCTCTACCGCCAGGCCCCTTCAAGTAATTCGACATCTCGTCAACCGAAGGTCCCAATGTTTTAGCACTTCCATCTTCAGCAGAGCTGTCTGCTCTAGGGGTAGCTTGTCTGTATCGCCAACTGACCATATCTGATATTGGATCAAGTGCTCATCTCGGCATACCCAAGAGTCATTCACCATCTTTGAGAATAACAGAACGCGTGCTTTGAACATTCCGCTTGCCGCTTGCTTGGGCCCTTCACCGAGATCGCCATAGCGCACCTGGCTCCTCTGACCGTCCCCTCACCTGGATGGAGGATTCTCAATCACTACGTCCAAAGCAGGCCGCCTGTCTGGTCTGCCGCCGAAGTAAGATCAAGTGCGACTATTCTCCACATGAGAACAAATGCAAGAGGTGCATTCAGCTCGATTCTGAGTGCATTCGGCCTACATTCCATGCTGGAAGGCAGAAAGGCATCAAAAAGTACGGCGACCCAATCCACCGCCCCCCTCCCCCCATTTTCTAACCGGTCTGTTGGTGTTCACTGTTGGGCACCCTCGACCGTGTAGGCATCGAAGCACAACCCCCCCCAAACTGTAGAAAATCGTATTGATCATTGGTTACGCGCAATAGCAAGCGAAAGGGTCTAGACAAAGCTCTATATCAGATAGAGCAGGCCATCAAGAGAGCAAGAACCGGCGAGCAAAACTCTGAAGATGACAAGGCCATCGGCAATCTCCAGGCACTCCTGGAGGGCACTCGAGCTGCTCGGTCAACTACCGCCTCCACACACTTAAGGCGGGGTTCGTCGCATTTCGATAGCCCCGACCAACCCGACATCTCATCTGACGATGATGATGAATTGAACAACACCCCAGACAGCAACACCTACATGAGTCTGCATCATCACAATGAGGAGAGCTTGGCCATCGACGATGCCGAGAACCCGCTCCAGCTGCTGGCGCGCGCCTCAAACCTGCGGCTCTCGCCCAAGCCCATCAGCGGCCTCTCGCCGAAGCTGCCGGGTCCCGGCCCCGGCCGCAAGAACCAGCACGCCGAGCAGGTCGATGAGGACCCCGAGATGCAGTCCTTCTTCACCGCTGTTCGCCTCAACTTCGACGTTGGCGACGACATCGACCCCATCACCATGGGTCTCGTGACCGGAGAAGAAGCCGAATCTCTTTTCGCTTTGTAAGTGACACACCTACACCGCACGTGCGGCCAGGCATCAAACGAGCGTGTCGTTTAACTCACTTTGCAGCTTCCATGGCAATCTTGCTCACACCCGCTGGGGTCTAGACCCAAAGATTTATACCCCATCGTTCACCCGATCGCGATCTGCCTTCCTGTGCACCTCGATCATGGCCGCGTCAGCCCTCTTCATCCCGTCCGCCGACGCGTTGTCCAAGAGGTTGTCGAACCACTGCAAGACTCTTGCCCATAGGGTCATCGCCAAGCGGCACAAGTCCGTCGAGATTGTTCTCGCGTTCATGGTTAACGTCCCGTGGATGTTCCCTGGTCAGCATAGCACCGACGATGAGACGTGCTGGTACGTGAACATGGCTGCCACAATCGCCATTGACCTGTCTTTGCACAAGCTCCTGATTCCCATGGATTTCCTCGGTTCCGGCTCTCAGGCTGCCCTGGCGCGCGGAGACTGTCTTGACCCTCGCACCGCGCTCGCAATGGACGGCTTCGGCCAGATCGAGCCGACCTCTTATCTAGGCCAGCGTCTCCTCCGACGCCGTGAGCGCTGCTGGATTGCCCTCTTCGTTCTCGAGCGAGGCATGTCACTGGCCCGTGGCCGGCCCTACACTGTTCCAGTCACTCGGATCATCAAAGACTGCGACCGGTGGCATAGGTCCAGCATTGCAGACCCCATGGACGGTCACCTCATCTCGATGGCCGTCCTTCGCCGGGACTTGGACGGCCTCCTCAACACGGTTCGTGCGCTCTGCGACGGGTCGCAAGGAGTATCTACAGATGGAGGACTCATTGCCCAGTCCATAGAGAGTGCAATCACTAGGTTCTTCGACTTATGGCAAACCGAGTGGGGATTATCGATTGGCACAGGACCCCAATGTCGCCTCCCGCCCTACGTTGAGATCCTCGTCACGCACACCCGTCTTTCAACTTACGGCGCCGTCATCAACCACCCGACAGCGCCGATGGAGGTCCGACTGTTCTTCCGCACGGCCGGACTCTCCTCCGCCGTGACCGTCATGCGAGCAGCCATACAAGGGGAGTCGCAACTCCAGTCGATCCCGAACAACACCACCATTATGGTTTCATTTGCAGCTTGCTTCGCGCTGACACTGAGCGCCTATGCTACAGGAAGCTCGATGTTGGCGCCCAGCATTCGGAACCTCATTGAGGAGACGGCTGGTGTCTTGGAGCGTATTGGATCAGCTACGAAGCACAGAAATGGTCTGTCGACACTATATGGAAAATACCTAAGACATATCGCGAAAAAGGCGGCCACCGCTGGGGATGGCCAGTCCCAAGCCAATACGCATCCTGGCCCGACCGCCGCGGCATCCCCTCCCATCAACTCGATGGGACCCACGATATCACAGCCCCCTTACGTGGAGTCGCAGATGTGGCCCGGGACTCTACAGCTCTCTAGCATGTCCGACGATCAGATTGCCGAGGTCCTCAACCAGCCCGGCAACGAGTTCGATCCCACCTTTTCAGGCTTGTCCTGGGACGACATGAACCACTTTGACTGGCTGAGCTGGCCCAACCTAACAGATTTTGGGTTTTGAAGGTTGAGATGTGCCGTCTCCAGAGGCTTGGGCACATCAGGCCTTCATTGTCTCAACCGGGGCAGTGAACTGCCACTGAGTCAGCTGCCGCAGCTGCTCCATGAATACAAACGTCAGGACGGTGTTTGGCCTGCAGCACACGAGCGTTAGCAACATCGTCACTTTTACCATTCAGTACAACTTACGTCAGTCTTAGCCACGCCGGAGTCCATCCCTTCATGAGGAATACCGCACCCTCTTCACGAAGGCCGTTTTGCACGATGCGAAGTAGAGACTACAGGCGTGATCAGTAACCTCATATATGGACAGGGGTTTCACGTCAACACTCACGTTCGCCCCTGGACCTCCCGCGGCGGCACTTTGGATCCTGCTCTTGAGAACGTCGGCCGGCGCGCATATCGTCGTCGCCGCGGTTCCCGCGAAGAGAGAGGCAACGGCGTGCGTTTTGATATCGTCCTTCATCTCAGTGTTTTGCAAGAGGATCCGCTTTGCCGTCGAGTATCTGTTTTCGTGCTTTAGCTTGCTTGTTCCGCTAGACCACACCACACGACTCCTCGTTGGTCGTCCGTTCCTTTGGCACACTTACGTAGCGATTTGTCCCACATCTGTCATTCCTCAGTTAGCTCCAATGCCAACGAGTCAGTCTTTTCCGAGGTTCGTTGACTTACTCATGAGCACGCTGCGAACAACGTTGGCGGAGATGCCTCTAGTGAATGCGCCCAGCCCTTCTTCCCTTCCTATCCTGTAGAGGCCCTCGATGGCATTGGAGTATGCGAACCGCTCGCCGACGTTCTTTGCTCCATCGGCGCACATTCGGACGAGGACAACCTGGGCCCGGTTAGCTCATCCCTGGTAGGGGAGGGCGTGTCTGGCTATTGAGTTGCTCACCTCGGCAGGATTTCCCACTAGCCCCGCCATACCTCCGGACAACCCAGCACATGATATTGTCATCGCTGTCGTCAACTTTTCTTTACCAGTCCATTGTTTCACCCGTTGCGCAAAGTAGTTGTTTAGACCGAACCGTGCAGTGGAGTAGGTCGTCTGTCGAAATATTGATGCTGAGAGTCCCGACCAAAGCGAGAAAAATCCTTTCCCCCCCCCCCTTCTGTTAGCAGAGAATCGTAGTGCAAAGCATGGGAGGTGCATACCGTCCCGTGCCGCGAATCGGTACATGGTGCGAAACATGGACTCTCGCGATTTCAGAACCTGCATCCGACTGTGGTGGTCAGTGGCCATCGCTTGTTATACTCTCGAACCAACAACGTGCGTACTATTTTGTCTGGTCCAGTGGATGCGCTATGGTTGTGCGGTCAGCATTATGGCCAAAAGGTCGAGACGAGACTTGGGATTTCCGGACTTACTAAAACATACGGCCATTGATGCCGCGGCACCTCTGTAGCCAACAAGTCAGTTGATACCCCAGGAACGTGTCATGCTTGACAATCGCTATTACCTACCCAAGCCAAAAAGGCTCCTTTTGCTTGTTGCCGTTGGCCATCGTACGTACGGGAATATGCAGCAGAGGTCCAAAACGTGGCCTCAGAATCAGTTTCAAGGATTCCGACCTCTGGGACAAGCGGTTTTGATAAAAGTAATACGGCATTGACTTCAACATGCCCCTGCCCCTGCCCACCCATTTCCATCTCCCAAGCTCCAAGCCGGTGACAAGCGCCGTTCATGAGCCGGATCCCTGCTATACCTCTCGGACTCCAAATGTAGCGCCGGGCCGTACTCGGCAGGTCGGCGCAATGTTGAACAATCGAGTCAGGGTTCCCCACGCTGATGTCACATGGGAACCGCCATCTCGGCGCTTCTTTATGAGTCCGAGGCCCTCGCTCGGGGGTCTTCTTCTGTGTCCCGAACCGCGGAACCCCTCCGACTCCTTTCGGCTGGGAAAACAAAACCACTTCCGCATCCCACCCGCGCTGCCCCGGGTCTCGTGCTGATGGATGACGCACCCTCACAGAGGCAATTGAAGCAGAAACAGTCCAGCAGAGATCGCGAACCAGAGCACAACATGTCGAGGCTCTCACCGTCACTGAAGGCCCTCATTAACGCGCCCTTTGCGCGCCCCGGCCAGACCCCAGCGCCGTCGCACATCCGGGAAGTTTACCAGACCATTGCGCGCGATGCGGCCTCAAAAAACGTCGGCACAAAGCCATGGCTGGCGATATCGGTAAGAGACCCATTGCGCCCAGCTTGCCACCGAGCCCGAGTGCCCGGTCGATCCGCATTGAGTCGGTGCTGCAACGTCTCGCAACCGCAACTGACGCTCCGCGCCGCAGGCCGCAGCTACATTCACTATGAACTCTCCCGAATCCCTCGAGTCTCTCTACAACGTCGCGTCGTCTTCCGGCCGGCCGGACAAGCGCGAGACGGCCGAGTTCATCCGCGAGATCGGCCTCAAGTGCATCAGCTTCAACGGCATCCCGCGCACCATCAACTGCCTGAACGCATTCTACGCCAGCCTCCCCAAAGATGTGGCCGCGCAGCTGGAGACGAAGCCGACGCGCACGCCCGACGCGCAGAACATTGGCGACATCACTGCCCGCGGCCAGGCACTCTGGGACTCCATATACGCGCCTTTCGAGGTCAAGTTGTACGAGAAACTGGCGCAGTCGCACCCCGACTTGCCGGTGCACATCCTGAACAGCCACTACGCAGGGCTGTTGTCGGATCCCAAGGAGCGCGGCGGCTTGGCGAGCGTAGGGAGAGTCCTGACATCCGTCGTTGCCATCTCGTGTTTGAGGGCACAGTCGGGCGTCGGCCCGCAGGTGCTGTCGCACGTCTTCGGACTGAGGAAGGGGCTGGAAGACGGCACGTTCAAGGCGGACAGCCAGGATGACATCCAGGGCGCACAGTGGCTGGCGAGCGACGAGGGCAGCGAGTGGATTCTGAACTCGGTTGATACCATCACGGAGGCGATTGGCGGGGCGGCGAGGACCAACTTTGCGCCCGCGCGTGAGTCCAAGTTGTAGAGCAACGAGGGTCTTGTGTTGGTTTACGAACGAGATGTAAAATACCGGGGTTCGGAACTGGAGCATCCCAAGCCTGTTATCGTGCGGAAATGCAATAAATGGAGTGTTTTCTCATTCCCAGTGCTCTTTGACCTTGAGGAATAGCGGTGACAGACTTATGCCAGCCACACTTGGATCTGCTACTGTCCTTGGAAATTAAAAGTTTAAAGGAGGCCTATCAGGAAAACGGAGAAAAACGTCTATTACGTGGCGCTAAAATCAAACATTCCCACAAAGGCACAACAAGATAGAAAAGAGGCAACCCTGTCGTCCCTCGTGAGGATAGATGCCCATGCTATCCAAATGTATTCTTTCCAAGCATTTTCTCCATGATCCGTTTTCATGAACATCCCTGGTTATGTACCTACAGCACCATCTTGAAACTGGGTTCCCGGTCATCGCCAGAGCCCAAATGCTCATCGTACTTCCCTGCCGCCTTATCACGGTTGATCTTGTTGCACCAGAGGACGTTCAGGAGAGTGCTATCGCCACCATTGTCAGTACGTCGTGTGCGAAGTGAGAGCATCAGCGAGGGTCGACTTACGCTACCCACGCATAACACAACAACCCCAAGATAACGGTGTGGCCCTTGTGATAGAACGGGCCTTCGGAGCTGGGATAGATGAAAGCTGGGGCACCGTTCAGTATGACTTCCACTTAGGATGGGACCCTTGGCTTACTAGCGACAAATCCTCCGCAGTTGGCAACAGCGAGCTGCAACGCTGATGTCGTGGCGCGTTTGTAGTGGCCGGCCGAGTTGTTGGAGTTCCAAACCAAGACGCACGGAACAGCGCTGTACATGCCGATGGCCATCAAGCAGGTCATTGCAAATCTCGCCTGCGGCGACGTGATGTTGGCGATGACCGCGTAGCCAGCGATCGAGATGGGAAGGACGCAGAGCATCAGGACGCCGCGCAGGCGAAGGCGATCTGACAAGAAGGCCACGAGAACTGACCGGCTATGTTAGCATGGGCCCGTTCACTGCTTCAAGGCATCTTGGCGGTGAAGTACTCACCTGTGACAGGAGTTGCGACGGCGTACGGGATTACGGACCACAATTGGACCTCGTTGGTGTTGGCCGCGATGTGCAAGTCGTTGATTATGGTTGGGAGCTTTTAGGGCGGCACCGTTAGGTAAAAAAGAAAAGAAGTATTAAATAAGTATAAAAAAAGGGGGTGGGAAACACAAAGCAAAGGATGAATGAAGTTGCGCCACCACCCGCGCAGCGCGGCGAAGACTTACAAAGAGGCCGAAGGAGTACAGGCCAGACAGGATGGCAAAGTATGCGGTTGCGCTCAGCCATACTTGTACGTTGAAAACACCACGGCCAACCTCAGACCAACGGAACTTCTCCTCTCTTTCGTTGGCGGAACTGAGAAGCGATGTCAGCCTCTTGCATCCAGGTCTTGCGTGACGGCTCCATCGGATGCTTGCACGTACTTGAATCGACCATGGACGACGTTGGTCTGGAGCCTGAGTATAGCCCACTCGCGCTCTTCTGGGGTCAAAATATTGGCGGTAACCAAGTTGTTGGGCAGACCGATAGCGGCAATGATTCCGCAGGCGACGGTCTAGTTTGACGTGTCAGAGCCGCTTTGTCCACAGTACGGACGAGATGCCGGGACTCACGATAAGCCCCTCCACGACGAACACCCATCTCCATCCTTCGAGGCCGCCCGCCGGGCCGATGGCAGATAAGCCCCTTGCAAGAAGGCCCCCAAAGGCGCCGGAGAGGGATGCGGCCGTGTAAAAGATGCCGATGCGGAGGGCCAGCTCTCCGCGGGTGTAGAGCCCGGAGAGGTACAGCACCATGCCGGGCAGCAGTCCGCCCTCGGTCATGCCCAGGATGGCACGAACGGCGACGAAGCTGCCGTAGCTGCGGACAAAGCCGAGACACATGGTGACGATTCCCCACGCGCAGGTCAGGAACGGAAGCCAAATCCTGGGCGAGACCTTTTTCAGGACGAGGTTGCTTGGCAGCTCGCTGGGCTTCTGCATTAGCGAACGGGACGCGTGTGGGGTCGGGACATGGGATTGATGGGGGTCTGGGTGGGCTGGAGATCAGCCGAAAGTAATGTCGTACCTGGCGATGTATGTTACGTAGAAGATGGCCAAGCCCTGGTTATATTGGCTGTTGGAGATGCCAAGATCCTTCTCCATGCCAATGATCTTTGCATTGCCGACGTTGGTTCGGTCGAGAAAGGAGCAGAGAAAGAGGAGGGCGAGCAGCGGCAGGACCCTGTTCATTATCCAGCTCATGTTAGCGTCTTGGCCCATCCGATGTGATACTGCAGTCATTCATCATCACCAATGGATTCGTAGAGACTTGCCTGGTGTCGACCTTGAAGAGAAGCGTCTTGGTGAGGACGCGTTGACGCTCAACGTCACCGCCGAACTCGTTCTCATCGTGCTCAGCTTTAGGGTCCATGTCGAAGCCTTTGGTAGTCATGGCGGGTGGGATGGCTGCTTGGCTCGAACTGAACGGACACTCTACTCCGCCAGATGGACGGTGAGAGACAAGACAAGACAAGAAGACCTTCGCCAAGGTGAGCCAAGCAATGTCGAGACCTGGGGTTCCTCTGTCGTTTTGAAGCCCGTCTTCCCTGGACTTCAAATCTGCCGGGGTCGCCTCAACAGTTCATACCCCGCAGGCCATCTCTCCAATTCCCCGGATCTCCCATGAAAACATGCCGCTATCCGTCCACACCAATGGGCGGCGGCGGCCGGTATTCACTGAGCCATACCCCGCGACGCTAGGGGCGGGCCCGGAGTCTACTTCTGCGCACCGAGGGCCGCTTGGTATGAACACGCCCTCGTGGTCCCTCAGATCCCTGTGCTCCCCCCGCCATCGGAAGACGTCAGAGAAACCCCCCCTGGTGACCTCCTCTGGCCGAGAGGACCCTTGGTTGATGCTGGTTTGTAGTCGTTGTGTCGTCGGTGCGCAAAAGAACCCCCGACGGCTCCCACCCGGGAACCCGTTGAAAAAGATGTGTCGCGCCCACCTATCCCGAGGTCTCAAGGTGTCACCGGCAGTTGGAACCCTCTTTTCTGTTTCTGTATTTCCCGCGTGTCTTATTCCTGTAATCTTTGTCGGAACAGCTCGGGGTTCTCGTCGCAGGCTCTCTACAGCTTTAGACAACCAGCAAACAGGTCAATATGTCTTCAATTGCTCGCCAATTGCGCCCACGGGTGCTCATCCGCGCGTCCTTCACAGCTTCGCCTGCGGTCTGCGCGCAGCCGCAACGGTTCCCCCGCGCAAAGGGCCTCGGCGTCGCAACATGCCGCGGCATCGCCACAACGCCGGTCCGCAGGTCCCAGAAGGCGCCGGCGGCCAAGAGGGGCGGCTCGAAGCTGTACGCCTCGGCGGACGAAGCCGTAGCAGACATCAAGAGCGGATCGACCATCCTAAGTTCCGGCTTCGGACTGTGCGGCGTTGCAGGTAACGATTGCGAAAGCTCGGAATAGTCGCCATCAACGGGCGCCGGAATTCACTGACATGCTCGCCCGCAGACACCCTCATCGGCGCGCTCAACCGCAGAGGCGCCGAGAACCTGCACTCCCTGACGGCAGTGTCGAACAACGCCGGCCAAGAAGGCAAGGGCGGTCTGGCCATCCTCACCAAGGCTGGCCAAGTGAACCGCCTGATCATCTCGTTTCTCGGCAACAACAAGGCCCTCGAGAAGCAGTATCTGACGGGACAGATCGGCATTGAGCTGTGCCCGCAGGGAACGCTTGCCGAGAGGATCCGCGCCGGAGGTGCTGGAATCCCGGCCTTCTTCACCCCCACTGGAGCTCGTAGGTGACATATGATCGGGACCGGGGTCTGGGCCGCGCTGACTGCCGCAGACTCGTTAGTGCAGAGCGGCGACATTCCCGTGCGACTGGGCCCCTCCGGCGCCGTGAAGGAGCGCGGCCGCAAGAGAGAGTCGAGGGAGTTCAACGGCAAGACCTATCTCATGGAGACGGCGTTGACTGGAGACGTTGCCATCTTGAGGGCATGGAAGGTCGACGCCGCTGGCAACTGTGTGTTCAGGTGCGTCCGACATCCAATGTCGAGGACTGTCCCCGGCCGTAGAACCGCGCTAACTCGGCTTGATTCCGATGCAGGTACACCACCAAGGCGTTCGGCCCCATTATGGCCAAGGCCGCCGCCGTCACCATCGTCGAGGCGGAGAACATCGTCGAGGTCGGCGCCATCGACCCCAACGACGTCGACCTGCCCGGCATCTTTGTCGACCGCATCGTGCCCTCCACCGCCGAGAAGAACATTGAGATACTCAAGACGAGGCCCGACAGCGCCGATGGCACAGGCCCGTCGAAAGCCCAGAACAGCGCGCAGGAGCGCCGCGACCGCATCGCGAGACGCGCGGCCAAGGAGCTGCACGAGGGCTTTTACGTCAACCTCGGCGTTGGTGAGTCGCACAAGCCGAACTGAGTTGAGAATGAAAAGGATAGAAAAAGTGTGCTGACGGTCACAGGAATCCCGACTCTGGCGCCTTCTTTCTTGCCCGCCGGACGTAACGTCTGGATCCAGTCCGAGAACGGCATCCTGGGCATGGGCCCTTACCCAACAAAGGACGAAGTCGACGCGTGAGTGCACTTTCATCTATACCCTTTCACCTGGATCGCCAGGAACTGAAAAGCCCGCCGCCGCAGTGACATCGTCAACGCCGGCAAGGAGACGGTGACGCTCGTCCCCGGCGCCTCGACGTTCGACAGCACCGAGTCCTTCGGCATGATTCGCGGCGGCCACGTCGACGTCTCGATCCTCGGCGCGCTGCAGGTCAGCGCCACGGGCGACCTGGCCAACTACATGATCCCCGGGAAGGTGTTTAAGGGCATGGGCGGCGCCATGGACCTGGTGTCGAACCCGGACAACACAAAGATCGTCGTCGCGACCGAGCACGTCGCAAAGGACGGCTCCTCCAAGATCGTGCAGGACTGCACCCTGCCCCTGACGGGCGCCCGCGTCGTGAGCACCATCATCACCGACTTGGTAGGTTGCGCGCCTCTATCCCCCCCTGCTGCCGTTTGCGAGAATCCTGCTGATGCCGGGCCGTAGTGCGTGTTCGAGGTCGACCGCAAGAACGGCGGTCTGACGCTGACCGAGGTGGCGCCGGGCGTCGACGTCGAGGAGGTGCGCGCGAAGACGGACGCGTCGTTCGAGGTCGCCAGTGATCTGAAGCAGATGGAGTAAAGGAGGGCTACTGTACATCATGTGTTTTGTGTGAGATATTATGGAGAATTAAGGCGACAGCTTGTGACTTGACGCGCCAGGGCGGCGAGCATGCCGTGTTTGCAGTTGATTTTGATTTTTTTTGTCATTCATACTACGTTATTGACAAGACATTAATTAACATCTATTATTTGTCCAAACTCGTAAAACAGCATTTATTCAAGCAGTCGTCGGCCGTCGTTCTCCCGGTGCGCCTGACAAGTGGTTGTATCGGAGGGGAGGGAGGGTATCATCCAAATGGGGCGCCGCACCCGAAGGGAGCTTGGTTTCATCGTGAGTGAGGTTGTACGCTCTCAAGTGTTCCATCGGACCCGACTCTTAGTCGCTGCTTGAGCTCGAGCTGCAGCTCCCGCTGCGCTTGCGGTGCTTGTCCTTCTTGTGCTTCTTGTCTTTCTTGTGCTTCCTGCAATCTCGTCAGTGCGTGTCCGTCCGAACGTCTTTCGTGGCGAGAAGAGGAGCTCACTTTTCAAACTTGTTCTCCAACATGTTGGCGCCAACGGCCCCTACGATGGCACCGCCGAGTGTGCCGAGGAGACCACCGCCAGCCTTGTTCGCCGCCCATCCGGCAGCCCCGCCACCGATTAACGTGGCGCCGAGGCCGCGCTCGTCCTGACCGGGGCCGCCTGGACCACCGGGCGCACCGTATTGAGGTTGGCCACCGTACTGGGGCTGTCCGCCGCCGTATTGTGGCTGTCCGCCATGAGGAGGCGCATATCCTTGCTGGTCGTACTGCTGTTGAGGGGGGTAGGGAGAGCTGCCTCGGTTGTCGTGGCCGTAGCCCTGCTGATGCTGGCCGCCCTGGGCGTAGGTCGGTTGCTGAGGTCCGCCGTATCCGTGCTGCTGCTGCTGCTGCTGCTGAGGGGGGGCGTTGTAGCCGCCTCCCTGCTGGTACGGGGAATGCGACTGAGGGGGGTAGCCGCCATACTGTTGCTGCTGGCCCTTGATAGAAAATTCAGCATGCCATGGCCGAAGAAACAAGACAGTGATGCTGCGTACCTGTGCATAGTTGGGCTGCTGGGGTGCGTAGCCGCCGCCCTGGTTGTAGCCATGTTGCTGCTGGTACTGTCCGTGGCCGCTGCCGCCGCCTCCTCCGTAATAATCGTTCGCAGACATGCCGGATCTGGGAGTCGCTATCGAGTGGGACTGCGATATGAGTGTTTGTTAAATGATACTTCGCTGTATGAGCTGCTTGTGCTAAGCGGAACGGATCTCGGCCAAGAAGCAGGGAGAGGAGCTGGATGTTTAAAAGGATGACAGACAGACAGACAGACATGCGCTCGCACTACTACCGGTATGGGAGATGCATCAGACGCACCAGAAACGGGAATTGCGGAAATTGCTAGGGAGGGGCACAGCATGCATGCATGCATGCATGCGGCGCGCCCAACGGGGGTTAGATCTCTCTTCGTCATTCTTACCGTGGCGCAGTCACTGCGCGGGGCATCCGGTGCCTGCGATGAGCCTGTCAGCCCTGCTGGAGGTCAGCAAGCCACAGGCCGAGAGCTGAGCTGGGCCGAGAAGAGACAAGCCACCAATGACGCGAAGCCATGAGTCGCCATTCGCATTCGGCTGCGCGGGTCCGGGGAATTGCCAAACTAGTGTACTGTTGTGCTCAGCGAGTCTCTACCTGGTAGGCCTCTTGTTCCGCTAATACTGAAGACTAAAAACCCTCTGTTGGTAGTGGTAGTGCGATCGGTGTAGGTGTAGGTATGTGCTACGCTCGTTCCTTGTTGCCTAAGTGTGTAGGTCCATGTCGACGGTGCCCCCGGTAATTGTTTCGAGAGGATCTGCTAAGCCCCTCCATCCTAAGCCCCTCCATAGCATCGGACGAACTCTCCCGGTCGCCACTGCCAAACGTCCAGTTGTAGCAAACCGCCCCCTCCCCTCGTGTGACTTCCGGAATCCAGGGAAACAGCGCTTGAGACTGTCAAGTTGAACCGCTCCTGCACTTCGGCGTCTCCGGTCGTGCGGCGAGTGGGGCCGATGGGCCGAGCCACTTCAGTCTTTGACTCTTAACGGAAGGAATAGAAGTCGGGAAACTACACGTGTATTATGTATCAACTCCGAGGCAGAGGAAGCATTGCTGTTCGAGGAACCACGTTCCACCCCGGGTCCTTAGTTGCCCGCTTCTCTTCTGAGCTTGGCCTGCGATAATCCGATAACCTCCAGTCTTCAATGCAGGAGGCCCAAATTAAGCAGTCCCACGCGGTGTCGCCTTCCTTGTCGACAAGGTCTACATTGATTCCGGAAAGAGACAGACTCTCCAAATATGAAAGCGCCTCGTACCCAGCATTAAGCGCTGCCAGATGGAGGACGTTGCGCCATGGACCGACCATTGCCGTGCTTGCGCCTGCCTCCACAAGGCACTCGAGAGCAACTAATAGGCGGTCCCACACAATGGCAGTGACAAGCGGGGTTTCCCCCAACGAGTCTCGTGCTTCCAGGTCAGCGCCTGCCTTCAAAAGCATTCGCAGAGCCACTCGGAATGTGTCTTTTTCAGCATCAGTCCGTATGAGACAATCGAGGACTGACTCGCCGTCTGAAGTGGCAGTCAGGGACGCACCAGCGGACAACAGCCTGCCGCATCTTGTTGAGGTCCGCTTGTTTAGCAGCAAGGTGTAGTGGCGTCTGTACGGTGTCTACACCGCCCTCGTAACGAGAAATCATAATGCGTAATGCGTCTTTATCTTCTGAATCCAGCAGCGGCGTCTTTGGTAAGGATCGATCGGTGCGTGTTCCCCACATGTCTGCTTCTTCAATTACTAATCGCAGGGTTTCGATCTACAAGGTGGGCCATGGAGTCAACTTTGCTTCGAGTAGCGGAGCCTCAGCCGTTGTACTGACCTCGTTGTTGAGCCAAGCCAGCTCGTCTCCGATGCCGGGAATTGCTCGGAGAACATCGATGACATGGCGTCGTCCAGCGACTAGAACCTGGCCGATGGCGGTGAAGCTTGCTACGGCGCCTACCACTTTCATAATGTCGCAAATGTCAACGGCTAGGAATTTGTAAAGAATCGACTCTGCAACGAGATATGTAATTATGTTGGGATTTGGAGAGGTAGAGGAGGCAACAGTGTCCGTCTACCAAGGCCCCGTTCTGCCCAGCCTGCTCAGCTTATCCCGTGTATCATTCCGCTGGTTAACCCGGCCTCTACAAGATATCGGCTGAGTACAGCGCCAACATTGTCAAGGTGCAGGCAGGTCACCCGCCATTCAAACGCAGCGCAAGTGGGGTAAGCCAAGCATGTCTGCGGTACGGTTTTGTTAGCAGTGACTTGCAAACACTGGTTTTGATCAAATAGTAAGCGACAAGTACCTACCTTAACAGGCTTCACAGCCTGCTTCTAGTTCAGGCTTCAATGCATCATCCATCCACACTCGTTTGGTACTATAAAGCTCTTCATTGCACCAAAATTTGGTGCCAGTGTATGGTATGCATGGCTGTGCTGAGGCAGCGTCTCCGTTCAGGGCTCTACAAGATTAGATAATTACTGCCTTCCCCGTTGCGTCCACATCTTGATGTCCAAGTCACTCAGCCCACTCATTCGGAACTGGGCCCCCTACATATGCGAGCAGAATGCTATTGTTCAGTTGCAAGCGGACATATATGATGTCGCCATGTTGCAAAGCAAATGATAAAGAGGAGGGTAGAGAAGGCCATCAATCACAGAGTCATATATGACCTCGAAGGTGAGTATGGTCGTCATAGTGCCAAGGGTATTTGCAGATATTAGGGTGTTGCTTAGCTACTCTACTTCAGGAAGTCTCTCTTACAAACAACCCTGCCATGCCCATGCCGGTGCCAACACACATGCTTACGACACCAACCTCACCACCAGATCTGCCCAGGCCGTGCAATAGGGTGCTCGTCATGCGGGCACCAGTGGCACCGAGAGGATGTCCCAAGGCAATGGCACCGCCATCAGGGTTCACCTTGCCGTCCTCGTAGGCTTGCTCCAGACCCAGCGCCCTCAAGCAGTAGATTGCTTGGCTGGCGAAGGCCTCGTTGATCTCCCAGCGGTTCACATCCTTGTTCTCCAGGCCGAACTGACCGAGGAGCTTCGGGATGGCAAGAGCGGGGCCGATTCCCATCTCATCCGGCGCACATCCCACCGTCGTGGCCCCGATGAACTTGCCGATGATGCTGTCGGTGAGGCCCAGCTCTGTGGCGGTGCTCCTGCGCATGAGCAGTGTGGCGGCGGCGCCGTCGGACACTTGCGACGAGTTGCCTGCGGTGCTGGCACCGTCCGGCTTGAACGCCGGCTTCAGCTTCTGCAGAGCCTCGATGCCAATGTTGGCGCGGATGCCGTCGTCCTGGGTGACCGTGATGGTCTGTTCCTCGCCGACCTTGTTGCCCTGCTTGTCCACCTCTTGGTATCTCGTTGTGACGGGAACGATCTCCTGGGCGAAGTAGCCGTTCTCCCTCGCCTTCGCGGCGTTCTGGTGGCTGCGCAGGGCGAACGCATCCTGGTCTGCCCTGGAGACGCCGTAGCGCTCCGCCACGTTCTCGGAGGTGATGCCCATCGGCATAACGCAGTCCCTCGCGTCCTTGACCGGCGACTCCTTCAACGCGGGCCACACGTCCACGGGGATCGCGCGGCTTCCGTAGTTCCGAGTCATGCTTTCCATTCCGGCGCCAATGCCCACCGATATCGTCTCGGACCGGATCTGCGACGCGATGAGCGCGATCGACTGCAGCGATGACGAGCAGGCGCGGTTGACGGTGTACAGAGAGGTCTCGTTGGGGTAGCCGACGTGGTTCATGGCCATGCGCGCGGCCTTGGAGCCGCCGAGCTCCGAGAGCACAACGCCGACGGCGACATCTTCGATCTTGGCGGGGTCGAGGTTGGGGTTGGCGTCGAGTGTGGCCTTGAGAACGGTCGAGAGCAGTTCTTCGGGGTATGCGTCTTTCAGCTGGCCCCGGTTCGATCGACAAACGGCTGTTCGCAGCGACGACAGGATCACCACATCGGAGGGTGCTTTCTTCAGCACGGACGAGAGCCCTTTGGGAACAGACATGATGGCGGCGATTACGCTTTAGGGAAGTCTGGGCTTATTGTACAATAGAGAAAGGAGACGACGCGCAGAACAAAGCAGCCAAAAGGAGGTTGAAAAAAGAGGCAGGTATTAATGAGCAACGTCGCCGAGGTCGGGGGGGCGGGAGCTTAAATGATGTACCAGTCGAGAGTTTGGGGGAGAATAGCTCATCCCCTTCGTCTCACCTTCAATTCCCCAGCTTGATCCCAGACGGCAGAGGTGGGGGGACCCGCTACGGATGGCAATTGGGTTCGGCAAACACCCACGGAGCTTGGGCGCGTTCCTGGGGTTAAACGTTCAACCGGTAATTGCTCGGGCAACTATACCGAGGCATACCGACCTACACCGAAGGCCTTACCGAGAGGCTTTCCCAGTCAGGACGAAATCTCGCGGCAGTTTAGCATTATGGTTAGGGTTAGGGTTAGGGTCAGGATCAGAAAGTTGTCGCCTTCACAAGGGTTATCTCTCCATAGATCTAGGTTACTGCTTTCACAGTATGCAGCACCAGAACTAGGAATTAAGATGGTAGGCACACAGCCTTCAATTGTATTCAGGCTAGATACTCCAGTTGCGAGAATCTACGCAAGATAGAGACAAGCTTTGAAAAGCCTTGGGCATCATCCCTACTTCAATATGTTGATTACACCTTCGTTGGTGACACTGATTCGCAAAAGTGCAACCTGCCTTAGATGAAATTCAGCAATGTCAGATTTCAAAAGGCTCTCTTAATATGGTTGTTGAGCAAAATCCCCGACAGCCCTTCAGGTAGCTCTCCAGCTAGGGTAAATGTGTCCCCCCTACCGTTATATTCTCTCATCTACCTCTGTACTCCTTCTATTCACCCTTGTGTATCCCTGTCTTGCCCTATTCAACTCTAGACCTTTCTCTACTTACTTGTATTGAATCTGAAGTAAGCAGCTAACTGCAAAGGGTGGCAACCGAAATGGGCCAAGAAATCTTCTACGGCGAAAGGGACTGCAATCAGCTCCTCATGGGGTTATAGGCTTCAGTACTGTTCGGGAAGGCTGATTCTGCGGTTCTCTGGCTATTGATCAATTTCTACTCAATGTACCCCTCTTCGTCACCCTGAAAGCTCGCTCCACTTGCCAATTGATGGCTTGGGCTCATGGTCGTATACGCTGTCAGCCCGGCCACTGGCCTGTCGCGCATGTTCGGAGATAAAGGCCCAGATGGCAAGATGAGTCGTCGACCAGTCTCATCCTGAGGCCCATACGGCTTCACGGAACGACCTTACAAAGAACAGTGGATCCATGGAACCTATCAAATTGCGAACCAAACGTTTTCGACTGAGTCCAAACAGGGAAAGGAGGCGCCA